GATTCTGTGATATTTTACGGGGAGATTTCTCTTCCTTATTGCTGAAGATAAGTTACGTCTTCAGTGTTGGAAGCAGTGAACAGCTGTCACACTCCTCTGTTCTGTAGAGCTTGCTGGTGGGGTGTTTTTACAGATTTTATCTATATGGCAATACTGGCAGTTTCATAAGCTCATTTTCCTTTTCCTTCTGTGTATTTATGGGCTGATTCCTTTTGTTCGGTTTTGTTGGAGGAGAGAAAAGCATTTTTTTGCTTTTTCTGATGCTGTTTGTAAATCTGAAGCTTAAACGCAGCAGGACAGGGCACAGACTCTTGTTTCCCAATTCTCTGATGCTTGAATGGCAGGCAACCCCACCTGTGCAGGATGTTTCACAAAAGGAGTCTGGCAGCTTTGCCCCAAAGCCTCCCTGGCTTTGTGAGTGACAAATCCCAGGAGGCAGTACTGGCTGAAAGATGTCAGGTGTTCTTTGGAGGCTGAACACAGTAACAGTGGGACTTTGGAGCTGCTTGAGGGCAGAAAAGGAATGGCTATAAAGCCTGGGCAAGCAGCCATGTACCCAGCAGGCTGTGACAGGCATGTTGTGCTGCAGTGGTTAAAGGCCATACCTGACTGCCTGCCCTGGGGTCGTTGCTTGCAGTAATGTCAGGAGGACAGAACATGTGCCAGCACTTCAGCTAGCTGCAGTTCAGTTTAACCTTAGCTTAAACCTGTGAGGAGCAATATGATTTGCTTAATTTGGTAGAGCAGAGAAATAAGTTCTGGCAGACTTAATCTAGTCTGCTCTGCAGCACTCCCTTGAAGTGCCACTACTGTATTTTTCTCTTCTTGTATTGAAATGCTTCAGTTTACAAGGCAAAGTATGCCATCTCCTTTGCAAGTATGTGTTAGATATAAAATAATGCACTTCCATCAGTATTTGATGTCAGGATGTAACAAGCAACTGAGAGCCATCTCCTGTTCCAGGAAACACATCTGGAAACTGCAATCAGAAATTAACAACCTGTTTAAATACAGGATTCCGTAGTATCTTTTCTGTCATTCCTTCCTCATGAAAGCCTTGTTGTGATGTACATTAACATTTCAAAAACACAAATGCATGCAAGAGATGCAGAACAAGATAAAGCATTTGAGAACTCTATACAGTATGTTCTATACATAATATGTTCAATACTCATGCTAACTGACAAATTAAGGCACAACAGAAAATCTTCTGTAACAGATTTTTCTGCAGCCCTGTTTTTGTGCACATGTTGACATGCACAGCACTGCACTAGCTTTAGAATGCAATTGTGGGCCATATTCTGATGTTGCACAGCTCAGGCACGAAGAAGCTTCTCTCATGTATTACAAATCAGAATGGAACTCTTCAAATTTAGAATCAAGGCTCCAGCAGAAGCTTTAAAATTTAATTGGGACCATTTTTGTGCATGAAATTATTCATGTGCTATAATCTTTCCTCATAGGATTTAGTAATGCAGCAATTTTTCAATATGGGATTAAAAAAATTGGGGGAAGAAGTCAATTCAATAAATTGATTTGCTGCAATGAGAAAACCAATTAGCTATTAAATATCGTGGTAGAAGATACTTTTAAAAATCAGTGCTACAATGAGATTTCAATGCATAGTTTGAATTTTATGTAACTAGTAGTGCTGGACTGTGAGTTATATAAAGGAGCAAGTGTTTGATGCAGGTTATTTCACTATCTGCCCTTGTAGAGGGTGAATAGAAAATAGCTCCAGCTCAATTTTAGCATCTTCATCTTGATGGTCATAATATGCATATTAATGAAAAGTTAGAACTGTAGAGGAATGACTCTTTGCAAAAAGCTGATGCCTTCTTAGTTCACGATCTTGTGGAGGATGGGTGGGGGGCAAGAAGAGGGAAAGAAATGTACCTCTTTTGAGGGTATGTTTTGTTGGCTTGCCCAGTCCTGATATAGCTTGCAATTGTAAGCCAGCTGAACCAACATCACATTCGTCAGTGGAAAACTACGACTAGTAATACCTGGAGCACACAGCAAAGGAGAGGCAAGTCAACTCTGGGACGGTGTTGTGTGACTTGTCTTAAAGTGGGTCAGAGCATTGCTACAAAGATTAAATTTGGCTAAGTGTTGCTCTTGCATGGTTTAATCAGCACATTTAATTTGAATTGGATGCATAATTTAGCTACTGCCTTTGAACTAACATGAACTGACAAGTTTGGGTTTTTCACTTAGTAAGATCACTGATTAATTTGCTTTGTACATGATGTAGTTTTACAACATACAGTTTTGGTTCAAAGTTGGTACGGTATGCTGAAGAAGTAGAACATGAAGATTTAAGGTGATGGATATTTTCCCATTATGTGTTAGTTTTACATAGTAGTAGTTTTTAGGATCAGAGGGGTTTGTTAGCTATGAACCTTGTTTTATTTGTCTTTTGTGATGCATTCCGTTCATCCTAAGTTTTCCTATTTTTTATCTGTTGTTTCTATTGATACTGTGTTTCTTTTATTGTTGTTATCATAATGTATGTTTTGGCTTAAGTGCATGCAAGAGAACAGGCTTCCATTCATTTGTCTGTAGTATTGCTGGAGCTGCTGGATAATAGGTATGAGGGTGAGCAAGTAAAATAACTATTCATTAAAATATTATCAGAGAATAATACCATTGCAACACAGAGCTTGATGTTGATAGATAGAAAGCATGTTTTTCTGAAAAGCTGTGAGGGATAATGAAGAGTTAGGGTGATTTTAGAGCTAGGTTTTTCAGTCTGCGTGGAAATTTAGTGGCCTATGTCTTATGCTCTGTGCCCACTTGGCATAAGAAACAGCTGACAGCAGAAGTAAAAGAGAAGCAAGAAAATCATAGAATGGCCTGGACTGAAAAGGACTACAATGATCATGTAGTTTCAACCCCCTGCCAGGGTGGGGTCACCGACCACCAGACCAGGCTGCCCAAAGCTACATCCAACCTGGCCTTGAACGCCTCTAGGGATGGGGCATCCACAACCTCCTTGGGCAACCTGTTCCAGTGCGTTACCACCCTCCGTGTGAAAAAGTTCTTAATATCTAACCTAAACCTCCCCTGTCTCAGTTTAAAGCCATTCCCCCTTGTCCTATCACAATCCACCCTCGTAAACAGCCATTCCCCTTCCTGTTTATCCGCTCTCTTCAAGTACTGGAAGGCCACAGTGAAGTTTCCTCAGAGCTGCTCTTCTCCAAGCTAAACAAGCCCAGTTCCCTCAACCTTTCCTCACAGGAGAGGTGCTCCAGCCCAAAATGTTATAGGTACTATGGACTGCATTAAGTTAACATGTTAAATACTGGAAATGGAGTTGTCCCAAGCTCACATTCCACATAGTCTTCCTGCCTGCTTTCTCCTGACATTTTGTAAGTCTGCTGTCATTGGATGGGCTTGACAGAGAAACTAATTCAAGCTCTTTGATTCTTGATTTAAAAACAAACAACAAAACAACAATAGTGAAGTGTGGGGGTCTTCTAATCTGAAATGCTTTATTCAGTGGTGCTAAGGCATTAGTGACCCAGATGCCAGGAAGAACTCCTACCAGATATATAGTGAGACTGGGTTCTTTCTTTGTAAGCTCACTGAACCGCTGAACAAAGTCAGATGAAAGGTATGTGCTTTATATAGACAGGTAAAATGTGTTCATGACACAGAGGGCAGGAGGAACCTTAACTCATTTCAGACATTTTTTAATGACACTTCAGTAAAGGCTACTTTTTTCTTTGTTTTCTTCTGGCACCTGTTTTGTGATGTCTGTTCCCCATCAGACTGAAACTCAAAAATGCTTTCCCTTTTCTTTCCTGTTTACCATGAAGTCTTGCTATGTTTGAGAATGTGCTTCCTTGAACCTCATATTTTTAATTAGAAAACATGTGCATAGAAAAATAAGTAAAGATACTTATATCATATTAATAGAAACATTTTGGAGTTCCAACACCCCCAGATTGCTGTGTTCCAAAGCTGGAGTTAAAGGAGGTGTTTGGTTTTTTTTTAAGTGCATTAAGAGATCTAGAATAATTGTGGGAAATATTATCAGTCTACATAGCAGCAGAGGGCTTAAATGGTAAAAAGGAGGAAGTGTTTCAGCTTAAAAAGTTAGAAAGAACTAAGATTTCATTCTCATTTATGTATGACAGTATTTTCTTATCAGTGTGCAAAAGAATTGAGTTTAGCAACTAAGTCGCCTTTATATCATTTGGCTTAATCTTCTCTGTGATTCTTCATGTGTGACTTAATTTAAAAATGTGAAGATTGAAGTTTGTTTCTTATTGAAATCTAAGGTAATTGGTTTTGATGGAAACAGGTTTAGGCAAGTGGACTCTTTTCTCTGTTAATTCTTCATCATGTGGTGTAATATCTCTGACTAACTGGAAATAGGATATCACAGGGTTTCTTAATCACATGCAAATTCCATTATGTGCCTGAACTTTCAGAACAGACTTGGAGATTTAATCATTCAGACCTTTTTAGCTTTAATAAGGAAGCATGTGGTTAAATCTTTTTATTTAGTTTTGAAAAACAAGTCAACTGTGCAGTACTTTTCTGCCTTATGGCACTTCTAGTTTTTTAAGATGGGATCTTCAGAAAAGTTTTCTGGCAAAAGTAGGATTTCCGGTGAATGGGAGAGCAGTTGTTGAATTCATCTAAGGTATTCCTCTTCCTTAAAACTCAAAGGTATCAAGTAATAATGAATGGGGTCTGATGAACGTGGATGGGAGAAGTATGATATACCTGCCATCCTGATTCATACTTGTGAAGCATTTTTAGAATGTGTGTAGAACTAATCTGGAGAAAGTGTGAGATTTGAACTTGTTTGGGGTTTGTTGTTCTGTGTTATGTTTTGGTTGTTGTTTTTTGATTGTTTTTACAAGATTGAGCAGGAGAGGTAAGTTTTTTCAAGTTTCTCCAATGATTGAATACAATTTATATGTGTGTACCTTTGTCAGGTTGGGATTAAAAATCATTTCTTATTTGCTTTTTTCTTCTTTTCACAGACAGTATTCTCGTAAGAAGAGAGATGGCAGAAATCAGTTCTCCAGTAAATATCAAGGAGAAGGTAGGCACAAGTATCAGTACAGTGCAAACCAAAATGATGTATAGACGTTTCATCCCTGCTCCTTCAAGGACTGTTCACATACTTCATTTAAAATTAACTCTGTGAATGAAGTTAAGTACACAGACAGGTATTGCTAGGATTAGAATATTAATTTTGGCTAATGAGAAACACGTTTAGCTTTTCTGTAAGGAGACAATGTTTTGTCAGGTATATCTTTTTTATTCTCTTGTGGTCCCTTTACATGACAATGCTGTGGAGAGTAGCACTTTGTGATAGTTGCTGTGGTACAGAATTTAGCCTTTGAAGAAACACAGCCTTAAGAAATAATATTTTTCAACCAAGAATGTTGTACTTGTAATACTCAGAGGCAGTTCCTAAAATTACAGAGCTGAAAAGAGGAGAATTTCTTTCCTACCTGAGTAGCTCTGCTTCTAACCGCATTCTTTGTGTGTGGGTATATCCTCTTAATAACTGGCTAGTCTTGCTTGGCCTTTTGGAAGCATTAAGGAGTCTATAGCAGTTAGGACTGCAGTTTTGCAGGCCACTTTTATGTGAAGTGCTGCATAACCGTCTAAAGAGAGCCTTGGGCTTCTAGAATAGTTTTTCTCCTGTGCTATTTAGTTTTACAGATAGGTCAGGGATTTTTTTTTTTTTTTTTTTTAACTCCCAACAGGCAGCTTGTATAGAGATAATCTGCCTAAGTGATATTCCTCACCAATGCAGATGGGAAACAAGGGAATTTGTCAGGAACAGGAGAAGAAGGAAGTAGGGAGAGTATAGGAGTATAACACAATGTTGTATTTTAAAAGAAGCTAAGGTTTTGGGGTGTTTATAAGATCAGATTTTGTTTTGTCTCATGCTTGGAATGATGTGGACCTTTACATTTAGGAAGTTCAGAAAAAAGCTAATAGAGTCCTTGAATTGCTTTGTTAAGCATGATCTGGCTCTCAGTAACAGATTCTAAGACAGTGTGATGTACGTGAAGGGCCAGAACCTAATTCTGTTAGTAAGCCCAAATTTATTCAGATATCGATGTAAATTTGATTTGGGTGTATTCACATCATGGAATTCCACAAGGAGATAGGATCGAGTGTGTTTCATAAAATACCCTACTTGAAGGGAATACAGAAAATTGAAGGCAATGTGAAACTGAGAAATGTAGTCATCTTCCACTGTATCATAAGACCTACATGCATCCTGCTGGGTGTCAGGCATGTGAAATGTTCTCTGTAGGCCTGTCATTGGAAAAGACAAGAAAAAAAACATAGTTTCTTGTATTAACCCTTTTCCCATCTGCAAGAAAATATTATTCAGCAGATAAAGACTTCCCTAACTTTGGTTTTGCAATTCAAAACTGCAGCTTCTTGATTCAGTAGACCAGTAGCAGGGAAAGTAATTTGGCATGAGGAAGACCTGCCAAATACTGTAAATGTGGCCTTCCAGACTAGAGAAGTCTCAGTAAGTGATAGAACATTAAGATAACATGTAACACACCACAGCCTCTCAAAGACATAGGCCTGAACTCCAGAGGTCAGTAATCAGGTTTTAATTAACTTACTATTTCACTTCTGAGTTCAGAATAAAGCAACGAATTCTTCAATCAGGGAATATATTTCTGAGAATTGATCATGACTTAATGGCTTAGACACTGCATTTAGTTAATAAAGACCTCAAGAACTGTGACAATTATTGATCCTGAAACAAGGTTTCCTCAAGCTTCAGATTAATTATGTTTCCCAAAAGAGAAGTTACAAACTGTTGTTACCTGCCACAGGAAAGAAGTTGCCAAGGAAACAGAATAGCAAATGATGTAAGTAGTTCAGGTGGGAATGAGTTCATATTGTTGTGTCCATCTTTTCCTAATTATTCGCTTTGCTTTCAAAAGGTTGTAGAACCTTTTTGCTTTTATGTTCCTTGACGGGAAACAGTGCCTGACCTGATGCACTGCCACCTGGGGGTTTTTGAGTCCTTTTTCACTCATATTTGCTGTGTGCTGCTGAATGAATTACTGTGGCTGAGGATTTGCATGTCAAGGTGCATTTTGATGAAGAGTATATTCCTTAGTCTTTAATAACAGACAGGATTTAAGTATTGAGTAGCATGATGGATTTTGCACTCATTCTCTAGTGCCAGAATAAATTACTGTAAAACTTAAAATGCAGCTCAGTAAATCAATTAAAGTTATGTTTATTGACTATGTAGCTTAATTTTTTTCGTTAGTTTAGTCAATTTTACAAATGTGGGATCTTATAAATTGCCTGTTTGTCTTTTGCTAGTTTTAGAATGCAGAACTGCAGCAGGACTTTTATGTGCCATGTAATATTTGCTGTGCGAAGTCTGATATCTCTTGATTGTATCTTAAAACTAAACATTTATGAGCACACACATTTTAAAGCAGGTAGATAATAGAATTAATACTTATTTATAATAGTTTCTCTTTTAATTGCTGTTTTCCGCCAGCATTTAATGTCCCTAAATCCCTATGCCAAACTTAAAATCTAAGTTACCAGCAGTTAAATCTTATTGCAAAATCACTGGGTTTTATTCTGAAAAATACAGTCTAATAAGCTACTGATTAAAGGCTTAGCAACTGAACAGCATGAACTTCGTGATCTACATATCTGCCCAAAGAGCTAGCACGGTCGGTCTGCTATTTCAACTGGACAGTTCTGACTCATTCTAAAGTGAGATTGGTATGGCAGGACATAAAACATCCATTTCACAAATCCAATTTGGTTTACAGTGTGGAGGGTCTTTCTATGAGAGGCTTCTAAAGCCACATTCATGTTATTGCGGAGCTGTGCTACAGAAATTTGAGCACAGGGGTGAACCAATACACCTTTCTGAGTTGGCTTTAATTGTATTTGCCCATAAACTGCTAAAATATAAAGACCTTATGCACTTCTGAGCAGATGCATTTACGGTATCCTGGCAAGAGAGTGTAAATCAGATTTCTTTCTCACTTAAATAACGTACATGCACAGGGCAAAGCAGTCATGCTGCGAAGCATAAAAGCAGTGAGTTCAGTGTTTATTGTTATTCATCCTTTTGGTGAATATTTTTGGGAAACAGAAATGAAATTTATAAACTTAATTACTTCTCTGAGCCCCATCGCCGTCAGTACAAACACAATCAGTTCTTGTTTAAAAGGACAGAATCGAATACAATTCCTTCCCAAGCCTTCCTCTTTCCTACCTCAGTGCTTGCAAATGCTAGTATATGTAAGATTTTGTTCCTGCTAGGACTTGACTGCTGATCATTGTTTCCCTGTAACAAATAGTGTAGAGAGTCCACAAAGTTTTGGCATAATGTTTGGTTGATTGATTAATGTTTGTTTTTCCTGATTAAATGGTGGCATCTCCCCATGTACTTTCCATGATCAGCCTCTTATTACTGAGGGAAGTAAAACTTCTGCCACTGCTTTAAAGGAGTTGTATGAATGAGTCAGACATTTCAAGTAATACTGACTGAAGTTAGAATACTCACATCTGCAGATTTTATAAAACCCTACCCCTAATTTGAGTCTTAAAACAATGTTAATATCTTACTAATACTTGTGTAATTTACTCATAGCATTGCAGTTGAAATAGTTCATAAAGTCAATAGGTTAAGCGTTGTATTTTATCTCTTTCCCCACTTTTTCCCCAAGAGAGTAACATAAATATTCGCCTGTGATGTCAGCCTAATGAGTGTTTGCATAGTTGGCAGATACTTCTGCAGCTGTGATGCTCGTGTGGAGCCAGGGCAGTTCTGATTACCATATTTTCATGCACATAGTCCACAAATTTTCTGAAATAATACAAGCCCTGCACTTCAGCAGCAGCAGCTAGGGTTACAGTGCCAGTGTAGTTAGTGCAAGGAATTTACCATCAAGATCTCTCTCAAAATAATTCCTTTTGTCAGTTTGCAGACAGTTTCCAAGCTATGATTTCACTAGGTCTCCTTAAGGCTGACCTTCACAGCTGTTTCATACACATGTGTTGATGTGAAAGGACTTAGTCCAAAGACCAGCACAGTTGGTTAAAATGCACTTCTGTCATTTGATGAGCTATTTAACTTTGGCTAAGAGTATTATAGAATTAGGTTTCTAAATAATGCTGCCATTATTCAAGTGAAACAGGTCTTACTGAGCCAGACCTTATATATATATTTTTAATATATGTCTTCTCATAACCAATTTCCATTTCAGTAGTTGAAAAATTAGAGTAGAGGAGGATGCAGGACATTGTAATTCCAGGATATTTGCCCACACTAGATTACTGCAGCAAGTAGAATTTGGTTTGTGCTTATCAGGGGTAAGCAATCTGAAATGTAATAAACAGGGCATATAGCAAATAGAGAGGTGCAGACCTGATCAAAGCTGTTATTTTGCTCAAAGGGCAGGTTAAAAACACGTGCTCAGTGTGTCACAATGAACTGATCTAGTTAGCGAAGCTTCTGGAAGAATGGGTCCTACATAAATAATAAGCTTTTAATTCAGAAAATTCAAACTGTATTTATGATTTTTTTTTTGTAGGAGTTTTTCAAAACCTAAACTATTTCTGTCAAGAGGTGTTCTGAAAATACATTTTCTTGTTTAATGTTGTCAGGGTATCTGCTAATGCTTCATAAATTACAGAAGTCAGCAGAGTGCTGTAGACAGCTCTCCTTCTCTTGTCGTCATCCAGGGTTTGGGTCAGTCCCAGCCAGAATTGTAGTTCAGGCAAACACGGCTTACGCTGCTACCTGTCTGCAGTTGCAGTGAGTGTATGCACTGTGATTGTGCTTATAAAGATCTACTACTGACACAGTGAGAATAATCAGAATCAGAAAACATTTGTGTATTCTTTGATAACTGTACTTGAAAAATGAATTTAGCTCTTACTTAGAGAAAATCTGCTGAGCTTAATAGTTCATACCTAGTGAAGGTGGATGTGGGTTAGTGTTTGTAACCAAGCATGAGTAAAAGTACTTTAAATGAGTATGTGACCATAATAGTGACTCACTTCAAAGGGATTACAGCAGCTGTGTTCAGGGGTTTCAGAACAGTCATGAGCTTTCAGCAAAGAAGTTTAGTTTGTCACTATGTCACAAATATTTAAACAAATTCTCCGAACCCCGGATATATTCCTTATTCACCAAAAACATCCTCTTTGAGATGATGCCAAAGGGGAGCAGATGGAGTAGAGCAGCAAGCAGGCAATGCTTGATTCTGTGTTGTTACAGTTGCCTGGGAACCATCTGAAACTTGACAGAAAACCTAAAGGACTTGGATGAGTACGCAGGAACATCAGCTTGGTTCTGGATGCAGAGTAGGTGTTGTCGCAGCTTCTCACAACTTTGAAGCAGGCTGTATTTCTTTTCAAGCTTGCTATGTCAGGGACCTCTCATGAGATAAGTGCTCACAAGGACTTCAGGTATGGAAGATAATACCATGAGCAGTTAAAATTTCAGTGAATTATTTTTTTTTTTAAGCAAATGAGTGCCAGTTGAAATTTCATGTGGTTGAGCGGTAATCCTCAGAAAAATAGTCAAATATGTCCGACCAAAAGGAGCAAGGTTCTGCTTTCCACACTCTTGAGCATACATGGCAGTTTTCAGGATAAGGGCTTTATATTTTAGATCTATGGTAACTTCAGAGTAGCTTTTGTAAACTAGAATGTTGAATGAGCCTTCTGAGCAATAAACCAAGAAGGAAATGAATTCTCTTATCAGGCCACCAAAGGGAAAAGCCTAGAAGTGTAACTATTGCCAGAGACAGCATCTCAGCTAATGCTGACGTTAACTGTGCAATTATTTGTGATTCAGAATATATGTCCCAGAATGCTTGTCTAGCACCCAAAATGGTGACACAAATTTTCTGGAAATCCATGCTAGATAAAGACATGATGATTCAAAATTGTTAGAATAGTTGACTTCCCTGCAGTCTGTTAATGTTATTCTTTCTAAGATCAGGTTTCAGTGAGTCAGAGTTTGTTCTTGCAGACTGTTAATTATTAATACAGCATTAATCCTGTGATAGGATGAGGTTCTTTGGCTCTTCTTTTTCATGAGGTTGGTATATGTTTTTTAAAAGGAATTTATTTTTGATGAGAAGTCATAATGTATTTGATTATTCCAGTTTCAGTCTGTGTTGTTTATGTGTTGAAAAGATAGATGTTCTTGGTAAGTTTAATTACTGTAAGTTTTGGGAGATATAATTTGGAAATATACCCAGCCCTGGTATATTGACCTATCAAACCATTAGTAAAAATGAACTGTACACAGCCATCTGGGTTGAAGAGTGACAAACTCTTCTCAAGCAGTTGGATACTTGTAAGCAGTTAAGATGTGTAGCTGTATTGGCAAAAGGACAGGTGTATTAGCAGAACCAGAAGGTGAGCCAGCAGAACCTGGCGTACTGGCACTGCATGGCTCCAGCTCACATTCAGCCCCACTCTGCATCTCCTTCTTGTCAGCTTTTATTTGTCAAGTATTCCTGCAGCTTAGCTGCCTTTCATTGTAGATTGCAATGGGGCTTTTATGACCTTCAGCTGTGTAAGTGCATTTCTGTTAGACTTATGCTTTCAGCAAGGCTGTCGACATCTCCCTTCAGTGTTTTCTTGTATATCCCCACGTTCCTTTCCAGAAATATATAGGACGCATTTTGCATGTAGAAACAGACCTCAGGTTCGAACATAGAAATCTACACAGATTTTGAAGATGAGTAAGAGAACTAAACGATAGAATATTAGGGACCATAAAGTTAAGGCTGTCATATGACCTTGTCTTCCTCAGCTTGTCCTTGTCCTCCTGTCAAGTAGGTTGTTAGGTTGGAATTATGTTAGAATTTCTTACTTGCAGCCATTTATCCATTATTTTTGGATATTCAGAAACCACTGAGTTTTTTCGTTGCATGTGTACAATTCCAGTTTATTCTGGATGAAATATTCAGTGCATATGTTGGAGACGTCATGTCTGATGCACACATCTGGCTGACTTAGAAAAGAAAACATGCCTAGTTTATTTCATTTTATTCCTAAAAAAAAAAAATTTAAGACAAAATATTTCAGAGCAAAACTTTTTGTGATTTCTCTGCTATTGGAATTCTGGTTTTATATCTGCTTTGTTGTTTCAGAACAGAAGAGTATATGTATCATTTTCTTAATAGCATATTCTACAGATTAGAAATTCTAGTTTTCACCTCTCTTATCCCAAATAAGTCAATGCAGAAATTTGGAAAGCAGAAGAATTAATAATCAAGTGAGTATCCATACATACACAAGGGAAGCTGATTAACAGTGTGTTAATCAACTTCTGGTTTGGATTTTCCAAAGTCCAGAATGCTTTACTGTACAATCTGATACTTATTTACTAAAGAGTCGTCTTATGAAAATTCTTATTTTCTAGAGAGAAAAATAAATGTGTATCTTTTCTAACAGTCAACAAAGGCAATTGCTTTTCTGGCAGTAAAACCATAGAGCTCTGCTTAAATGTTCCCCTAAACTGAATTTTTATGATGTCCAACTAAAACAGAACTGTGTCCACAGAGCTGGTCATAGGCATAATATCTTTACTCTGTATTAGTGAATGTTCTTCCCTAACAGACTTGTGTTACTTTTTTGGGGGTTATCTCCATAACTAGAATGTGTCCACATATTTTCAGTGTTAGGTTGTAATACTAGGGGGATCAAGAACAAATTAGCTTTTAATTCTGATTTTTATATTAATCAAAAATTTCCAAAGTGCAGGGTGTGGCAAGTTGCCTGATCCGTCCTGTGGTCTTGGCCTCACTTTGTAGTTTCCAGATGCTTCTTAAGGCTTCCAGACCTCTCATAGCAAAGAAGGACCTAGCAGCCATGTGGAATTCCCATGCTTATGGGAATGGCTGGAGTACACTAAATATTTCCTTTTGCTATTCTTCTGTAAGTAATTGCCACAAGCAGCTTAAGCAGTTCTGAGTGGGTAGAGAGATGAACCATAAGATTGTGAAAGAAGAGGGGAGGTTTTTGTGAGAATGTGTAGTCCACATGATGGGAATGTTTGGCAACTACCAACTTGAATATAAAGTGGACAGCAGCTTGTGGCCTGCTGTAGCTCTCATGTATCTGCCAACTTTTATTGGTATGGAGCCAACTCAGTTCATGCTTGTTGCAGTTTTATCAATAAATAAAATAGCGTGCTAGTGCCCACAATCAGGGAATGAATAAAGCTCGTTTTTCTTGGGTTTTCTCATTGCATTCTATTAATTTCAGATGGTTTTCACCTAGAATGCCTGCAGTGCATAAAGAGCTGTGCTCACAGTTGCTTGCTTGTTGTTTTTTGTTTTGTTTTTCCCTCCCACTCTCAGACGCATAGCAACTGAAGAGAGAAGCTTGAGCAGACAGATTTTTCTAGATAGTTCCTGGAAATGCCAGAGGCTCACTTGATCAACTTGATCGCCTAGACAGTCTCAACTTCCAACATGATGATATTTTTGTTTGCTAGAATCTCCAGTGCAGCTAGCTGTTGGGCTGCGACCCTAGCTCATGGGCAAACCTTGCTGAGCCATGGGGTAAGAACAGTGGACACGTGATTAGATGGGCCTTTGGGAAGGGTCCTTGGAAAATGAGAGAAGCGATTTGACTCTCGTACCATATTGTAGTTGCTAATTTTGAGACTATATAAATAATAGTTTTGGCCTGAGTTGTCCAAGGCTAAACTTGTTACTTGAAACATGTTGTGGACAAATGTGTAGCTGCAGACAGGTGATTGATAGGATGGTGGACAGGAGTGAAGTCAATTCTACCAAAGCAGAGTCACTAAATTTGTCTCTGCTGAAGTCAGAAGTTCTAGATTAACTTATCTAGAAATCTTGATCCTGTGTGGATGGACCTGAAGCAAGTATCTACCATCTGCTGTGCAGAAGCTAAATCCTGCAGGAGTCATGAATCAGAGCCTTCAGTCACTGTCAATTACAGAACTTGAGTAAATCATGGCTTATATTAGTATACAGAAAATAGAGTGACTGAGGATGGATGTTGATGTAAAACAACAAAATAACATTTTAGTAATAAATCTTAGCATAAGTCTGAATCGCCTTCTGGTGCTTCCACTGGTAAAGGTGCCATAAAGTTTATCTAGTTTGTTCCTTTTTCAGCATTTACATGGACAGCTAAGTCAAGCTGATATGAATATTCTCAGTATGTAATCCAGCCTAGCTCTATTACATACAACAGACATATCTTCACGTGTTTGTTTTCACAATTCAGCGTGTTCATAGTACTGCGAAAAGACCACCAGTGTTTCTCAAACAGAAATTAGCATAATGACATTGTGATTTGATAACTAAAATACACAAAGGTGTAGTCCTGCAGAGAGGGGGCAAAGAAAGCTGCTAGTTCCGTTTCTGCAGTGCATCAGGTTTTTAATCGTAAACGTGTGCTGGATAGTCAGAAAAAAGACGCTCAGGTGTTTTGAAGCAACTGTACTGATTTCTGATTTTTATTTCTCTACTTTGGTCTCTTAAAGAAATTGCTTCCATTTGTTGCAGGAGGCACTAAAGAGATTGACACTGCTTTCTATGGGTATAGCATTGTACATTGTAAGCATTTATATAAATGGACATTTGCACAATACTGTGTTTTCTTAAAGAATATGATAAACTTATGTATTATTACCTTCCTTCTTTTTCTTCCAGATCAATGCAATCCGATCAGTTGTTCCAAACAAAAGCAATAACGAAATAGTTCTGGTGCTGCAACAGTTTGATAACAATGTAGACAAGGCTGTCCAGGCTTTCATAGATGGTAAGTACAATACTTTTTCCACTAAGGCATGAGGGATTTATCTACATGCTGAAGTATTCTGGATGCCTGTAGTGTATGCATTCTGTTGTTCTTCTGAAATTCACATGGTTGTGACTCTGCCAGTTCATTTTTTATAGTTCATCCTGCTGTCTGCATATTTGTTTCTTCACATCGCGAGCTTGACCTGGCTGTTCATCTGTTCTCCCGGAGGTTTCTTTTAGTGTAATTCTTGTTGCAGACCTTTTTTTTTCTGATGAAAATTAATGCTCTTTAAAGTGTGTATGTCATAAGATGATTCACTGCTGGAGACAGACTGCTAATGGAAATTGAGGATAGTTCTGAAGCAGATAACTGGGCCCACAAACCCCTGAATTTGATGCATACCTTGACATTCAAGCCTCAATCTAAATTTTGCAAATAGCTTTGATATTTGTAATGGCTGAAGCAAGGCTCCATTGAAAGTTTGAGATGCTCAAAATCTTTATCTGGCTTTGTATTTTGCATCGTGAGGCCATCTCTAGTGAAAGGTCACTTGTATTTAAATAACACTTTTCTGATAACTATATAATGGCAAGAATTTTGAACTTCCTCAAAGTCTGTTAGAAAACCTTTGTAGAAATACTGGCATAATGTGAGGAAATCCTCTCAAAATTCTGTTGCTTGAGGGTGCTTCAGAGATACTACGAGGCCAGAATTTCAAAAGTCCTATTATGTCTTAAAAAGCAAATCAACACTGTGAGGCTGTTCATATGGCCTGGTGATACCAAAACATTAGGGAATCATTATGAGTTATCTCACCAAGCTGCTTATTTCATAGCTATTTTAGTTCAGAATAGTTTTGATTTTAGTTTGAGTTAATTTACTGAAACACATCTGTCAAAAAGTATCAGGTACTAAGAATTAAATATAAATATGTAGAAAGCAGATGTGAGCAAGCTAATCACAAATGCATCAGAATTCTACTCCAAAAGTAATGCCTCCTGTTTTACAATGTTGGCCCACAGTGTCAGCGGCAAATCTTGGTGGTATAGCATTAGGTTGAATCTTCCCACCAGTATCCCATTACACTTGGTTATTATGTGACAGATGGCAGCAGAGGGGCAATATTTCAAAATGGTGTCTGACATGGAAGTGTGGATGAAGCAAAGGTGTGCCACTGAATTCCTCCAAGTGGAGAAAATGGCACCCACTGACATTCAGTGACACTGGCTGAACATTTATGAAGACCAAACAGTGGTTGTGACAACAGTGAAAGTTGGACTGTGTGAGCAAAGTTTTCCTAGCAACAGTGCTGTTGTAGCAGTTGTGAAAAAGTGAGCCACCTCTGCTGGTGCAGATTTTTATGAGCGCGCTGGACTCTTGTTCATCACTGGTGAAAATGCGTAGGTGATGGTTGCAACTGTTGAAAAATAGTGTTTTGCAGCTCAGAATTTGCACTATCAAATAGTGTTATCGTGCTCTTTGTAGCTGTTGGAGTTTCCATGGAAATAAATAGGAGGCATTACTTTTAGAGTGACCTACATACTTCTCCCTTTTTGGTTAACAGCAAATATCTTGTGTATTGAAGGAAAATAAGTGCTTTCCTATCCACACATTGTCCTAGCTATGAGGAACAAATGGTAAAAGTAAACCTTGTAAGAGAAATTAAAAAAAAAAAAATCTTGAAAAAGACCTACTAAGGTGATGTAACTCACCTCTAAATGGCCTTCCTTTGAATTTGATAAGTTGATCATCATTATGCCTTTAGTTGAGAAGTCTTTTCAAATTGAGCATTTGAAAACAGACTATTTGCCACTCACTGGAAACACTGCCCTCATTTCGAAGACAGAAGCCTGGATTTGTTTAAGCACAAAGTGGCACCAGGGATGTGTGTCCATTCAGCTGCTACTGTGAATAGAATGAATATAGATAGCTCTTTAAGTCATATTTTCATGCGAATGACAAAAATGCCAAGATTTAAATATCTCACAGTCACAGGGAACCTACTGCTACATACAGCGTATAACACGGGGACAGCCATTTATTACTGCTCTCAGAATTACTGCATGCTGAATCAGTGTTCAAATTTAGTTTTCTGAGGTCATCTCCTATCTTTCTTTATATCTGGAGTGACATATGTATGTTATGTATTATTTATGTGAAATGTGAGTTTTAAAACTGCAGTTAAAATGTCACCTTTGCTGTGTAAGCATTTACCTGAACGGGCCTAAACAGAAGTTGTGTACAGCTCCTTTGTGGACATGTTCAAGAAAATTATTCTCATGCATTGCGGTAAAGGTTTTGGGACTTGCATGGTAGTGCGTTTCCAACAGGGAGGGCACTGGAGTTGTTTGTGCCAGTCCCTGAAGTAATATTAACTGTGCATAGTACTCACAGGGCAACTGAGGGAAGTAGAACTAAGGCAATGCCATCCAACACAGAAAGTATTGGATGCTACCGTGGAAACAGCTAACAGAGCTCTCAAGTGAAACTGTGCGTGTTCAGCAGCATGGATTTATGAAGGCAGCAACTGTGGTTTTATTTCACCATAGTGGAACAGCTTCTATCAAAGATAGCATACTTTTAAGAAAGGAGCAAGGGAATTGTGTATGTGTATATACTGTATGTGTGTGTGTGTATATATGTGTATATATATATATATATATATATATATATATAAAGTAAATATTGATAAATAACTATATATATATATATAATGGAATCTTTCTTAACCTTCTGTCTGCAGTGTTGTGTCATCTGGGAAGCAAAGTTTGACTTTGGATTCCATGGGTATTTGTTCACGGTTTAACAAATCAGTCTTAGCACTGCTGCAAACAGATATAATCACTTCCCATGTGTATGAGGGACTCACCAAATAATCTCACATCTGGATTATTTGAACAGAAAAATAATTTTGGTGCATTTGAAAACCTTGCATGTTTTTGTCAGAATACAAGTTGACTACTCGTAGCAGCCTGAAAGCGGCAGCGCTTCTTAACATTGATGTCACCTGAAACGAGCGAAAGAATAGCAGTATATAAAACCATTTGCACAGAATGGTAAATAAGTATTTACTAGAAAAATGGATTCTCAAATTCACACGGAAAAGTTCTAGCTTGGTGTGATTAAGAAGATTGTTGATACTGTAAATGTCTGGATGCAAGTGCAGGCTGCATGCTTCCATGAGTGTGTTTTTAGCTTAAGAATCAAGGAAAACACACCAGTGATAACAGGATGTAGAAGAGTTTTCTTCCAAAGTGCCAGCTGCAGCTGATCTGACCAAGGCTGCTTTCATTTTGTCCTGAAAATTTTATCTAACCAAACACTGGGACTGGCAGACAAAACTTCAGGTATACAGAATCATATTCGTTTTCAATATGATTAATGGCTTTTACTGCCAGGCCTGTGTACGGACCAAAGGATGCAGAGTTTCTGCAGTTGACTACAAAACTATATTTCTACATGCTAATTAAATCTTCAGTTTTATGCTCTTAGGTTTCCTGAATATGGCAGATAATGTGCAGGAAACATCTGCCAAAACGCCAAGAGATTTAAAACTATGAAGAAGCTTGAGAAGCAGGAGAACCTAATTTAGTGTTATCTGGGGTACTGAGATACTTCTCTTTCAGACAAAATATTGATTTTTTTAAAAATTATTATTTATTCTCTGAAGCTTATGCTATTGCATTTTGTTAAGCATCCACTTAATTACTTCGTGCAAGGAAGAGCATAAACAGCAGTAGTGCCAAATAGCTCATCCACAGTGTAATCAGCTAAGACAAAAGTAAAAAGGACAGAGGCAGCAGTTCTCCTTTTGTTTTCCCAACATTAGAAATCTCACAGAAACAAACAGAAGTGCTGCCTGGCTGGGAAACTGAAAACTGCTTCCAAATACTAATTTTCTTATATCTTTTGTTGAAATGATTTCTCCCTCTTTTCTCTAGGTAGTGCAACTCAGGTTCTGAAAGAATGGAATATGACAGGGAAAAAGAAGGTAAGGACTTGCTCTGGAAAATCAGAGTATTCAGACCACTATCAGCTGTCTACAAGTGAATGTAATATTTTCATTTTGGCCAGTACTTTTTGAGCCTTTGCTAACATAGGTGACTTCATCCATGCCTCTGTTCAGAATACCTAAGAGCAAACGTATGCGCTGTTTTTCATCTTGTTCATCTGTTGCTGTTTCTGTAGTGCAGAGTTCTGAGTTTCTGGAACAGCACATTTGTGTTTGTAGAAGCCAGACTCTAGACAAGTACAGAATAAATTCCCAAACAGCCTACTTTTAATATGCAGTTGTGTCCTGGAGAGTCGCAGCCACTTGGTGCTAGAGGTTTTTGCTGGGTGTAAGGATAACATATGCATAGGAGTATTCAATTAGGAATATGTACTAGGGTTGTTCCCAGGTCAGACACTTCAAGAATATGTTTAAGATGCATATATATACACAGTATGCTAAGTGGCAGCCCAGGGAGTCATTGTTCTGGAGACTCCACTTTATGGGTTGGAGAATTACAGCAGCAGTGGCTAACCTCTGTCTTCTGCTCCTATTCTTCCAGATAAGAGGGATTCCTTCAGAGATTGTCCGTGTTACTTAGTGGGTGTCCCCATGGTGGTTAGGAACTAGTTGAGCATCATTGAAGCCCAGGCTCTGTTACCATTTTGCAGTATAGCTGTTCTGTTTAGAAGAAAAAGGAAAAACAATGTGGGTCTTCTGTTTGTATTTGAAACTATTTATATTTTCAGCTGAACAGATGCAGTGGTGTGCTATATAATACACTGCATGTAAATTGCATTGTAGTGAATGACACTTATACAGCATTTTAAGAATACTGATCATTTTGTATTTATATGGTTTTTGTTATATATTGAGTTTTTGAGCTGCTCTGAGTAATGTCTGTTTTCTCAATACTGCTGAATTTAGAATAATAGGAGAAAAAGAAGCAAATCTAAACAGCACCAAGGCAGCAAGGATGCTAAAAATAAGAGTGATGGGCCTGAGAAGGCACCTCAAGAGCCCCAGAGACTACCTGTCTGCCATCTGAATGGATGCTCTAAGGACAACCGTTGTGGTGATTCTGCCAATGAGAAACTGGAAGCCACTTCTCTGGAGAACAAAAGCTCACGATTTGTAGCATCAGCACCAGGCTGTCCAGAAACCACAGGTCAGTTCATCTGGAACGAGGCACCTTTTAATTGGCAACAGACAAGCCTATTTACATAGGGATCATAATTTTTACTGCTATTAAATGAATACAATAAAAGGATATCAGAGAGTGATGTTTGTGCAAAATGTATGTTTTTGTTAAATCTGTGCACGTAGATCTGTGTCTGGGCACAGTTTGTCTTGCAACAAGTATCCTTGCAAGGTATCTCTTTTTTTTTCTTCTTTAGAGCAAAAAGTTTAAACTGTAATCAGAGAGGCCCAGCTGGTGTGGAGTATGACATAAAAATACAGGAGAATACAGGGTTTGAAAATGGCTTTGGTATAAGATGGTGACAGAAGTGATCAGGTCCTTCACCTGGGACAAAGTAGTACGGGCCTGCTGCATGTTGTAAAACTTCTTTACTGCCTAGTCCAGGCTAGTCCATTTTTTTTCCTCATCTCCCCTGAATAGGTTAGTCAAAGTGGATCTCCACTGATTTTCCCTTATAGGGGAAGGAGGACCTTAGTGTTGAAGGAGGTGTGATCTGATAGTTGCTTAGTATGCATGCATTTCTGCTAGGGTCTAGATACTGAATTGGAAGCTCTGGGGAGCAGTAACACAAAGTTCTTCCTTGCTGAGTTCTAGTAAGCATAGAATTACTGTTTATGGTTATACCAATGGAAACAAACCTCTGCACGAGAAGCTCTATGAAAGGTCAATTAAATAAAATCTCTGCAATGCGTAGCAGCCAAATTGCAGAACTACTTATGAAGACATTTTGTCTGAAGAATTGTGTGGGAGGTCAGAAATACTCCTTGCCCTTGCTGAGGACTCATACTGATTTTGGATAGAATATGCCACGAGCCAGAAAATCCTGCAGTTCCATGATATTAAAAGAATTTTTACTACTAATTCTGCAGCATGTATACATTTGTTTATTCTTTTCCTCCAAATTATATGGTACGTGTAATCAATCTGTCATGTCAAATTTGAATCAGCCCTAAAGTGTTTTCTAGCAGGCAACAGACCTGAATTCAGGAACTCACATAGCTGTGCTGTCAGTGGTCTTTTTATGTGACACTGGGGTTCAGTCATCTTTTTTTTTTCTCTTTGAGGTGATGCCATTTAGATTTGTGCATATTAAGGGCAAGAAGGATCTCAGATTTTTTTTTGTTTGTTTTTACGAATGTCAAAGATGATACATATTACCGTAGCTTTTTATAAGCATTTTATAAGATTTGTATAAACTTTTAGGCATGTCACTGACCTAGTAACTGGTCTTTCTAAGACAAGAGAGGGAGAGATGGTGGAAGAGGAAGGAGGTGGGGGAAGAGAATGGAAAGGAAGCAGAGAGAAAAGAAAGCTGAAACTTTAATATTTCTGAAGTTTGCATTACGTGGTAAAATAAATTCCTGGTAATTTGTGTACTAAAGAGAAGTTAGGAGATTCTTAAACACTACCAGATGCACTAGAATTCTGGTCTTGCAGGCAGTTTAGTAGCTACTTTCTTGAGGTCAAAAGGTATTACTAAATGTGTGCTGAAGTACGTGGAACTAGAGAGAAGAGAAGAGTGAATAGGATCTTCCAGTTCAAAAACTGTGCCTTGGTTTTTGGGGAAGTCAGACTGCGCTAAAGCTGTTTGAAATGCTGAAGCATGTGTAGAGAGCCCTTGTCTTACATTTTTTCCTTTCGTGTTGCAATATCTTATGTTTTGTCATTGTCAGTCTTGTTTTGTTTTGTTCCTTTGCTATCAGTTTAATGTTACTGTAGACTTTTCACTCTCACCTTCAGACAACTGACACCATAGAAGTATATCACAGGGGTCTGCTGACAGCTCCTTATGTTTTCTTCCCCGTGAGAAATAGCAGGCTGAATTCTTGCTTATATCATTTCACAGTCTGTGAGATTAGGTCCTTCATAGCCATAAAAGTGTGACTGCCTGAAAGAGACTCCAGGGACGAGATAGTAAAGTAAGGCTGGTGTTTCCCTGTGATGTGCCACAGTATGATGTGAGAGGATGTGTGGATATTGCATTTAATTTAGGTCTGCCTATTTCTTTATGTTATTCTGTCTCTCTTTGTATTAATGTCTTCAGTACACTTTTTTTTTGTTCAATGTTTTCCTGCAAGGAGTGAAGACCTGCTAGAGAATCTTGTAACTCCGTGTATTGTACCTTACTGTTTTCTTGCAGGCAAAGAACGTGAGCGTCAGAGAGTGTCTGTGGAGTTAAACCCAAAGACTGTGAATGGAGTAGAACAGCATGAGCCTCTTCAGTCACCAGTTCAATTGCAGGGTAACCTAGGCAGGCCAAAGTCAAAATCTTCCTCAGTTAAATCATCCAATGCTACAAGCCAACTTGAAACAAAACCAGATGATTCAGTGAAAAAAAGAGGTAAAGCAAGTCTCTTCATGTGGTCATTGTGTAATAAAATGATCAGAAATCTGGTGCTTCTACAATAAAAAAAAAAAAGTGAAGGAGAGATGTCTTGGAAAGTGGGAGTAAAATCACATTCAGTCTAATAAAAATAAGCGGAATAATTTATAATTGATGTAAAATTAAATTTGAAATGAATAATTTGAACTATTTGGCTACTTTGACAATTATCTAGTTTGAGGAATTAATTTGAGTGTATATGTTTAGGAATTTAAGAATATCATAGAAGAACTATGGAAAATATGGGCTTGTGGACTTCAGTGGGCAAATAATGTTATATTGTTCCTGCTCCCTCATTCAGAAAAGCCAAAACGAGCTTTCTGACTTTTGTGCTGTTTTTGTTTGTTGTTGTTTTGTTTTGTTTTAGGGCCAAACATTGAAAAATCAGTAAAAGACTTACAGCGTTGCACCGTTTCTCTAACTAGATATCGTATGATGATCAAAGAGGAAGTAGATAATTCAGTGAAGAAGATCAAAGCTGCTTTTGCAGAATTACACAGCTGGTAGGTAACTCAGCTTAAGGTCCCTCAGCACCACCTAAGAGTAAGGAGCTCATGCAGGCCAATGACATTGGTGATCTTACACTCTGTTTATTTGTTCTTGTCAAAAAAAGATGTAGTGTAATTGAGAAACTCCTCAGCAATAAGAATATAATACATGTATATTTGCATGTTTATGTATATTCTTAAAGAGGAACAAAACTGCAGTACTTAGGAAAAAATAAAACCTAGTGGGATTTTTTTTCCAGAGCAATCCATCTTCATCTAGTTCTTTCATATCAAGTTCAGAGGCAACATAACTGAGCAAGTGAAAGCTTTCCCCAAAATTCTGTCCTTACAGCATATTCTGTAGTTTCTGTTTTCTGCTTTAAGACGTGGAGAAAGAAGAGATTCAATCTTACCTCCTTTGGCACCATGTCCTTTGCTCACTCTACATTTCTCATACTCTTTGCTTCTTATCCCACCATTCTTTTTTTATTTTCTCCTCTTTGTTTCTTCTTACTCTTCTCACTTATTTCCAGTTCTCATCTCTAATTCATTCTTTTTCCTCATTGCTTTATCTCCTACTCTTTTCTTTTTTCCATTATAATTTTGTTTCCTGATCTTCAGCATACATGTTCTGACCTTTGAAAATTCGTAGCTGTCACAAGTGCTTATATTGCAAGTTCCACGTTGCTATATATGACTTAAAAAAAAAAAAAAGAAAAAAGTATATAACTTTTAAGAAGTTTAAAGTCTTAAAAATGTATTTTTGGTTTTAACTTTTACTCAACTAGCTTTTATTTAATCAACTACCTTTTAGTTAATTGTAAATGCCATATAAAACCTACATTTTATATGGTGTTCCAGTAAACAGAAAAAACATGTACGAGTCACCTACAAATCACAGAAGTGTACAAAACCTTTTGCCCTCAGTTCATTCACAATATTTTTCAGTATTTTTACAAGCAATTCTTAGGAAAGTACAGTAGTATCAGCAGAAAATCATTATCTCGGGGTTTCAGTGGTGTATTTATTGTCTTCAGTGATTCATCCTGAGAGGCTTCAGTGCCATTGGGCTGTCGTTTCTGTATGGAAGGAAAGTTCAGGCATTACTGAGCTGGTTCTGTGGAAGATTCTTTTGCGCCAAGCTGGTGGTGTACCTCATTGTCTAACAGAAATAGTTTCTTTCCCATCTCTGAACTAAATGAGCATGGGTTGTGATTGGCAGTTGTACAAAACTGGCTAGTGTTGTCAGGAGTGCTCCAAATTACACTGTTAATATACAATAATAAAGTGAATTTCATTGTCCATTTGCACTTTTTGTGGTAGCTCGTAGATGTGCTCTCTCAGGATTTTAGAAAACATTTACTGCTTATGCTCAGATGGTTCTGACGTTTTGTCTGAGTAATTTGACAGTTGGGTCTCATTAGGTGTGTAGTTTCTCTTGCCCTCAATTTTTATTTATTTTTTTTTGCAACAGTGTTAAAACCGTAGTGTGTCATGTGCCTAATCTTGTTTGCATGTACTCACAGTTAATTGGAGCTTTAAAAAATAGTTATTCTGGTTGTGAAATAGGCGTTATCCTGATCTAAATATGCATGGAGAGTGGATATATTATTAGATTCAGAACTGAAATTACTCATTTTGTATGCATTCATGTTTTAGCCTGAAAAAATATTGAAACGTATCACCTAGTACTAAAATTTGTTATCGTAATAGGTGAGCTTAATAGAAAAAGCGACAAAATGATCCAAAAGGACCGTGTAAAATCAAGTTGACTCAAAATGATGAAAAATAACCAGAAAAACTTCATTTAGTTCCACCTCCTAGCAGATGTTGTACTTAAGTGCTGTAGTGGAGTCTGTCAGAATCTCTAGAATATATCAGACCTGTGCTCCAAATATTCATGCCTTACAAAGCCATTTTGTGTAGCACAGCATTACATGCAATAAGGAGAATGTGATGTGAGGACACGGTTTCAGAAATTTCAGCATGGATTTTGTTGATTTTAGCAGCACAGAGGTCTGGTATTCAAGTTTTTGTTCAAATACATGAAGAGATAAATTGGTTTAAGCTGCAAAATGTGTTACTTAACTTTTGGTAAAAATTAAAAACAGTTCTAGGATATTTAATATGACCTTGTAAAATAAATCTCTGAAAAAGATGGGAAAAGCTGTCTCCAGCACCTAATTTATCAAAACTTGCTTCCACTTGCTATAAACTCACTGCTTTCAGGTAGAAATCACTAGATTCAATGATACATTTAGCTTCAGACCTCGTACATTCAACAAGGTATTCCTGGGCATATGACAGTTTCCCTACTTAAAAGCTGAACAGTGCATCATTAGTGGTAGTGTGAGGATAAGATAATTGAGTATTCAGCCACCTGCACATTTATAACCCTCCTTGGGCATGGGAGTTTCACTGTGGCACAGTCAATTTGTCTGTCAAGGGAAAATGAAGCAGTTCAGCTGACTGTGCTCCCAGAATGTTATGCAGTAACCAGAAGCAAGGATAGGTAGAGAACAGGGAAGTGCATAAGCATGACAGTGATATCTGATCTTTTTTCTGGTAGTGATTACAAAGCTTTTTGAACGTTCTTGGGGAATCCTGCTACTCCCAGCATAAAATACCACAGCATGTTATATAGACACAACCAGACAGGGGCAGTTTGCCCCTACTCTGTGAGAGATCTTTTATGTACCCATGTGCTTGTGCCTGGCTGGTGTTCTTCTGTGACCTGGCACACTTCTCACCATTTTTGCAAAGTCTACTATGGTATTGCTTTCCTTAAGGCTAAGAGATAAGCAGAGCAACCTGAATGGGCACTCTTTCTTGGACTTGTACCTGAAAGTTATGAAGAACATCCTTCTAACAGTTCTGCCTGTTTCTGCTCAGTGTTTCTGCTCCTTGCAATCAGGCTGAGGGGTGTGGGCGTCAGGTGCATCTCTGTATGAGTGAGAATATAAGCTGCCCTGGTTACTGTTTGAAGGCAGAAGATATCAGAGCACAGCCACATCATACAGTAGGGTAGGACAAGGAAGAGAAGAACAACAAACTATTTAAGTTGCAGGGAGGATCAGTAAAACTCAGCGAGGTCCCCTCTCAATCGTGTTTGAGGCATTTGTTGCCAAGGTTAAAACTCTCATGCTGTAATTGTGTTCTCACTTTTCTACCGAGAGACTGAATAGTCACCTTGGGGATAGAAAGAGAGCCCCAGGAAATCTGAGTGAAGTGAGTAAAGCACAAACGGAGCCACTGTTCTTCATAGCACCTTTTGCCAGCAAATCATTTGTACATATTGGGCATCCACACAGTCATATGGAGGACTGAAAAGAAACATCTGCCACTCGTCCATACAGTCTGCTTCCAACCACAAATGGAAAGCACTCTAGTAGTGAGAGACAGATTTAATTACTCTGTGTGCAGAACCCGAACAAAGAAGGACAAGTCTATTCTGCTTGTTGCATCTCAAACGCTGTCGTATGTCCAGTGGTTTATAAAAAGCAGGAAAACCAGCACCATGAAAGAACAAAAAGGACTTGAAAGCTTCACCATAGTCTGGGTAAAAAAATATCTCTGGCATAATACTGGAAAAGAAAAATGGGCTCTGGCACTGCTAACAATTTAAATATATATTCAGATGCATTCAAGGAAGCATATACTGAATGTCTGGAGAAGGTAAAGCAAATTTGCTGCTGCTGTCTAATTCAGAATAAAAGCAGAGTAGCAGTTAAATGGGGGAACGTGTCATTTAAGAGGACATAATAATTCAATGCCAAGTGATAAGCAATACTGCTGGTGCTCACAAGTGCAGAACAGTGTCATTCTCTTACTGGGACACTTACTTGGTGAACTGTAAAGATTATGGTTTTGAGCTTCCTATAGTCCATGTTCAATAGTGCTGGATTAAGACCTTTCCTCATTAGAGGTGTTGTAGCATAGAGTATGGGCAGATGCCTGGGAAGGCCAGGGCTGGTATTGTTTTACACTGAGTTGAGTTTCTGTGCTACTCCCTGCGTTTCCAGGCAGTCCTCATTAGTTTTCTATGTGTCTGTCCTTCAGCTGACACTTTGTAGTCCTTATGTGTCTAAAGAGATTTTCAAATCCTCTTGCAGTTTGTTTGCTCATCAATCATGTAATCCAGTCCATAACCTTGTCAGCAGAAAGGAAAAATATTCTACCAAAAGTTTAGGTTTCCTGGAGCCCAGCTTTGTTTTCAGGTACCTTCAAAGAGTAGCACTTCTACCTAGGCCCCCCAGCCTTACTCTCACCTCCTGGGGGGTCTGGAAGGACCGCAGAGTAGCTCTGGCCTGAGGCTGGCCACTTGCCTGCAGAGCTACAGCAGCTGGAGCTTGTGCTTGCTTTTTTCTTGCTGTCTCCAGCAGTTTGGGATTACTTTCTTTGGCTTAGTATTAGTGGAGGGAACAGATGGATCTCTTGAAACAATGAGATTCATAGTCCCCTTCCTGGCCTCTTAGTCTTTTACAGATACTTACTTATGGGAATTATAATATATATATATATATATTTTACTATACTTGGGAAGGTAGATTCCACTGTCTCATTGCCTGTTCATACTGTGTGGCCTCATGTTGTCTTTTTTATCTAGTCATTTTTAGGTGCGTTTTTTTCCTGCAGAGTGTGAGCATGTGGTTTCTTGGGCTGTGTCGTTTTTGTGGATGTTATTTTGGGAAAAAAAAAGTGAATATGCCCTTTCTGATCTCAGTTTCGTGTTAAGGAGAAATCTGACTTAATAAATACATAAAGGGAACAATCTCAAAAACGTTAATAGATTCCAAGAGCCAAATACCTCTCCCTTCTTTGTGACTTTCCAGGATGTTTTTGGGAAAGTTACCTCTCCTGAATATCAGGAGCACTAGAACAGGAGCTACAGCCTTCTGCCATACCAAATGCATTTTGGCTAACTGTATAAAATCAGTACAATGCTGAGATACCTGTAACTGAATCAGAACTGAGACTCAGACAGGAAAGAAATCCATGATAAAATAATGTAAAAACTTGCCAGTTTCTAACAAGCCATGGTGCAACTCATACAGTTTTTGAAGTTTGGTAAAATTCTAAGATAATGACTTCATTTGTAAATAAACAAAATTTAGAAGTGTTATTTTACAAGATGCCTTTCCATGTCAGTTTTCAAGTTTAAATAAGTTTTTATGATAATAAATTCTTAACTGATTGTAAAGAGATCTACAAAGCAAAATCCAAATAGAGATATAATTATAATGGCTTTACCAGTAACCACTACACTAGCTGGCTGCTGGAGAGAACAATATTAGCAAAGATAGATATAGAGCAATATATAACAAACTTGAAGAACTGAAATCCATTGGGGTTCTTTTACTATTACCAGATGGTGCCATATAGAGAGGAAGAATTCCAGTGAAATTGATTTACTGTCTTTTGTTTAGCTGTTCGCAGATTGTATTTGTGATCAGAATGAAAATTCATGTAATGTGGTTTGCTGTGTAAACATTGTGCTTGTCCTAATACAGAGATCAGATAACCTTGAAGGACTGTGAACATTCAAACACAATTGAGCTAATATTGGAAGAATATTGCTTACTGAGACATTGCAAAACACATATTGTAAGAACACCTTTCTTACAGTGTTTAGTGCTATAGAGGAAACTTCATGTATCATTTCCGCAGTCTTGAAACACGGCCATTCAGTATTCCTACGAAGCCTGTAATCACCTGCTACCTGATTGGTTTTATATTTACATTCTCATCACGTTGTTTTTATATTTACATTCTTATCATGTTGTTCTAGTTCTTTGTGCTAGCATTTGACAGACACAGTTCTGAGTTGCTGACTGGGATGTGAGTTCTTCTGTAAAACATGCTCTTCGAGTAGAGATTGTTTTGTGGTTGTCTTTTCACTCACCTGTGGATCAGGTATGTTCTACTACAAGGGAAATGGATACATGAAAAAAAGGGTAGTGAATGAACCATAAGCTAATCAGATCTCCTGGATAGAGTTGAGCATTGCTTGAATTCATGTGTAATCTCAGCTTGGATATAGCTGAGTCCATGACAGTACTAATTTTTCTCATACTATTTTACAACTTGCTTGAGTTATCAGCAGATTGTTAACCAACTCAGCTTTGAGGTGCTACTGGGGTCTGTTCCAAAGCCCACGGCCAGAGCAAAGTCACTGGAGAACAGTGTGTCACATTCTCTTCCTCAAGAAAAGAAGACTCAAATTCTGTGTCATGATTTTAGCTCCTCACCTGCTAAGACCACCTGTGGGTCCTTCCAGATGAAGACCCCTATTTCAGTCCTTCAGAATGTGACAGCTATGTTTTTCTCAGAAAAAAAAAAAAAATAATTCTCAAACTGTGTACAAAGATGCTTGTTTTAAGGAAGCAATGGAGCTTAGTAAGCACCTCTAGGAGAAAACTTGAAACTTTGAAAGAATAATATGAATTGCACCTATAACAGCAACTGCTATGCCATTCATCTCTGTCTGCTGTTATGAGTTGCATCAACATGTTTGCCTCCATGCCAGCTCAGCCTTTTTATTTCCCTGACTGTTCAGGCGCACTTGGGTTTAGTATGATGCCTAGAAGAGGGAAGAGGAAAGAGAGTATTCTGGGTATTGTGAAGCCTTCTGATTCTCATCAATGAGGCTATAAATTTGGCAATCTCAAACAGTTACTTTTGAAGGAATGCTATTAAAATTCCACTAAAATGATTGAAATTGTGGCGTTGCAGCTGACTGAAAACCCACAAGTGAATCTCTTTCACTATACATGCTGTAAATTTCATGCTGCAAACTAGAGAGAGATTAATTTGTTTCCACTAATGTCAGAATAAATTTAGAATTTGTTCTGAGTATGAGTGTGAAATGAGGCAGCTGTCAGCATGATTTACCCCTATCATTGCTGAGCTGGCAACTTACGGCAGTGAAATGATGTTTGCAGCTCTTTCTCTGTGACATGCTAGGGTGACTACTGGCAGCCCATGTAAGCCCAGGCACAATCAGTGTCCGTGTAACGAAGAGCAGGAAGCTTAGGCTCTTACTTTGAGAATCTTTTATGTGAAGTGATTCATAATCAATGCTATCTCTCCAGCAGCATCTCATATCTTTAAAGCACAAACAATTCCTGTGTCTGGCCCTATTTGCCACATTGGAATGTTCTCTATGCTAAGGCTCTTTGTTGCTGTGTTCCTTCGGTAGTGTTGTCGTCTTCTCGAACTCGCATCAAAATCATCTGTTATTAAAATCAAATGGTGCTGAAATCTGTGCTTCAAGCTACGGATGCTCACCCCTGGTGAACAATTGGCAAGATGCTCTGTGGATACTCAATTTCCTTAATAATTGACCCTTCTGTGAACTAAGAGGAAATGTGATGTTTCCTAGAGCTGGTTGGCTTATGACTTTTCAGAGAAAACATTAATTTTCTCCGTTATTCCATGATATATGATAGTTTGATTTCCATGCTGAGAAATATGGCTGTACGCTTCCAGATGAGAACTAGTATATTCCATTCCTAATGTGGAGAGAGAATCTGTGTCCTCAGCTGGAATGAGGTAATACAGCTGTTTTTTCTTCAGGGAAGGCAACCCTATGAAGATTTGTCTGAAGAAATTTTATTATATTATGTTAACAAGTCTGATACTGTCGAAGGCACCAAACTTTTTTTTTCTCTTTATTTCTTTTTTTTTGTATTTTTTTATGTCTGTTTGTACCTACAGATTTTGTTGCTCTGTCAGTCATCACAGTCCTGGCCTCTCCTGCTTCAACTTCCAAATGCTTTCCTGAAATGTTCATCAGAGACCACGCTAAAACATTAGGGCTGGAAAGCTGTCTAGTAACAGATGAGATCTGACTATAAAATATGAGAAATATATCATAGCAATTGTATTGCTTTTATTCTGGTATTAAAAGTGTTTTTACTTGGCATCAAAATAAAATGTTAGTGGCCAAGCTGTTTAGCCAGGATGTGTTGTTGGAGTCAGAGGAGGACAGTCAGGGAATGACCTGGGCCAAAATACAATTCTGATGAGCTCTGCTATTGTAAGCTTGTTGCTTGAATATTTTTTCCAGCCAAAATTTTATATAACCTGTGGGGGTACACTAGGGAAACACTTTTGTAACAGAAATAGCAAAAGCAAAAATATGCAGACTTTTTGAAGATGGAGGAAAGTAATGAAGACCATAACAGTCCTTGTGGGAGATAGATACCAAGTGAGAACTTGCACAACTCGCTTCAGTTGCCTACTGTGGAAGCCAAGGAAGTTTATTGTAGCATATGATTACAAAAGATTAACTGAAAATGCTATATCCATTCAGATTAAAGAGCTGAATTATCACCTGACTCTTTGGAGTTCAAGATTAATGCTTATGACTGGAGAATGCTGTTGGCTTTTGGGAGTCACTGTGAAGGTGGCATAGTTGATTGGTAAAACCGGAGGATAGAACTCTGGAGAACTTTGGTTGCAAACCTCCTGCATGATCTTTGTTAATTTATGGGAAGGTGTTCAAGAAGGCTGCATAGCACTTGAACATGATCTATCTGGTGAATTTCTGGCTGAGTCAGTTGTGTATCTGCCGTGTGTCGCCTACACTTCCTGCTCCTTAATCTTGCCCTGTTTAAGTCAACAGCCTGTGCATCCTTCTCTCCACAAGTCTTTTGTCCTTGACTGCTGCCCACTGAACTCCATAGGATCTTTGCTTTCTTGATCCTAAGAAGCTCTCTGTTCACCAGTATATACTGCCATTTTGAAATACAGATTAGGTGCTGAAAGCACGTGTGGAATAGCAGATTTTTGTGACATGCTGTTCAGAGATCTTGGGCTGGCTCTGCCTGCCATGACTGTGTCAGATTTCAGTATGTTATATTCTGGAGATACTGTGTAGTTTGTCTCTGAAAGCAAGCAAATTTCAAGTGGCTGTTTTTATGTCTTGACGTCCTGGTATCCTCAGCTGGGGGCACAAGTTTGCATTCAAGGATGATTTTATTGAGCTGAGAACTCCACTATTCCTTTGTGTGTGAGCCTGGATTTTTTATCAACTTTTTGCAGTTTCTCCCCAGTTCCTTGATTTTACTCACTTAGGCAAACAGAACCATTAATGTTGGAAGTGTTTTTTAGTCATGAATATGGCTAAGAATAATTCTGTGAGGGGAAACTGCTGGGGCATACCAGTGTGCTACCCACTGGAAAACAGTTGGTACTTCACCAAATGATGTTGCTGTAATGGTGATACAAATGTTTTACCAGACCTGGTCTACTCTCAGTAGACCCACCTAATCAGTTTGCAGTTTGATGACCAGAAGTGCTGTCTGGGGTTGCACGCTAGGGGCATATGAAAGGAAAAGCTTAGGAGATCTTCAGAAGGCCCTGTAAAAGGGGAACCACTCATTCCCAGTCTTTGGTGGGTGAGGACGTTGACTTCTCTCACAGAAATACTTTTAGGCTTCTTCATATCACAAACTATTTTCTTGCTTACTCTGACAAACTTTGCAAAAATACCTCTATAGGAAGAGAAATAGCCCTTTCCATATGCTTTTATTTCAGTCTTATTGTCAGTACAGCACTGAAATCTAAGCTGTGTTAACCTGAGCAGCAGCAGAGGTGTATCTGACTTAATTAGAAAAGGGACTGTTTTGTCCCTTGATGGCTACTGGTGCCCAGGCAATGCAGAAGAGGTAAATTGGACTGACCTCCACATCTGTGCAGGCACGCAGGCAGACCAGGGAAGTGCCTGGTTAAATTAACATGCACTGATAATAACTAATTTTTGTAGTGATTGTGCCTATCTTCAGCTTCTACTTTTAAAATGTTTTTTATTTATTACTTCCCATAACTAAGATCGTAGTCTTTGTGTAGTTTTTCTTTTGATCTTGATGGAGTTCTGGCATGGATTAAATGGTGGTTTCCTTTCTTTTTTTTTCTTCAGCATCATAGACAAAGAAGTGTCATTAATGGCAGAAATTGACAAAGTTAAAGAAGAAGCCAGTAAGTACAAAGCATGTCAGGGAACTTCTGGTATAGTCATGTAAATACTTGTTTGGCAGAAAACCACACAATGTACCAATTCTGTTCTCAGCATTCTCACATCTTTCATTATATGCATATTCTCGAGTGGTTAAGGAGTAGTTTCTGTTTATAAGGTCTGTATAGCAAAGCTTCAGTATTTTGATATTCAAGTAAACCAAAAATTTACATGAAGTTAGATTAAAATTATATATTTCTTCTACTGACTTAACACAGATTTTTGGTACTCTTGTTTTTCCCTTATTTCTGTAATTTGTTCACAACTTTATTTTGATTTCTTGATTTCTTAACCATTGTTTTTGCTTGCTTGTCATCATATGTAAGTTACAATGCTGGAAGTTGCTAGAGGAACAGGTAATTCTAGTTTTGCATGCCTTTTAGGGGTAGTAATCATGCTCGTGATTTAGAACAATAAATCAAAACCCAGATGTTTACTAGAATTTGTTTTCTTAATAATCTGTGAGAGTTGTTCTGACTCCAGGCTTTCACGTCACCTCTGTTTCTTAAGTAGGTAAGGTATGTATATGGTTTGGAGGGGGAAAAGCAATTTGACATGTATTAGCATATCATATTATCTTTCTTATACCCACCAGAGACATAGCGTTCATTGACAAGTAAGCAAGGGAATATGTTTCCGTAGAGAAAGCTAAGCATGGAACTAAAGAATAACCCAAGTGTTGTTAGAATGATACTTTGCCTAATATATTAAAACACTGCTGACGTGTATGCATATAATTCTTTCATTTGTTTGTGAATGTAAGGCCCTTTCAAGGGTAGTGTTCCTAAATGTTTCACATGTATTTAGAACTCTTACTGAGCTCACAAATGTATACTGTTACATTGCTACTTTAAGTCTCTTACAGTTGTATGCATATGGAGACTAAAAAGAACAAGTTGCTGCTGCAGCAATTGGCTTTAATTTAGGTTTGGAATTTTGTGTGCTGATTTTTCTGATGCTAACATGTAGAGGAATTGTGGGTGGAAACATGCTGTTTACCTCTAAAGACTGCCATAATCAGCTTCAGAGCATGTGCACATTTCCAGGAAAACCAATGGCAAAGTCCTATTGATATCAGCAGACATGGATCCAACTGCATAAACAAAAATACATTTTGAAAATCCACAGTCCAGGGATGATGATATCATGATGGCCACTTCATTAATTTTGGCAAGGGACAGTAGCCATTTTTGTGGAAAGTAAATGTAATTTTTATCTACAGGCACGTAAGTGCTGTATTCATGCATGGTAGGTTTAGTTTCCCTGCTTTCATGGTGACTCAACACACAACATTAGATGGCTTCTGTGCCTGTGTAGTTGTCTCTCAAGGCTATTGTAGGCCTATAAAGTGCCATCAGAACTTTAGGCAGAAAGTTCTTCTAGAACTCTAACGTTCTAACCAACATTGTTATTTTCACATCCCTTTGCTGCTCTGGAGGACTATTTTAATGTGGGTAATCTTGCACTTACTGTCAAAACTGAGAAAATTTCCAAACATGATAATTCCAGTTTTTGTGCAAGTGGGTATTTGTCTGGCATCTCACTCTAAGTGTCAGTAGGAAATGAGACTGTATGGTTTGAGCAGTCACTTTAGCAAAGGCAGTGCTGACCTTGGGGAGAAACAGTATTATCATCACCTAGAATAAACAGTAAAACTACTGGGCAAAGAGAAACAACTATTAAATTCTTCATGTGATCTAACAAACATTTATTATTCTTGTAGTTTGTATTCCACAAAAAGGAATCAGCTGGAAAGACAGATAAATGCCTGTTCTTAGCAAAAGTAGTAATGTAGGCAGAGGTTTATCAACAGGTTGAAGGGAGCTGTAGCCACCTCCTGCCTTAGAGCTCTACCTTGTGTGATCCACGCTCCTCTATTGCACAATGGGGTTGCTCCCATACAGCTGTACAGCCAGTACTCTTGTCTTCCCTGCACCTGCTGGACCATTCTGTACTTCCAGAGGAAGCTGCCGTCCAGTAAATAAATGCTACTGGGTTAAGAAATAAATTCTTATCCTGCAAAAATGACATTATAAAGCATGAACTGGTTGAGACTTGCCAGGACAGCTCTGGAATTCTATGGCAAATGAAGGCCGGAAAGTCTCAGTATCTGTAACGAAATCTCTGGCTTTATGATACTTTGCAGCAGCTGCCACCCACTTACCATATCAATAGACATAAGCTATAGACAGGAGGCTACAGTTGAAAAGGCTATGATTACTAGTGTTTTATATGTAGGTGCTGTCTTTCCTCCCTGCCATAGGTGTTGTTTCCACCAGCCGTGAATCAGTCTTTTACATTAAGTCACCGTGTAGGTAGCAGAATTTGCAGTTTTCCACCAAAATTGTTATATGTCACATTATTCTGAACGTAAGTGGACTTGCATGGTTAATCTTTTCCTGTAAAAGTGTAAATATTCATCACTTCCTTATACAAAACATATGGACAGTAGTGAATAATTAGTATTTTTTCCTGAGAACTGTTGGCCATTGTAAGACTGCTTTGCCCTAGAAGTGGTGGTGTTTATAACACTGCTTTGCCCTAGAAGTGGCAGTTGCCACTTACGTACTTGAAAAGCAAAATTGCAGTGCCAGTGATTTGAATGTAAACCAAATATGTACAGATTTTTTCCTTCAGGGGAGCTATAAAGCCCCTGTATACGTAAAACAGAACGTTTCTTTGGAAACAGACTGCTGGCTTCAGGGAGTGTAAAATGTCTAAATGAAAGGATGCCTGAATTTGTGCTTAAGAATAAGGCATAGGAAGACTTGGAACAGCATGTCTCTGCCCCCTTTGTCTAAACATTGAAGGATTGGTTTAACTTTGACTTCGTGGAAGCTATCCTGTTTTCAGATAGTTTTCAAATGTCAGGCAGTTCAATTAAATACACTGATTGTCTGTGCAGGCAGCACAGCATATTCTGTCCGGCTGAAGTGTGGAGTGCGTGTGTTTCTCTTGTGGTACAGTGTTGAAACCTAAAGAATAATGAATTACAGATAAATTCAACTTCATAGCATTAATTATTGACTATTGGTATTTGACAGTGGAAATCCTGACTGCTCGGCAGAAGAAAGCTGAAGAGCTGAAGAGGCTGACAGACCTAGCCAGTCAAATGGCTGAAGCACAACTGTCTGAACTCAGGGCTGAAATTAAGGTCAGGCATTCACTTTTTCTCAAGCATGTGAGCTGTCTGCACAAAAGCGAAGAAAGTGCTATCATGCTAACGTATCCAGGCTGCTCATTCCTCCTATGGACCAAAGGGTAACTAGCTTTCTGTGGGGAAGCCATACCTTATTAAAGAATTATAGGGCTTCCGAGCAATCTGGATATGCTATCAGAGAAGTGTAAGGTATCCCTTCAGAGGCAGAGCAGTGGAGAGTTTTGCTATTTGTGTATCATTTATCAGACCCAGTTCACAAGTAAACCTGATAGCTTCAGATTGAGTTGATCAAATGCACGCACCCCAGTGAAGTGACCCACTTCCAAAATGCAGGACAGATCCACCTATTATTGGGCTGTGAGAAGTGTCGTTTGGTAAAGATGTAAAAATTTTTGATTCTGCATAAAGATCCTGCCAACAGAACAGTGTCAAGAGATTGCATAGCCTTAAAGTGGACTTAAGATAAGTATTGATTGGTCTCTGTACCATCTATGTAGTCTTCCTATCAGAATGCCAATTACCTTAATTTGTCTGTATTTCTGCAGCACTTTGTGAGTGAACGGAAATATGATGAAGAGTTGGGCAGGTCTGCCCGATTTTCCTGTGACACAGAACAGCTGAAGACCCAAATTCAGCTCTGTGGAGAGAGTAAGTGTTGGTGGTTTATCATACCTACAGTCTCAGAATGTAGTATTCCAAATACTTGTCCAGGAAATACTGGGCAGAGGTAATGGCATGTCTACTGCCAAAGTGTGTGTGTAGCAAGTCTGATGTGAATGGTATGTCAACACAGGAGGTTTGTTGAGCACGCACACATCGCTTTTACAATTTACACCATACTATACACAGCGTACATGTGTTACACAGACCATCTGCATGTGTACAGTTGCCTTCTTTGTCAGAGATTTTCAGATATTACTGAGGTCAGCTGGAGTTTTCCGTCTAAATGGAAAGTCAACTGTAAAAACCTCAAATTCAATAGCTACTTATGAATAACTAGTAAATTGGAAACTTCTCTATGTGAGCATAGTATTATGATCAGTTAATCAGATCATAATCAGTTAATCAGATCATAATCTGAGATCAGTTAATCTATTTCCTGCTAGGAAGCGAGTTTCTATCTGTACAAGAATATTCAGTGGGTGTTTCAGGAGCAAAGGTAATCCCAAATACAACTTTTATGAAACCATCTGCCTTTCTGCTTGAAAATTCATATTCATCTTCTGCTCTGTGTATCATGTTCCTGACATGAAATGTGAGATAGACTCTTTCTCGTATTTGTCAAGCTTTTATCCTCCCCAAAAAGTAAATGCTATGATGCTTTGCTCCATGTCACCACCTGTATGATATTCCATCAGGAGAAAAACTATTAACACAATATCAAACTAGTGCATTTTGGTGAAAGGAAATTAATTTTAGGAAGGAAATAAGTAGTGTTTCTAAGGAGTTACTAGAAACAAAAAAAAAAGAAAGAAAAAAAAATCAGTCTGTTAATACAGTCTTGTGATTCCACAGCTGACTCCTGTGAGGCATAAGCTGATTTAGTTTGTTAGACCATAAGGATTGATTTTGCAGAACTCTTTGTAGATCCTCTAGGCCCAGGTCTGTTCTCATTCAGCTACTCTCCTAAATAACTTCCAGCTGTAGTTAATTCAGGAAATTAATTATTTATACTTCATCTTAGCAGAGCGTTGTTTAAGCATATTCAGATATAGGCCTATAGAAATCAAGTTGAGTGAAGTTCAAAGAACAATTGTTAGCAGGGAAGCAGTGCCATCTTTCAGCTGATAGAGAGAGAACTGGGTGACTGGAGAACCTCTAATCTGCTCTTAGTGACTTTAGAAGAGATAAATGCTATTGGCATGTCTTTGCTAGGGGCTTTTCAAGTGTTTCTGTTTGAAGCATCCTTCAGTATGTCACTGTATGAAGCACCATACAGTGACATCTATACCATACGTAGGAAATGCAAGTACCCCTCAAACGGAGATGATACCAGGCCTGTAGCTAAAAAATAGCCATTATTGAAAGCTTTAACACCAGCAATGACCAAAACCCCCAGTCCTGTGCAAAGGTAGGCATGTTCTAGCACAAGGAGCAGGAGTGCTTTAGAGACATAAAATCACCATGAAGGACAAAGGAGTACAAAAGTAATTGGACTGACACTTATCCAGAATGCTTGCTGGTGGATTGTACATCTTTTCTGTTAAGAATATGTTTTTATGTCAAGCACTTCAATTTCTATATGGGCTTCTGTGTAAGGCAATCTGTTTTAGGGAAGAGGGAGCAGTAGCATTCAGTAACAGCAGACCTTGTGACAGAAAGTGCAGTTCCTTGTGCAGATCATTGCATTGTTCTTGTGAAGAAGACACCTAGTGGGAGAATCTCTGATGTTAGCTTAAGTTAGCTAATTTGAGCAGCCTCAAAAAGCCACCCAGCAAAATGGCAGATGATGCTCAGTTGCTAAAATTACTTCACATCTTCATTCTCTGTCCTAAAAGTTGAAAAATGGAAGTACCTACTAGATAAAACAAAGGTGCATTTTTCTAGTTTGTCATCTGTGCCAGAAAAAAACAGAGAAATTACATAATCAGGAAAATCAAAACCACAAATTAAGATCAAGAGCTTTACTTCAATAGACTCAGGCTCCTTTTTGAGGCACCACTGTACAGAAGCAGACAGCTCAAAGAGCTTGTGGAAATGCAGAGTGGTAGGAATCGAGGATTTGTTTGGTGTACTTCACATTCATATATGGAATTGCTTAAGAAATTCTCCGATTTTAAAATACTAAGAAGTAGAAAGCAGGACTATACTGAGATGAACACTAAATGGTTCTTGATAGTGCTTACTTTGCCCTGGTCTGTGTGAAAGGACTAGTGTATTTCGGTTCCAGTTTGATAGATAGCCATGGTACAGAAGTATCTTTGTTAACCATTTCTTTGGAGAGTCTATTGCTCTTTACTATCTTTTCTTTTTTGAAAACTATTAAAAAAATACTGACGAAGCTTTCGTAGCTGTTACTTGTGTTCTGGTTGGTATGTATGTAAACTGCAAGCTCTTCAATTTCCATGGTCAGTGAATGATTTGGAATCAGATTTGTGTGTGGCATCTTCAGGCACAACTTCCTTTGACCTCAGGCAGTAGAGTTAATGGCATTCCATTTTCTTCCTTCCCATGTTTCTTCCTTTGTTGCCTGAAGACTCCTATCAGAGGCATTATTGATAGAACAGCGGTGTGAGGGGACAGTCCTGACAACACGTGGGTTTACCTTAACTGGTTATAATTTCACAAGCAAACCCATATGTGCCAGGAATTTTGAGAAATTTTCTTGGATGACCAAAGCCCATGGCTGACAGTCAGCAGGGCTTTCGTACTTTGTGTTGGTGAAAAAGTTTGGTGAACTACAGTGTTGTCTATTTTAGTGAAATAGGCAGTGGGTCTATTTTAGCTGTTTGCTTTGTGGGCTTTGAAACAATTCCAACTTTTGCACAACTCTTTTTTTTATTCTTAAATAGTGCTAAACCAACTTGCAGTCTCAAAAGCTTCCAGGTGTAATCACAAGCTGAACTGTCTTCCAGCTAGCAAGGTAGCTCTCTTCAGATAGCTGCACCGAGGAAAGTAATTTCTCACATTTACAGTACAAATGGACAAAGTAGTATAAGCCATATAGCACAAGCACAAGTCCACAGGAACCAGAGTGTTCTGGCCTTTTGTCAGCCTCATTCCATTTTAGTGCAGTTCCTCCACATGGGGTTTTTTGTCAAAAGCAATCCTTAACAATGAGGCAGTTTCAAAGTAAAACAATATGATTTAATTCTGACCTAGTTATCTAGCTTCACTGATCGATGCTACAAAAATTAACTGTGAGCAGGATAAGAATTCAGCCTCAGATGTTGATCATTTAACTGGTAATAGAGAATACTTCTTTTATTTTTATAGTTTCTCACCCAAAGAACAATTATTCCTCAAGAACACCATGTAGTTCGGTGCTGTCTTCATTGACCTCACATGCAACAACTGGCAAACAAAATACACACACTCGGAAGTCCTCTAGTAATGCCAAGAACTCTGATAATAAAACAGCCAGCACTAGTAGAGTACAAAGTCATCATTCTTCCAATCCTACAGAATCTTCTCCCCAGGGAATTCCAACAAATAAGCAGGTAAGAAACCAGTTATAAACTGAACTAAATGGTGTCAAAAATATCAGGAGAACCTTCATTATTGAAAGTCTTCACTGCAAAATCAAGTACTTGTTTTTAGTCTATATTTAATTCACAATTTAAAAAAATATGGAAACATTTACAGGCTACTTAGATGTAACAGCCATAGCTCAGTTTTTGTGTTATATCAAAACTATTTCAATACTATTTTCTCTCTCTATTTACTCTGATAATGTTTTTCTGCAATTTTTTGTTAATTCCTGTGGCTGTATTTTATTACTGGAAGAGTTCAGCCTAACAATTATCCAATTTCTTTCTGAGTAGAGTGGGCCTTCTAGTCAAAGACGAAGATTCAACCCACAGCACCAAAACGTCCGTCTCAATGGATCTCTTAAGCCACAAGGTGCCACTAATGAGGCAGATCAAAATAATGTAAGGAGTGGCTCCAGGTCTGAACACAGAAGACAGCAGCACAACAATTTCAGACCTAAAAATAAAGGAGCTATGAAAAATCAGGAGCAGTCTGCAACTGCAAGGACCACAGAGAATGTGACACATCCAGAAAAGAACCGACGGAAGCATCATGCAGCAGACACCACAGATCACAGGCCTTTCCGAGGCGGTGTTGGCAGGGTGTCGCAATGCAATTTGTGCCCTGCAAGGATGGAGGTCTCTGCTGATACCACTGTTCTTTCAGTGCCAGCTGTGACTTTGGTGGCTTAAAATCTCACAGTGAAGGCAGGCAGAAAAATATTCTCATTTTAGCTTCTTCCTCAAGATGCTTGTTGGTGAAGGAAATAAATCAGAACACAGTCATTTTAAATCTGTTGCTGCTTAAAAGTTATTGGTATCTTCGTTATTTACTAATTATCAAAATTAATTATACTTTCAAAGCTTTGCCCAATATGTTCACAGTTATTTTGTTGTGACAATACAGAATCTTACCAAAGCAGCATATACTACTTAGAAGAATGAAATCTAGATTGGAAAAATAAATTCAGAATTAAATTCACAATAGCAAAAGGTTTGTTGTAGATATGTGGTTATACAATCAACAGTATTGTTCTTTAGAGCAGCCTGTGTTAGAAGGATCCCAGAGCACCTGTGTGCTGTGGTATGCAATGAAATCAGATAATCTTTTAGAATTTTTCTGCAGTCTTTATTATACACCTCTTTATTTCTGTGCATGTATCTGTGTGCATGTATACACACACATACATACATACACATGCATGCACACTGTATGCACACAGTATTGTTACATACAAGAACATTTCAAAAAGCAGCACATTTGATTTTAGCTTATTATTCCATAAACTGAAATCTTTAGACTTGCCTATAAATTGTACTAAATGTATTACATATTGGTATTTTTCATTGACAAACTATTTTTATGAAAATGCTCATTTCGTTCAAGTTTAGATTATATATAGTCATGGCTATTCAGATGCACAGTCCTATTCTCCATCCTTATCAGCCATTTTTCTATGACTAGTTGGATTTATTTTTTTTGCATATGAAAAGTCACTGGTGTTCTAGACTTGAATCCAGATTATTTTTCTATATTTTTTGCTGTAGGAACCATCTGTCCTTAATGAGAGCTATGACTAATAAATTTGTTACAGCAACATGCAGCAGAATGTGGAGGTACATATTTGAGCAGATAGCACATCCTTCTGAGTTTTCTATTAAAATAAAATCTTAGTGTTAATGTTCTGATTATGTATTTCAGAAAACTTGTTTCTTCCAAAAAAAAAATTAAAATCTTCTTTCTAAAACATTCTGGTGTTTGCTGCCTTGTAGTACCTAACCACTTGTGATCATACTCAAACTAGATTTGCTTAGTTCAGCTGGTGTCAGTGGGAGGCTTTGGTTTGAATTTGGCTTGGACCAGGCTTTTGCTTTTGGCCAAATTCCAATGCCGCAAGTGCATAGGACAGCACCTTCCCATGAAGAGCTAATCTTGGACAAACCTATGTTAAAAGCTGTTACTGAAAATACTAAGGTATCAGAATAATCAGTAAAGACTCCAGACATGACATAAAATGAACTAGAGGCCTGGGGGTCAGAATCAGAGAAGTGTAAAAGGGTCTGTTTCCCACTGAGGTCAGTAAGAGTTGGACACCTTGTACGTTTATTGTTGGTTATTGCTTTTTGCCAGTTACCTCTGCCTAATTTCCATGAGCTGACTACACACTTTCTTTGTATTGAATTCCACTTTTGATTTATAAACGATTTTGATTATTTCTCTTGATACCTGTACAGTTTTCTACATGTGAATGATGGTAAAACCTGATTTTACAAGGCAAATAGCTCATCTTCTTCTGGAATAGTGGTGATAGAATAAGTATTCATAGGTAAACACTGGCTTTTTTTTTTAGCATTGCAAACCCTTCTCCTATCTGGGTTAATTACCTATCAAGCTTTTAGGCTGAATGTTTTAAGTAAATGGAGCTGAAATTCCAGAATCTCTGTGCTGTGCACGCCCACCAGAAAAGTGTATTTTCAAAATTTGTCTTCTGCCATACTGTAACTTCATAGTTAGAGATGTAATCACAGTATCTGTATGGGTATTACACCAGAACAATATTATATTGCTTTTGCACAATTTCTGAAAGTTACTTATATCTCTTCTTGTACCTCCTCCTAAAAATATCTGATGTATCTGTAATGACTTTTATTCCTTCCTTATAGCTTTTCCACTTAACAGGTTTATTGGAAGTTATCTTATTCCATAAGTCAGCTTCCTTACAAGCAGACTTCCTCAAAACAAATCAAATCTAACATAAATCATAACTCAGCACAACAGGATCACCTTGTGCTCTTCAATACCAGCTTCTCTTTGCTGTGCTGGAGGCTTAGTACATGACAGATCAGGACTAACAGGTGAGAGGAAGCATTTATCCTCAGACTGTGACACAAACACACATTCTTTGATGAGAGATAAAAGTGTGGATTTGGCTGGTTCTGGGGACTCTGCAGTCTTGATGCAGTAAATATGCTTTAGTATTGTAGTACACATTTTAAATATGTTAAATGGCTGGCTGTAAAACATAGCTGTGTTAGAATAGTATCCCTTTATCTTTTTATGTTTCTGCTAGAATTTTATTTGCCATTTTCTTGCAGTGCTTTACTGCTCACTATACATATAATTATTTAATTAATCAACTTTCTATCTTCAAATTACAGATCTAGCTTTGTGTGATACGTTCAATGTACAGGTTTTGTACAGGGATCAGTGAGAGAATAAAGAGCTGGACAAGCCTTGGCTTTAAGGCCAGCAAGTCCTTTTAGAGAATAATAGTTTCCCCTAATTTGCAAAACAAGTACAGGTTTGGTTTTTTTTTTGCATCATTGAAATGTGGAATTCCCACTGTTTTGAAAGTAGATACACATCTTAAGGGCTGGTATTTTAAAATGGGTTCAATCTTTTTGTCTTTTGTGTACTATCAAATTGAGATTAATACAAGAACTCAGCAAAACAAAGAACCAGATATGTGGCTGGAAAACTAGAAAGATAATGTAATTTAACATAGCTAAGCTATATTAAGCAAAACTTTAAAAGATTTTAAGATGTTCGGAAAAAAAAATCTTTTAAACGGCTTAAAGCCATTGGAAATGTTGCTCTAGAACTAAAACTAATAATTTTGGAAAGGATAAGTTTGTACTTTAGTTTGTATACTCCTTTCCTGGATCCTGCTGCTGTATGCTGTAGGAAAGCAACCTGGTCTGAGCTTGGATGGATGGATGGCATTTCCTATGGTGAGTCTTTCCCCGTGCAGTGACTGGGATGTATCAAGAACAACTGAACAACCTGTACTAAAAATGTTCATGGATGTTGTACCAGAAACTAGAATGAGCTAAGAGATGAGTATAGGAAAGGGACAACTTTGAATATGGTCAAATTATTGATGCATGTGGCCCAGTGAATTTGCAAAGTATTACTCAGCTCAGTGATAAGTGCTGGTATAAGCAGGCAGATTTTTTTTTTTCCTGCAAAAATAGAATTCTGTAGAAAGTACACAGAAACTCAGAAAAGAGCAGAGGTCTGTAACATCAGCTGTATCTGCTTCTGCTGCTTGACGTTCTGCTAAAAGCTGTTGCCCAAAATGAATCTAGATCTCTTGGGGCTTTGCCTCCACATATTTACAGAGCTTTACTTCTAGCCACACTCTCACTCTTAACTGCAGCTATGGAATAGATAGCTTCACTCTCAAGTTTTTGATGGTACAACTGGCCTCCCATTGTTGCCAGGTGAGAATTTGTCCTTCACAGATTGAAAATTAAACAGACAAAATCTTCTTACCTCCTGGATAATGCTGTCATTTCCATTTTATCATAGTAAGATTTGTACTACATAATGTTTATTATCTGAACATTTTAAGTGGATTTAAAGGAGTGAATATGAACAGCTTGAAAGAAGGAAAGAGGTAGCTTTCTTAGGAGCAGTCAGTGTGTTAACAGTCAACGCTGTCTTGAGAGAATCGTCAGTTGTTTTATTTACAAGTAACTTGAGCTGTATTTCATAGAGAAGCATCTCTGAATTAATGCCCAGTTCATAGAAGCTTATTTGATTGCATTGTGTTTCTGTGGCTCTTTAGCTGAAAACAAGCCTGATGAAAAGTCTCCCTGAGAATCAGTGTTAACATGTGCACCTAGCAGATGAAATAATGTCTGCTTGGTTATGGCAAGTATGAGTTCTCCATACTCTGAAGCATACAGATAGAATTACAACTATTTGAAACATATCCTGGTGATAATAGGCACTTAATCATGGAAAAGTAATTTTCTGGAAATTAATTTGGAATTGTATTTTTCTACATTATGCCATATCATAAATGGTTTGGAAATAGTGTGAAAGTGAGGACTAAACAACTGGAAAATTGACTGTGTTTGTGAGGGGAAAGAGACAAGCATCCAAGTTCATTGGTGTGATGCATGTTACACTTCAGAGCACAGCTATTAAATTACTAGGGCAAAGAAACTTTCTAACTGTGGTCTCTGTTATAATGAGTGGCAATTGTACAAAGATGCAAAACAAGCCATAATCACTTCAGTTGACTGTACCAGCTGGTAACTCTTTTAGGCAGATGAGTGTAGCATTAAGAAAACTGTGGACTTCGAAGAAAATTGGGATCGTACAGATCTGAGGAAAGTTTAACCTGCAAGAAACTCTCAGACTTGCAGAATTTCTGCTCTTTGTTCCAGGCCTCAAAAGAACAGTCTATTAGCCAGGTTAAGAGCTGACTAATCCTTGGATGGGCAGGTTTGTTTTCAGCTCTCTGCCTCCCAGACAGAAGATTAAATGCTATTTAATTTTACACTTTAAAAGGCCTTGGGTGGATATAGACAAAGCTTTTATAGTCACCTTGAAGGTTCAGCTCTTATAAAGCTGTTTAAAATCAGTCCATCCATTACAACAGAATGTTAGCAAGCTTCACAGGGATTAAAAATAAAAAGACAAAAGTGCTTGCTTAAAGCCATGTTTGTTTCTCATCCAATAAAAAAAATCGAGTCTCTAAACAAAAAAACTTGCTGTACCTTCCCACCACAGCCCCTTTCATTCATTATTTCATCTGCTGAAATTAAAGGGAGTGATTTTGTAATTTTTTTTTAAACTACAAGTCAGTGTGTCTAGGACAAAGATAAGACTGAAGCCACTGGAATGCAAATGATATGAATGTTACATGAAAAATACTGTACTACTAGAATGATTAGACAAACCCTGAACTAGCACGGGCTTAGGAAGTCCAGAGGGATCAGTCTTAGTCTTATCTGCAAGAAGCCAGACTTGTGAGCTTTTGTATGATGTTGAAAGAAGCCTACAAATTCACCCAAATTTGAAGAGGAATCATTGTAAAAGGACCTAAATGGATGCAGTAAAGGGCTCAGCTATTCAGTAAGTACTGAAATAAAAGTCGCACAGAAGGTAGTTATTTAAAAACTGCTTTTCAATCAGACTGGTATATATAGTGTTGATGAATTGCATGCTCAAAGAATATGTTTCATTGTTAGTATCTCCTTTAATTTCTGCTTTTTCTGGTCTTAAGTGAATCTCTTCTGTGGGATAGGGAGAGCCTTTTTTATTTAGACATAGTGTGAAAGTGAGGACTAAACAACTGGAAAATTGACTTTTTAGGCTTATTACAGTAGCTTAAGGATTTTTAAAGGTAGGCAGGTCTTTAATATACATGTAAATAGCAGAAAATTACAATACTCTCACCTTTACATAACTCATTCATGGCAAAATGTCTCTTTAAAGAGATGTTAGTATGTGAAATTTTGCTATTTCTCTTTTTTACTTTGCATATGAAATTTCAAGTCCTTGCAGTTATGATGAAAAGCCTAAAAATGTGGTTTCTTCTAAATAACCTAGAACACAAAAGACTTGAAGCAAATTGTAAGAACATTTCATTTTGGCAATGCGATAGGACTTCGCAACATCTAAAGCCAGCTGTATTTACTGTGTTGCAAAATTATTAGCAACAACAAAGCAGTACCCAACCATACACAAACAATTGCACAAAATGAAGCCAATTTTGGGAAACGTAAACAGCATTGGTTTAAACAACCCAAAGGATTTTTTAAAAAAGTGAGCCAAATTCTGCTTTCCTTTGCTGATAGAAACATACAGGAGTTCTTCAGTATTGTTGCTGAAAATGCACCCTAGTACAAGGGAGGACAAGTAGGAAACTAGAGTACATATGTCTCAGGTCTAAGGAAAAACTACCTTATTATTCCCTAGTCTTGCTCTTCCTTCCTGTTTATCAATTTTCTGTGTACATGTAAAGATGGTCCCTTTAATTGCTACCAATGATAAAATGGTAACTTCTCCTCACTGCAAATACCATTATTTGTGCATCCAGCATAAAATAAAATGAAATCTTTACAGTACTCAGTATATTGCACACTTGTGACAAACTTGAATCTAATAACTGGTACTCATTGTTACTATTTTTCCCCTACTTGAAATATATGGATTAAGGAAATTAACTGGAACTGAATTTGATAAGCACATTGTCTTCTGTGCTGTGCATGTATTCCTTTTAAAAGGTCAGTAGTACAGCCTGACACAAATATGAAGGAGACACCATAATATTAAGCATGCTTTGTGTTTTAGGGGGTTTTTTAGCCATGTTTCTTCCTCCCAACTTCTAAAAAATACTTAGAAATAAAATCAGAAAATACACTTCATTTCTCCCTCTGCTCTTCACTAACTCTTCACTATCTTCACCATGATTTTCTACCAAATCCTTGAATAACTGACAACATGGGATGATGAGCTGTTCTTAGGCCAGATGTTCCCAAGCTACACAGCCTATCAGGCTGAGTCCAATGTTATCCATCCACTTTATTACTCTTAAGCTTATTGCTCTCTGCTAACACAGCTGGTTCTTTCTTGTTTAGTACTGTCGAAGTAGTAGGAATTTCAGCAGCAGCTTTATCCTGTTCGCTTGTTTTATTGGATACAGATGATGACTGAGAAGGTGTCATGAGAAAAAGTGGAGTTCGTTTCAGCTTTACTGCACGGCTGCTTACGGGTTTTCTAGATGTTGAGGTGTTGAAAGTCATTTGACATGATGCTTCATCATCAGCACTCTGCTGGGGCACCTGGGAATTGCTGGGCTCTGGCATGCATGCTGTGGACACAGTTTTAGAAGCTACTTTGTGCAGTATCAAATTTTCACTATTTGGTCGTTTAAGAGTTACTGCAGAATGTGAAGTGTTGCAAGCAGCTACCTTTAATGAAGCTGAATTCTTGACTTTGATATGTGTACTTGTTGAGGGACCTGAGAATCTAATTGGCTTGGGACCCACTTTGCATGGTATGTAGTCTTCCACTTCAGAGAAATCAATTAAGCGTCTGTAAAACAAAGGATCTTAATTGAAGAAACAGATTATGTATTTTAGTTAATTTTTTTTTTTTAGAATTACGAAATCAAGAATGCATAAATATGATGTTCTATTAATTTTTGCTGGTTGTTCTCAATCAATATTGTTCTCAATCTGTGTTGATCACAGCAGTCAGGCTTGCCGTTGCATCAATAGTACCAGCAATCTTTTCTACCTCTGTAAGTCATGTTACACACTAAAATTGGTAAGAAACGGTGCACAAATTGCTATGTGAAAATGAATGAGAAAGAAGGCAGGAGGAGTTACAGACAGAAAATATTAAAGTACTACAGTTTTCACCCAATAGAAAATTCAGTAAAAGTTAATCTGATATGTTTTGAGTTATCTACCAAAGTGTCAAGACCCAGCTGCACAGAAACAAAATATTTATAGTTCTACATCATGTAATTTGAGAAAAGAAGAATATCCCTTTCTCCCTTCCCCCTCCCTTTCTAAACAATTAAAGATAACCCATTTTTCCAAAAAAAATGATAAAAATTCTGTGTAAGAAAACCTATGGAGTCTCATGGCAACTCTAACTGTCTAAAGTAGAGAGTAATTTTTAAGTAACTCAGAGAACCATTAAAGAACAGAGTAAGGTACACTACTGAAGCACTGACATTTTTCAGGGTGCTTGCATTTTGGATTTCAAAAGATCTGTGAAATGCCACAGGAATCCATATCAAGAGAGAAAGAATGTAAAAGTGTAATATTTCTTATCATTACTCTTAGAAAGGTGTGGTGACACTTCAAGCAGAAAGCCTGCAAATAACCAAGTGCTTATAATGAATCTAGGAAGGTTTTCTTCAGAGCCCTAAGGTAAAAATGTGTTCTTGAAATCTGTACATCCTAGACCAAAAAAACTATTAAAACAAAAAGGAAAACTTAAGCATTCAAAGACTTGGTGTTTTAACAGCTGCAGTGTAGTACAGGTAAAATGTAATCAGTAACTAGATTAATTCACAATAATATTTCAAGATGGTATATGCTCTCACAAGGATTACTGCAGGTAATTAATACAGCTTTTTGGGTACAGAAAAAATAGAGAAGACAAAGCAGAGAAATGGGAGATAAAAAGGCTAAGGTTGCAGCGGAGTGTTGAGGAATATATGTGTTTGGCAATCAGTCCAGTGGTCATGCTTCTTCCTTAATGAGCTATGAAAAGCAAAGAATACAGTATCCCAAAATGATGGGGAGATGGGGATTTTCAGTTGGATCACTGTGCTGACATGGCTCTGTGGCTGCTGCTGAAATGACAGCATGGCCAGACAGATAAGGTAAGCAGGATCCTCCTTAGATAGTAGTAAGATGGCTGTTGAGTGGCTCAGACAACTGTGTAGATGCATCTGTGAATGCTGCTTTTAGGTAATGTATTGAGAATGGAAGTGTTGTCAGAAGTATGACCATAGAACTGGAAAGAAAATATTCTAGCGTAAAAGTAGAGCATCTTAGAAACATGAAAATCACCTAATCTTTTTAAAAAAAACTTTTAAAACTTTTAAAAAAGTTTCAATTAGCTAGTCCATTTAGCTAATGTTGTTCTCTACTTTTTGAAATGACTCCTTTCCACTCTTAAATGATGCTTTAAAGGCTGTAGAATAGAATTTCAGCAGCCTAGAAAAGGTAACTTACTGATAGCAAGATCAGTTCTGCTTATGAGCTCTCAGTGAATATATTACGTGAAAATGTCAATAGGAACAACTAAGAAAACATAACTATTCAAAGAACCTCAAATTACACACACACACAATATATATATATCTTTGTGCTGTTTTCCATTTCATGCTAAGCCACCTATGCAGGTCAAAGTACCTTTTATGAACTGGAGGCATATGATGCAAACTGCCTTTCAGAGAGCGCTCTTCAAGAGTCCAGCATTCAATGAGCTCCTGGGGCACTCTCCAGTAGCTGACACCTGCATTTCAAAGGGACATTGTATCACTGATTGTATCACTGAGCAGAGAGAACACAGTATTGTGTGTACCTCCACCAGATTAAATGAATGCATGTATTTTATTATGTAGAATTTCAGCTTTGAAACTATGCTGACAAGTACCCGTGCTTACAACCAGCATGCCTTTAGGGTTTCCACCAGAGTGCTCAGGGTCTCCATCACCTCTTGCATGCAATGGCTCTCGCTACATCTATTCATATATGTTAGCTCACGTCAGCTCATTAGAACATCAATCAAAACTTTTTGTTTTCCCTTCAAATAACCACTCTATTGGAGCTTGTATGTGTCACATACTGAATTAGTGGAAACATCCATGGATTTTATTATTGTATATTTGGCAATGTTTTTTTTTTTCTGTAAAAAAAAATACTGAAATAGAAGCAAAGAATTAATACTGTACCTCTTCCTTCCCAGGTGCCGAAAGCATCCATCATCTTTTTCAGTTCAGCTTCAGAGTAATAGCTCCAGATGTATTGGACATTATTTCCAGCTTCTCTAGAAACATTGTTTGTAAGGTAACAGTTATATGGTAAATCTACCTAGGACCCCAAAAATTTTACACTGATGAAATAGTGTTACAGCTATTATTCTTTTACCAAATTCCAACTATGAAAGGATCTAGTAGTAAATGTTTTGGAAAGTGGGTAAGAAAATGTTACTTAGATTTCATTGTCATTTCTATCAGAGTTTCAAATTGCCACTCTCCTGTTGTCTGCACACCTGTGAATGCCTATTGCTGGAAAAGGTATTCAGGAAAGAACAGATGTCCATGAAAAAAATAATTACAGAACTAATGGTGTAAAATTTATTCTTCTAACTATGAATCATATTTTCAAAGGGAAAACACAGTAGAAGGACAAATACCTGAATTACTATGTATCCAAACATCTCAGAATAGATATTCATTTTCCCAGCCTAAATTTAGGAGAATATGCATCTTAATTATAAACATGATGCAATATCAAAAGCTCTATCTTAATCATGTTTCAGAAGGTATACAGTAAATTACACTTCTGATTCAGTACTGTGGGACCAAGGGAAAGACAAATAGCTTCCAGGCACTTGGAAGTAGTACAGGTCTACTAATATCTAAAAATTACTACTGTAAAAATGCATTAATATTTGTTGAAATGTACACATCCTTTAAAGAATTGCAATAATTTCATCTTCAGAAAAGCTGTGTTAAATATTTTTAACTGGTGTCATAGCAGACAGCAAAATAGAACCCCACAAATCCAGCTTTATGAATATCTGGGGGGACGTTTTCAGGATTCAATGATAATTCTTGGTGTAAATATCACTGATAACACTTGATGTAATTATCATCCTAAATTGTACTGTAATTTTAAATGGTTGAGACATTTTAGAAATAGCAACTGAGATCTTAGAGCAACTGTGTGCTCGTGACCCTCTGTAGCTTTAATTCTTTTCCTTTATGCTTAGTCTTCATTTTGTTAAATCTAAATATTATGCTAGCTGGGTGTTTTCAAAGCAGGAAATAATCTCATTCCTGCCAGTGATTTATAGTGCAATAATGCTATATTAGCCACATAAAATAATATTTAGGTATTATTATGATATGTAAGTCTTCATAGTCTTTCCATAGTGCTTTCGTGAGTTTGAAAGTCAGCTTACCTTTTGTAGATGCTCTTACTGTGAATTTTTGTTCCTAGCTCCTTTTTAATTGCATCAGTCCCATCAGCCCTTGTGGCATACACACCAATAATTTTACTCTCGCAGCTTGCCCCAGAAGTGCTGAGATAGTGCAGAACCCAAACTGTAGGCTTGGTGCAGATTAAATTATAAGAATCACAGAAATCCAGCAAAGCCTGGAAAAAAAAAAATAAATAAAACCAAAAAGCAAAAATATTAATACTAGTTAAGTTCAGTTTTATAAGCTTTCATTCTGAAATTTTCTTAACTGAACTGGTGGCCTCTTTTAAGTTTATCAAGGATGTAGTTTATCTAGGCTATTGTGAGCACTATATCTTATTGGATGATAACAGAGAATGTCCAACAAGTAGGAGAAATTCAAAGAGAGGCAACAGGAATACCTGAAGATGGGGCAAACCCTCCATTTGATAAAAACCTCAAAGTATGGAACTGCTTTATGCTTTTCAAAAGGAGATGAATAAGGGAGAAACTGAAGAACTATAGAGAACTATACAATGTCTTTCCTACAACACAAGTTTTCAAAGCAGACTTGCACATAAGAGTTAGCTTTAAACTGCTGCTGTAATGTAGTGGTGGAAAAGCTGAGTACTTGACGGCTACGACTGTGTTATCAGTTCTAGAATTTTTTATCCTAAATCTCAGAATTATTTGAAGAGGTAAAAAAAAAAAGTGCTAATTTGTGCATGCATACTTTTAGTACCTGCTGCTAACAAATGGTGTGATACATCTTCAAAAGAGTACATCTTTTAAAATACAAGAACTATACAGACCTTCTTAAGCTCCACATTTGACCTTAAAGAATATGTCTCCATTTCATTGGCCAAATGGTCAGACAGACTGTATGGATAAGGGATGCCAAAATAATCTGCTTCCTCCTGCAATGCAATTTGAATCTGTTTATCTTCAGGAATCCGAACTTCTCCATGAAGATAATCCAAAAGATATTTAAACAAGCTTCCATCTCGATCAATCAGACAGGCTCCTGAAAACATATACACGATGAACTTAAGATGCTGCTTCTAAGAAGTGAATACAGATTTCTTGCATTATACCAAATCATTAAGTAAAGCTTTTATATAAACTTAGTCTTTTCACTTAGGTAGGAGAAGTAACTAAGTATATTTGCTCTGTTATTTTAAAGCTGCTACTTTGTTTCCCTGGAATAATAGTTATTTGAAGATAAAATTCATAGTGAAGAATTTTTTGCTTGTTTGGAATGTCAGGGATATCACTGATCTGCACAGGACCACGCCAGTATAAATCTCAGCTAAACTGCACTTAAGTGCTTAATATGCTAAAATCTTATTCTAGGAGCATTTCTAGATTTTTTATTTATTTATTTATTGCTATTGGAGAGCTTTTTTTTTCAACTTTGTATCTAAGTGTAAAAAGTAGCACCAGCTTTTGTATGTATCAACATCTGGATCTTGCTTAAGTTTCACAGTTTTGTTTCTTTCTTTCTTTCTGTCTTTTCATGCTGGGCTCAATGACCACACAAAATTGCCACTCAAACTGTACACTGCTGTATATAATATGCTGTTCACTGAAGGATGATAGTAAAACCCTGCCTGTAAAAAGTTTCAGGCATTTCAGATATTTTAAACTGCCAGAAGTGGGCAACAAGAAGTCACTACTGTCCATCCAGCATAGTTTTAGAACTGGCCGTACTTTGGCAGTCACTTCCAAGTCACAAACAGGGGTGAAATCTGATTCATGAATAGTTTTATTCAAGTTTTCATATCAAACCATGCTGGTCAAAAATGCAATCTTTACTGGGTGCTGAGGCATTCTGAAACAAAGATAAAAGACCAATCTCCTTACGTAATGAACAGACCAAGTCAGATGCCTTGGGAGAATATAGGAAGGCATAAACAGGACCCAAGTTAGCACTTATACTGTAGTAGTGTATTCGACAATTTTGACTGCAACAAAGCAGGGCTAAGTGCTGTACAAACATGTATGTTTGCAAACAGGAACAGTCCTGTGGAATTCCGATGAATTACTCATAAGTCATGCACACATAATTCTGGTATTCAAGAAGCTCAGCAAATTGGAAGAAGAGAGACGCAATAAAATGGATATGTAAAAGCATGTATTTACCACAGAGCTCCCTAGGCGGAATGTTTTAGGTGCAGCTTTAACATATTTACCAGACTCATCCATTTTTAGAGGAAAGCGTCCACTAAACATAGAAGCTAGCATGGAGTCCTTGAAGCGGCACAGGGACTGGCGCCTGGCGGTGTACAGACATCCTCGCACATTCAGCCGTAGGATACCCTGCTCCTCTGCAGCCTTGTCCTCTTCCATTGCATTTACTCCGCGCTGTAACAGATACAAAGAAGTGTCAGTCTAATGCTAAGACCGAAATATTACACAGAGATCCAAGCGTTAGCTCAGCTAACACGCCTGTTGCATGCTGCTGTAAATCAGATTTTAAAGTGTATCAGCACAAAAACCGCAAAATTCGAAATAATGCTTACACCTTCACTATAAACAACGATGATGTTTATTTTGCTGGAAAACACGGAGTTACTCTTTCGAGGCATACGGAGAGGCAGATTTGTGGTTAGTACGTGTGAAAGACGCGCTAGAAGGACAGCAACAAAACGCATCCTAGGAGCTCTCGGACAGCCGCCCTGCGCAGGCCCGAGCGCTCCTTCCTGCGCCGGAGCCGCTCGGCGGGACGGCACAGCCCACCCAGCCCTCCGCCAGCCGCGGGCGCGCACACGCCGGTACGGCGCCTCCCAGCCGCGCGCGGGGCGGCCGCCATCGCGCGTTACCTGCGCCGCCGCCTCCCCGCGGCCGGAGCGGGCCGAGCGCCTCCGGGCCTCCTCGGCTCCGCAAAATGGCGGCAGGAAGGGCCGGGCCGGGGGCGTGCGAGCGGAGCCACCGCGGCATCTCCCGGTCGGGGGCACCGCCGGCAGCCCCGACCCGAGCCCGCAGGCAGCCCGCCGGGCGCGGCTTCGGTGCCTTCGTCCTCCGAAGGGAGGCGTGCGTGCATAAACTCGGCTGCTCTGTAAGGCAGAAACCTTTTTTCTTTTTCATTTTTTAAATCTTAGAGCACGTTATTAATGCTTTAATATATTTGAAACATCCTGGACAAGTGCAGGCTGCTAGGTGCTTCCTGTGCACTCATGCACAACAGTTTACAGAGAGTGTCCTGCTAGAAGTGGTTCATGGCTGTGGTGCAGTTGCTTGCTGACCAAAATGCTGCATGAACAGACACACAGTTTCAGGTTCTCATGATAAGAGCCTGATATATTGTAAATGCCAAATTAATAATTGTACAAAATGTAATAGTGCCAAACTGCTGGTTTCCACAAACATTCTGGAAAGTACTTGAGCTGCCTGTATGTGTAGAAGAGAGATAAAACCTAGAATATTAGCAATTCTTCTAATTGGGACCCGAAGCCCATTAAATTAGCTTCACGCTGCATGTGCAGGAACATGCCCATATCATTTTTAAGCTTTTAGAGCTGTTACAACAGGTCTGTCTTTCCCTTCTTTCCTCTCATTCTTACTCAGTTTAAAGGCTGATAATGGTATCTCAAGTGATTGCAAACCAGACTTCTGCTCTATTTAATGCATGCAGACTGTAAAGCCTGGCAACCCTTTAGGCTCTATCCCCCTTTAAGCAGCTGGCAGCTAACTGAGGATTTTCACGTGTGAGAAGTTCCTCAGCTCAGTGCAAAGGAAAGTAGCACCCAGGTGGTAACACAACACTTATTTTGCTTATTATCAGCAGTTGTGACATAAACATTAGCTGGAGGCAGATTGGTGATTGCTTCTTCAGGAGGTGGGACTGCTGTAAAAGTAAAGGAAATGAAATCTCATGACTGGAGCTGGGTGAAAACACTGCCTGCCTGAAAGCAGAGGGAGGTGAGTCACAGTAACTTGACTGACTTTCTGTTGTTACAGTTGCATGATGTTATTCTGTTATTTTCTCAGAATTTACAGTGGCTGCAGTCACTGGAAGCTGCTTTGTGAGGGGAAACGTACCACAGGTGTGTAAGGTGTGCTGGGTCACATTTGTGTTTTAAAAGGATTGTGTAGAAGCATGAAGTTATGCAGCTTCAGGACCATGCTGAGAAATTGTGCCAAATCTTACCTGGAAACTAGGGGGGAAAAAAAAAATGCATGGTTTATTATTGTTATTACTGTTTCACCCTTCCACATCTCTGTAAATTTTCAAATAAATTAAAACAGTAACTTTTTTCCTCCTATGTTTTCACAAAACTGTTTACTATGTATGTATTAATCCTTAGGCCAACTGCAGCAATCAGTCTGCCTGAACTGCTGGCAGAACTGTGCTCACAAGGGGGAAGAGAATGCATGTGAAGGGAGTGTTAAAGCACGTGGGCTGTGCCTTTGGGATCAGAGCAGACTCCGGAGGAAAGCATTTTGCTGGGCTAAAGTACTTCCTTCCATCTGCCAAACCTAACTACCTGAAAGGGATGAGATCAGCCTTGCTCCAGTTCTATTGCGGGAGCCTCCTATGCGTGTCATCTTTTGTTTGCAAGTCTATTGATGCCACTTTGATAACTGCCTTGATAGCTTGGTTGTCACTTCTTCTATTGTGACTCCTTTTACAGGGACTATTTCACAAAAAAAACCCTATACATGAAGGCCCCTCTTGTATGAAACACTACTCTGTAATGTAAAGGTTGGCATTTCAAGACCCAGTGTAATTCTTTGCTTCGAAACAGAAAGCTGTGATGAGCAGGAATCACCCCGGGAGCTGCGTTTGTGCTGCAAATATGCTCCATTCGTGCACAATCAGATGGTGGAGGCTGTTTGCTTTCCCGCGAGGGCGGGCGCGAGGGTTACCCGCCGACGGCCGTTGGGCTCGCGCAGCCGTTAGCGGCCCCTGAGGCGAGGAGGCGAGGCGGGAACGCTGCCCTCTGGCGGCGAGGGCGAGAGCGGCTGAGGGCAGCGCGGCGACGGCAGCGGGACACGCCTCCTCGGAGCCGCTTGCAGAACATCGTTCGCTACTCCAACGAACTTTGCAGCCTGGTCTTTCTTGCTGTGTACTTCAGTATTTAACACCCGTAACGCGCTTTATTTAAAAAAACTTACTTTTAAAATTTGGCCTGACGAAGCTGATTCGGTTACATTGTCAACTGATGTAAACTTTTGCCTTTTTCTTCCCCACTCCCCTCCCCCCTTCACTTTTAAGGGTAGATCTGAATAGATAACTTGATGGAATGTATGAAAGTAAAATCTCTCATCCTTTTAGTCTTCATATTTGTTAATAAAACGTGATAATGTGACCTAAATCTTGGATAATCTCCTCATAAAGAGATAATGCAGCCTAAGTTCAAAATTTGTGAGTGAAATCATGTGTCATTTGCAGATTCCTCTTGCCAGTGTGCATTCCACCTGACAAGGTTCATCTTGATGATGGATAAACTAGCAACTGCTAAATTATCTGCTGCTTTTACTTCGGGTGCTGTCAGAGGACACAGGAAGAGGGACAGAGCGTTACAAACTGCAAAGCTGAATGCTTCTTTGGCATCTAAAATCAAATCTAAATTATTAAGTAAGTTCCATTAAAGTAAAACTGAAGCCTTTTACTGTACTTAGAATATATGACTTCAAAGGGAAGAACAGTTGTATCTAGCATGATTTGCTGAATGGCTGCTGTTAAAAAATTTGGTGTATTCAGTACTTCTGGAGAGTATGAAGGTTAAAACACATGGTTCTAATTTGATTATTTATCTAATTCTCTACATAGTTCCAGCGCTTTTTCTTTGGTGTGCTAGTGTTTTTAAAAAACATGCTCAAATACATCTCTAACATCTATGCTTTATCTTGAGCATCTAAAATCTGAGGTACCAAAATGAGTTAAATCAGTAACAATTTATGACATAGTTGTCATAGCATTACATGTTCAATTCTCATTTGCAAAATGGCATTTGTAAAAATTCTTCATTGAGACACTTAGAAAATCAAAGAATACTGCAGGTGTTAACAGGCTGTTTTAAGCACTTGTCAGAACATACTTTGCTTTCCCAGTCAGCCAGGGTTAAGTTAAAATACGTTTTTTTTTATGCTAGATGTTTAAGTCCACAGCACTATGAATATCTCAAATCTTCTTCTGCAAAAGATAGGGAAAGTGTAGTTATAGCAAAACACCACTATTTCAGAGATCTCTGGTTCAAGTAGCACAGCTAACTAAATCTTGATTTCTGCTTCTCTTCCTGTGAATGATGCAGCAAGACTTTTAATGTGATTTATACCAAGAATATTAATTTCAGTGAAAAATAAATCAATAGTATTGATCAGTATTGACATGAGATTCATGTCCCTTAGGAATCTCCATGTTGCAGAAATGCAAATAATTCACAAAGCCAAATAGTAATTTCAAAGCATGATGTTTGGATTCACAAGGTGCAGCTGTTGTTGCATGTTTTCCTAAGCAAAGAAATGAAGCCCTGCTGATTTTTGGATGGCATGTTGCAGAAGTAATAGCTTAGGACAATGAATAAATATAGCAATAGCACTTCATGCTAACTTTGCTCCTTGTGGTTTTGCTAAAGAGTGTGGCCAGGCTCATCTGAGTTAAAGTTAGCCCTGTGCACACTATGAATATGAAGCAAAGAGTTTATCTTGGTAATACTCTGTCACTGAGGAAAAAGTGGAATAGTAGTTAAAAGGTTTGGTAGCAGGTGTGAGTAGGTAAGTTTTCATTACAACAGTCGACGATATATTTCTAAACTTCTTTCATTTCTGAAATCTACATTCTTGCACAAAATGTTTAAAATTCTATTTTTTCTTTGTCAAAAGGTAGGAGGCATTGTTATGCCTACAAAAGTATACATTTTAAAATGATACATTTAAAATTCTTAAAATATCTTTGTTTAAAAAAAAAATAATAATAATATCCAGGCAAGAGCAGAATCTTTGCATGAGACTCAAAGCTAACAGAAGACTTCAGAATGGCAGCCAACAAGGGACAATTTTATGTCAGGCTACTGTTCTGCCAAAAAATATAGATAAAAATATTATTGTGTAGTGAGACTATATAAAGAGAGGGCCTGGAATTGGAGCTGTTGAAAATAAAACTGTATGATTTTGTCTCCTATAGATAATTCATCAATGTTGAAAGTATCTTTAAAACAAAATAATAAAGCATTAGCTCTGGCTTTGAGCATGGAGAAAGAAAATTCTCGGAAGCTGAAGAATGAGAAGATTTTTCTTCAGAAAGAAGTAGAAAAGCTGCAGCTTCATAATATCCTTCTTCGTCGAAAACTAAGCTGTTTGGTATATTGCCAATAGTGTTTAAGCCTAGATCAGCTAAACCAAGCTTTCGTCTTTTATTGAAACATAATATTGCTTCTCAAAATGGTGATTTCAAACACTTGCATCTCAGATTTTTGAAGCTGTCATCTCATAGCAAATCACTGTTTTTTTTATTTTCCTTTCTTAGAAATTTTTACACTAACCAGTTTATTCAGGAGTGTATCTGTATAACCATGGTTATTTCAGTGTCAGCGTAATTTCTGTATTAAAAGGTATTGAAAATTTAGTTTGTCCTCAGCTGAGTGAAAAATTACAATATATATTCACCTTTATATCTTGTCTTTTTTAGAAAAAAAGTAATTTAAAAGACACTTTTATATTTTTTTTTCTTCCTTTGTATGCAGAATAAAACTCTTAGAGAAATAGGAGCATTTTTGAGTGATAACCTCTTAAATGCAATAGAAATAAGCAGTCTTTCTGAGGTAAGACTTTTTTTGACTATTGCTATATCAGAATCTACGCAATAGCTCCAGGATAATATTTTCAAAATATGTAAATGACTAAAATGTTGAAATCATATATGCATTTAAAAACATCTACCCCTATTGTTTAAAGTAGAGGTGAATCCTTAGTCCAGTGAACTCAGTGGCATTTCACTGCTATAGGCAGTAAAGATAGAGGATTTAATCTCGTTTACAAAAAATCTGAAAGTTATGTATCAGACGAAATGCAGTTACTTGACTTTAAAAAAAATACTTCTTCCCCACTGTTCTTCTTTTGAAAGAATCTTCAGAGTTCTTTTCCTCTGTCAGACAGTCCAAGTAGCTGTACTGATGACCAGGTGAAGAGTACATGTCAGTCAGCGAGGTAAGTTGTATTAAATCTGGAAGCTGATAAGTATGTGTAGATTTTTTTTTTCTTACAATTAATCTTTTTATGATCTAGATTTTTTTGAGGTAACTAGAAACAGTTTCCTATCTAATTCAGAAACTATCTGCAACTTGTAATGATCAGGGAGATAGTGGGAGGAAATATGTGTTTGAATAACGTGCTTCTTTCTACGTGAGATCTCACCAGCATAAAGCAGATGAAGTGTCATAAATACCATTGCCCCTAAGACAGAAGCAGAAGTGCATTTCATACCAGAGTTTTTGTTTTCTGTTTTTATATATTACTAAAGAAATGTTTTAAACAATTGAATATTATGGTATAAAACACAAAATCTTCACAGTAAACTTTTCTCTCTTCAGATTTGTAGAATTGCCAGTGAAGCTTCCTTTACTTGCAACATCTGCTGGAAAACAGCAAGGTAGCTCTTCTGTGTGTGATATAGCAAATTATTTTAGTAGTACCACTATTTTGTCAAAGGAAACATGTTCAGATCAAGTTCAGTTTGCATCATCATTGCTTTCTGGTAAAAGTAATCAAAAGTTAAATGAAATAGATCTGATGGAAGCGACCGTTGACAAAATCATGTTTTTTAGGATGCAAGATGTATTTTCTGTACACCAAATAGCTGTTTTTCGGAGCTAGATGACAGTTGGTATGAAATAGTTCATTATTTGATGTGTAATACAGAAGATATAGTGAGGTTGCTAAACTGTAATACGCTACTCAGAACCAGCGACCACCCATAAGCACAAGTGTCTCAACTATAACTTGTAGACTATTGTTCATTCAAATAACACACATAGAAGTGTAACAAAATTAATGTGAACAGAATGGCATTGTGGTAGTTAAATAATAGCTGCAGAGGTCATAGAAAACAAATAAGATTTTTATTTCATAGAATCATAGAATTCTTAGAGTTGGAAGGCACTGAAGGCCATCTAGTCCAATTCCCCTGCAGTGAACAGAGATGTGCCCAGGGCCTGATCCAGCCTCACCTTGAAAGTCTCCAGAGATGAAGCATAAACCACGTCATTAGGCAACCTGTTCCAGTGCCTTACCACCCTCACAGTAAAAGAATGTGATTTGTCATTTTCCAAGCTTCCCATCCAACTTTCAGTAAGGTGTCTTATTCTGACAAGCTGCTAAAGTTTGTCTTTTTTTTTTTCTTCCAGAAAATCAGTTTTGCACAGAACTAAGCAGTAATAGTGCATTCCTAACTCATGTCAATAATGTACAACCTCTAAGACAGTCTGAGGAGTTTACAAGACAAGATGATAGTTCATTGCCATTCTCTGGAAATGTGACTGAAAGAAAGAAATATGCAACACATTTTGGGTTAAAACCACAACTTTATGTAAAGGATTCTGGTAAAAAATGTAGCTCAAATCTGCCTCCTCATGGTGGCAGCAGCAGCAGCAGCAATGAGGTGAATGTGAAGGAAAGTCCAAGTGACTTGCTTCGCATCATTCCTTCACAACTTGAATTTAGCAGTGAGTGTAAGGAGATGCTTCCTATTGATGGGATAAAATCTGAAGAAACTGTTTATGATGCTGATATGGAGTTGACTGCCAGTGATGCAGGTGAACTGCTCACAGTTGCATCAAAAGACAAATTACATAAAAATAATAATGCCAATTCTGGTAAAGTACTGGCAAATTTCAGAAAAGTAAAATATTCTAAAAGTGAGAAAGAGAAAGTTAAAAACAAGACTGAAGTCAGTTCAGATTTTTATGCAGAAGAAAACCACACTAGGACTGACAATAACGTTTCAAAAACTACTGATCCACAAACTCAGCTATTCCAAAGTCAGACAGAACAGCTACCTACACAGAATTCTACAGAGAAACAGAATTTACCAAATACCAATGACTATAATCAAAACCAAAATTGTCTAAGTAAGGATAAGGATACTAGAAGAACATGCCTAGTTAGCCTAGTGCATCAAAAACAAGAACAAGAAGCAAATAAAGAAAATTCCTCAGAAACATTGGAAGATGTGGAAAACAAAATAATAAAAGCATACTCAAGCTTATCTAGTAGTGAGATCCCACCTCAAGTTTGCTATGCTGAAAGCTTGACCTTCCAGGATAACAGCTCTACTGTACCACCTTTACAGCAGGACTTTCTACCTGAAAACAAGAACAGTGTCAGACTGCTAAGAAACAGGAAAACCTTTCAAAACCCTTCAAAAATGAACACAGCCAAATACTGTGAATTTGATCATGGGAAGTATGAAGAATACGGTTCAAAAAAGTCTCAAACAGACAGGTGCAAATGTGACAGCAAGAGAAAACAATACCAGAAGAATATTATAAAGAGTAAATGCAACAAAGAAGGTGGTTACAGACAAAGAGAAACTGAAAATGATAGTGTTAATAAAATTATTCAAAAAGTAGATCAAAAGAGTGGTAATTTTTCACCAGGCAGATTAAAACGTACATTGGCAAAGGCTGCACGTAAAGCATATGTAATACCAACTAAAGATCTTACTAAATTCTCACTTTGCAAAAGTGAAGAATTAGAAAATAAGGATGCATTGTGCACACAGACTGTTCATGGAAATAAAATAACTGAAACCCAGCAATCTCAAGGAGCTTTAGTTGCTCAGAATGATATGGCAATGAATATACCGCAAGTTAAAGCCTCCACACGAAATTTTGGCAGCAATGCTGACACGTTAAAGAGAGTAGATTCCTCACCAGCAGCATGTGAAGAATCTAACATTAGTAATTCTTGTGACAATCAAGTGAAAGAAAAAGGGAGCCTTAGTTCTGGTGTTATGGAGAGCAGACAAAAAAAGAATTATTTCAGACATATTGATCAGGGACAGATGAATTTTTTGAATGACCAGGAAGTCTCTCATGAGATGGACTCCTTTATAAACAAGTTAAAACCCACAGTGCAAAAATTAGAAATTTTAGAATCCTTACCTGTTGATTGTTCTAAGAATATAACAATAAGTACGGGTAGCTTTTTCCAGAAAGGTTTTTCTGAAATGAAGCCCACAGCTCTTGATAACCTTAATGCTCCCATGAACTCTGTACTGAAAAATTCAGAAATGTCAGGGAAAACTGATCAAGATAAAGCACTGGTTTCTGGAAAAGCAAATCAAAAATCAGATCATATTTCTAAAGAGATTTCTGAAAAGACTTTGACACATTGTCATGGTAAGTGCATGAGAATGGGAAAAAAATATATTTTAAATTAGTTTCTGCATGGAGTAATGATAAAAATATCTTCTCTCAAAACTATTCCACTCATTCCTTGCTTACAGTGGATGAAATAGAAGTGAAAAGGTAAGGCTCAAAATCATTAAAATGATTCATATATCAGTCTCAATATATTTCAAAATTGTGATAACTAATATACCTGCTACTTTGTAATGTGTTCCAAAAAGACATTTTGTCATACAGGTTAAGCAGTCCCTGTTCTTGAAGAGCAGTTATAATTGGAACCTGTATTCAACTTGCACAAGAATGCTGTATGATTCAGAATTCAGACACTAGGATTAAAAAGATAAAGTAACTTTAAGTTTTATACAAGAGAAATTTCAGTATATACTGTTCCCTTCATAGATGGGGAACAGAAACAAGAGTAGTTTTCATACATTAGGCTTACAAATTCCATATTCAGTGTTACAATGTAGTAGTACCAAAATAGGTGCAAGAGAAAAGCCATCATTCATCTGGCACACGTGAGTTTCTTCTGTGTGATCAATAGTAAGTATTTTCTGCCTCAGGCAATTTAAGGTGGGTAAAGACTTCATTCTCCAAATGTGAAAATGTGAGGGTTTTAATTTCTGTTCTATTGAAAAACTGCATCCCGTATGTTCTCATCTGGATGTAGTAAATCTAAGACTTGACCTGTATCAGCAGGGAATGTATGCTCCTGGAAGAAACTGACAGGAATACAGATTAAGGCCGTGTTTTTTTTTATCTTGGAGTGGTACCTGTATTAAATCCCTGTGCTCTCCAGAGAATCTGTGATCCACCTTAGAATTTTTTTGAAATTTGGGGTAATGTAATAATTTCACTATTTCTCCCAACTTATCAAAATCTTTGTCTCCAAACTAAGTATTGAGGTTTAGTCTGGCATTCTGCATTTGATCTTAAAAAATTTTGCAATATTGATAGTGCTTTTTCTGAGGCCGGTTGCTTCATAGTAGGGTATTGAACTTTCACATTTGCAGTGACTGAAAATGCAAGGCATCTCAAATAGCTCTGTAGTACACAGTTTTGAAGATAAGGAGGTTCACTTAATGACCTTGCTGTGCTTTGTTTGTGCATGCACGCTCATAGAGCAGGTGCAAAGTTGAAAGATGTTATTAGTTGTAGACAATTCTTGTACAGTTTGATCCCTTCACATTACACACGTGTGCCCTCCCTCCTACATTTAAGGCCATGATCTGTCTGCAGTTTTGTTTTTTTTTTTACTGTAACATTATATCTGCTAGCTGCAGATTAGGGCACCTCTGGGGTTTGATTGTGTCTCAAGAGCATGGTAGACCTCAAACAGCTCCAAACTAGGTTAGGTTGAAAGCTGTTGTAATACCCTTCCCTTTGATCACATTCCATTATTTGCAGAGCACCTTGAGCACAGGAATAACATCCAAAGTATCTGAATTATAAGAAATACAAGGGCTGCTCTGAAAGTAATATTTTATTTCAGTACATGACATCAGAGGCAGATGCTGGCTGTATGTTCTGACAAAATGGCGTCTGACATAGCCATGCAGAGAAAGCAAAGGTGCGTCACTGAATTCCTCCATGCAGAAAAAAATGGCACCCACTGATGTTCATGAACACTTGCTGAATGTTTATAGAGACCAAACAGTGCACATGAGCACAGTGAGGTGATAGGTGGTGCGTTTCAGAAGTGGTGACAGTGAATGTGAAAGACAAGCCACGTTACAAATACACAGCGGTCGCACCATAAAATGAAGACTGTCTCAATCAACTTATCTGTGCAAATCAGCTAATAGTGATAACTATGATAAAAAATAGTATTTTCTAGCTGAGAATTTGCTCTATCAAATACTGTTATTGTGCTCTTTGTATCTGTTGTAGTTTCCATGGAAATAAATAGGAAGCATTACTTTTGGAGTGACATATATACTAATAACAGATAATTATGAATTGAAATTTTACTTAACAGTTCAGAAAATATTTAAAATGTATCATATAAAATATTCTTTTTTCCATAGGGAGAACAGCTTTGCAAGATGTGACAAATACTAGTGAGTTTTCTCACACTTCCTTACCTAAATCCTCCCAGATTTTAGAAGAAAACTCAGCAGAACCAGTTAGACGAGGAAGAGCTGCTATTTGCTACAAAGAACCCCCTCTAAACCGGTAGGTATCAGATGGGGAGGGGTGGTTTTGTTTGTAGTACATAACTTAATTAAGATTTGCTATTAAAACCCTCAAATTCCTAAGAAATTAACTATTTATTTTGCAAACTGGAGTGGAATGATACCTCAGTGTTCATGTTTTCTGTTAGTGTGGCAGGATTTCTAGGTGCCAGAATCAGATATATTTAGCTTATAGTTAAACTTTTTATACCAGTATAATAATGATAAGTTCTTAATATTTATCATGACATAAACCCCTTTGCAGGTGTACAGTTGTAAACATTATACTTAAATGTTACACTTTTGCCATAAAAATGCCCTTGTAATAATGCCAAGCGACCAGATAATTTCTGTAATGATATTACAGAATTCTGTGGTCTTCCTTGAGCTAGATATATCTAACTTAATTTGAGTTTAAGATAATTTATTTTAATAATTATTTTAATTATTTTAATTTAATAATTAGTTATCTAACTCAGTGTTCTTGCTCAATTCAGTAGCACAAGATTTCCAAGATTTTTTAAAGATATGGCATAGATTGTCATAGCTATTAAAAATTAAAAGAGAAATTCAAATATCCATTAATAAAATCTGTGTATTTGTACAAATTGTGTACCTGTAGACCTAAATCTCAATGGACTGTTAAGTTGAAAATAACTCCTGAACATATTCAGACAGCTTTAGCCACCACTTTTTGGTTGTTGTTGTTTTTTTAAACCCTAATTTAAGGAAAAAATATCTTCCATTATATGTGTATTGATTGATTGCATACTCAGGAGCTAAAGACTATTGAGATTTTCCCATTATAGTCTGGAGGATTAAAGGGTTATAGTTACTTATTTTACAAGTCAGGTGCAGAAGGGAGTATGTTGGTGAAAATGAGGGGAGAAGAAAGTAAAACCACAAACTGAAAATTTCACACAGTATTTCCATACATCCACCAAAGAATTTTGTTTACCTCAATAAGCAAACAAATAATTAACTGAGGCACTGAGATTGTGGACAAATAGAAGCTAAAAGCAAAGTAAGAACTGTCTATAATTTTACCACCAGTTTGTTTGTTTTTCAGAAGTATTTATGAAATGGTGTTTGTAAAATTGCAAAAAAAGAAAAAAAAAAAAAAAAGGATTATAGTTGCATTTTTGCTCTACTAATTTTAATTGCATGCTAAATTGATGCTGTTATATTATGCCATTGACACATTCTCCTTCTGGATGATAAGATTTTATATTTCTGGAGAGAGACAATAAGGCAAAAATAGGAAAAAAAAATTGGAATTCACTTGAGAATTTAGATTACATGACTATGATTTTTAGCATTATTTTCAAAAATAATGTTATCTATGCCTTGCTATTTCAAACATATTTGTTTTCCATAAAATAAAGTTCTTTAGTGTATCTAACTTTCAGTGGGATTATTTAGCACTTGCAATTGTTTTTATAATTATATAGATATATGGTGATATTCACATGATATTTTCTATTTCTTTTGTTCACAGAAAATTAAGACGTGGGGATCAGTTTACAGATACACAATTTCTGCATTCCCCAGTCTATAAAGTAAAAAAGAAAAGAAGCTTTAAAAGTAAATCAAAATTTATTTGAAGAAGACAAGAGAATTGTCTTTATGAACAGCACTTCTGAAATGGTACTTTTTTTTTTCCAAGAAAATATAGTTTAGTAGTATAGGATGCTTATTGTTATTAGATAAATGTAAAACAAAGACTTCAAAATGGAATTTCTCAGAAAAGACCCACAACATAAAGGACATAGAACTCTTCACCAAAGAAGGCAAATTCAGGTTTGGTGAAGGATCCAGTCTTGTGTTCTGAATTTTTGCTCAGTAATTTATAATCTGTTCAAAGTATTTGCAGCACTTATTAATTTGTGAGAAAAGTGTAAGTTTTAATGAGAATTAAAAAAAAAACATGTTTGGGAATTATTGTGATTTCTTTATATATACTATGAGCAGAGTAATTTATCAATGCTAGCTGGAACAGATATAAGCATCCCAAATATAGGTGCAGAGAGCCTTGAGTTGTTTTTGTTGGTGGTGGTGGTGGTTTGTTGTTGGTGGTGATGGTGGTTTGGTTTGGTTTTGGGTTTTTTTTTGCTATTTGTTGTTGCTTTTATTTGACAGAGTCACACTGAGATCTGAATGAGGAGATCTCATTTTTAGGAACTGTTGACAGAAACCCAGTATCATGCATATGGGTCATAGGCAGTGCTCATAGCAATGCTTTGAGTTTCCAGTTGAGACTGTGCTAGTGTGACAAATACTACAACCATACAATATCACTCAGCTATCAGTTTTTAGACCAACTCCCCTCTGGACCATCATCAGTCACTTCTGCATTCTGTTATGCCTTCTCATGAGACAAACAACTTTTGGGTGATGTCTAAGTTATAAATGCTGCCAGCTGCAGGCTGTAGCTTATAATCCCCATAAATTCTGTGGATTATTTTGGATAAGGTTCAGATTCACTTTGGAACCAAGATAATTGTATCTCATTTTTAATGAGACACAAATAAGTTACTTGGTTACAGAAAGTGATTCTTCACACGGTATTAATCAGATAAATTAATGGAAGAAAAATCCATGAGGAATTACTGGAAATGCTGTTTAATACTTTATTTAAGGTTATTCACTTTTTAAATCCTTCACAGACTGAGCAGTTCTACAGTAAGCTAGACCTTTGATCTCATCTGGTAACCTTTTATATGTAATTGGTACTCTTATATTTGTAAAATTTAACAAACAAACAAAACCCAGTACTCTGTACTTCATTGTAGCTTTTGTAGCATTGTAACCTGGGTGAGGAAATCCTGGTTTCTGTATGTTTGAAAGACAAAGTGTTTGAGAATAGTCAGGATGGATTTATGAAAGGAAGATCATACCTGATTGAGTTGATAACCTTCTGCAATGAGACCATTAGCTTGGTGAGTGAGGGGACAGCAGTGAATGGTTTTTACCTCAACTTCAGTAAGGCTCTTGCCAGGATTCTCAGCAGTCTTTTTCTTTCTGAAGAGGTGTAGTAATGGATGGAAACATAGATTCTATCTTGATCCAATATTATTAAAGAAAGAACTATATACACTACTATACGCTTCTTTGTGTATCAAGATCGCTAGCTGCCTCATTAGAATTCCAAAGGAAGCATCAATTACAAATTGTATTCCCTGTACTGGCACTGCAGCAGCGAAACATGTAATTTCATTTATTTGTTTGTCCTAAATGGTTATTTCTCTCTATTGCCTATGGTTTGAAAGCTAAACAGAGAAGTGCAGGTTTCTTTTCTTGGGGGGGAAAAAAAAAGGAAAAAAAAAAAAAAAAAAAAGGATCTTTCGGAGATAGTCTTAGTTATTTTTTCAGCGAAGTTCCTGCTGTTCAACACTGTCTCTGTTATTACCAGTTAGGCTGCTGTTGTGTTTCATGCAGTTTTACATGAAACTGTAAAACCTGGGCTTTATGCCTTACCTTCTTCAACTTGCATTAAGTGTAGATATCTTTCAGAGTAAGAAAGGATAAAGAAAGTGACCTGGAAGAGGGGGGAAGTTACTTTATGTACCTCAGAAATCACATCCCTGTTATTACTGCACTTGTTTCATTGTTTTCCATCCTTACTTTTGTTGCTCAAGTTGATGCTATACACAGAGATAATATTTACTCTTAATATCTAAGATCTACTTACTTTATTTATTCTATAAAATGGCCACTTGAAGCACTGCATGTAATGTTGGAATACCTGCTGAATCTTCACTGTGTGGTTTTTTTACTAGATCCACTGGTATATTAGAAGCTTTTGCAAGGAAAAACCAATGTAAAAACAGGTCAGAATATTCCAGATAAAACTGCATCTGTGGCTGTCACAGGGATTGAGATCTTTCTCTTTTTTTTTGCTAAGGATAAGGTACTTCAGACTTCTTTTTGTAGCATCAAAAATTTTTTTTTCCTCGTGTTTATGCAATTATTTCTTAATATATATTTAATATTTTCATTTACCACTGATTTTGTTTGTTTTAAAATTTTTAAGAAAATTACTTCAGTGTACTTAAACAGTGATTCTATAACCCACAGCTGTGCAAGTGGCCCTTATAAATGCTTAGAATGTCTTGAAGCTAATGAAGAATATTTTGTGAGTAGAAATTTATGCAAAATTTCCACAGGGCCTATGATCACTAATTTGCTGGGTTTAACCACAATTCAGAGTTACTTTGCAGACTAAACTGTTACATAGGTGGCTCCAAAATTAATGCCTCCTGTTTAATTCTTTCGGAACTCTACAAAAAGCACAACAATACTATTTGATAGAGAAAATTCTCAGCTACAAAACACTATTTTCCAACAAGAGGCTGCATGCTGTGCTTGTGAAGGCTTGCATCAGCAGAGCTGACCCACTGTTGCCACTGCTGAAATACATCACCCCTGCCTTGCAGTGCTCAGTTCCACTGCTTGGTCTCTGTAAACTTTCAGCAAGCATCAGTGAATGTCAGTGGGTGCCATTTTCTCCACACAGAGGAATCTGGTGACCCACCTTTGCTTCATCCACACTTCCAGGTGAGATACCATTTTGTCAGACTGCCCCTCTGCTGCCTCTGTCACACACAACAACGTGTAATGGGATACTGGTGTGGAGGTTCAACCTCTACTGCCATACCACCAACATCCACTTCTGGCACTGTGAACCATCATAAGAAAATAGGAGGCATTATTTTTCAGAGTAGCCCTCATAGAAAGTACTAGCAGTTCATTTAGTTCATTTTGCTCTATGGGAACACGTGCCCTTTGTGAAAGTGGAAGATGTGTCTTAATATTTTAAGCTAACTTAACAGAATGAAGTAAAAAAAAATTATACGATCAACTCACACATTAAGAAAAAAAGTGACTTGTAACTTTCCAGGTCACACAAGCAACATTAATTAAGTAAAGCTACTTAGCTCTTCTGCCACTCATAGATTAATATGTCAACTCAGAGGAATCAGCAAGCTCTCCATCCTTGAAACACCTGAAACATGTTCTACTTCTCACATCAGTCTGAAATACCTAAATTTTCCTGAGAGATTTTGCTCCATTTTATTAAACAACAAAGCTTTGTACTTGAACAAAAGGCACAACAGGTACAATAACTGCAACAGCCATCTCTTATTTGACCAATACATAGAATCATCTGTCCTGAACCCAGGTTGCTGTGGGCATGTATGCTGCAACTCAGAAGGACCCTGAACAGTTCAGGGAAGAACAATCTTGCACCCTTAGAACCTCTTCTGTGTTTTCCACGTGGAAGTATTTTTTAATATATAAATAACGCAACACATTGAAATTAATCAGGCTAAAGTATTCCAAAGCTTGCGTTTGAATTGCATTGCTGTAGGAAATTTAAATCAAAAATTGTATTAACGCAACGGGCACCCACCCACCCACTTCTGTTTGAGTTTGGCAGAGCTCAGCCCCGCAGGCCGCCTCCCACGCTGCCCGGTGTCCGCCCGCTGCGGCCCGGCCCCGCCCTGCTCGCCCAGGGGCTTTCCGGCTGCTGCTGCCTCTGCCTGCGATATTTGCTGCCTGGAGAGTTCCGGGTTGGACGCTATGTCTCTGCAAGGGGCGGTAGGGGCTGCGGAGTTGATTTTCTATGTGAATGGGAGAAAGGTAAGTGTCGTTGGGAGGGAGTCTGAAGAAAGGGTAACTGCTGTTTCAAAAGTAGCCCCGAAAGACGTGGGCATAGATAGAATCTAGTTTTCTTAGATTTCCTTGGAAATCTTGGGAAAGTGTAATTGAATCCTTCCAGAGCCTTTGGAATGTGAATCAGTCAGCTGCTATTATTACGGTTAGCTAGTTCTCTTGCATTTAACAAGTGCTGTAAGAAGAGGAGAAGCATCAGAGGAGGGCAACTTAAATTGCTTAAATCATCCTATTTTAGCTAGTTCTGCTGAATTTGGGGAGGGGGGGGATAGTATCAAAATGAAGTGAACTTTTGACTGGCTAACAGATTTGGTTGATGAGTGAACTAGTTTTTCACTTGTATGTGCCTGGCTTCTTGTCTTCAGTGGTTATTGGAGAAGAAATTTACGCAGGCGTGAAAGCTAGTCAACAAGGCTCCAGTGCCAAAATCTGGACTGTTAAAAAGGTAATAGTGCAAGGGCAAACCAAAGCTCGTTACTGATTAAATGCAATTGCAAGGAACTAGCTGATTCTAAGCAATGGAATAAGAAATCCTTTAACGGAGACAAGAATGCAGGCATTTTTATTGCTTTCAATTGTTAGCCTAGTAAGAGAAGTGAAAATTTATATAAACAAAACTAGAAAAAGATTCCTGCTGACAGCCTTAAACGCTTCTCTGGTGTTCATCCTAGTAGGTTAAAGTGCCAGAGAGACTCTAAAATCTGCAAATGATTAATTTGTTATGCTATGCTACCTCTATTGTGGCAAAGTCCTGTTGCATTTTTATTTCTAACGTGATTGAAGGTTAGTTCCCTCAGTATGACCTTTCAGTGAGCAGCATTTATTTTTAGTACATCTTGGAAACATATCTGTCTATGAAGGAATCTGTGGGCTTTGGCAATACAAGTAGTTCTCTGAGAGCGAACCAGAGAATGTTTTTGTTCTGGTTTTGTAGGAATGTAGCCCGTGTTCTGAATTTTGAAAAGCTCTACTTTCTTAAAGTTTGCTTTTTCTTTTTTACTGCAGATAATAGAGAAAAATGCCGATCCTGAACAGATGCTGCTGTTTTATCTGCGAAAGAGACGTATCCTTTTCTTGATTATTTTTCCTTCCAGTCACTTAGTTGAAAGCCTTCTTCAAGTAGAATTCTCGTAAGTGATAATTAAAAGGCTGTTTTCCAGGTGAAAGAAGCTGTGACTTCCTTAAGATAAAATAGCAGTATGATGTTCTTACATCAAATGCTCTTAGGTGAGCTGCTGCATTTTCAGCCTGGTTTCCTAAACAAACAAGTTATCCTATTAGGCACAATTTATGTGTGTGTATCTATCTGTCTGTTCATAAGAACCTTTTGGCCAGTATGAATAAAACTTAACAGCATAGTAGTCTCCAAGTTTTGTAAAAAGTCTCTCTTCCTGGAAAGAAGAAAGACCTTGTGATGATGGCCTAAGTCTGTTGCAATTCTGTAACAATGTTATTTTCTTCTAAGTATTCCAAACAAATTTCTAAAGTCAAAACAAACAAACAAAAAACTGAACAGGTTTTAATAGTAAGTAAATGTGAACAAGTATGTTTTTAAAACAGAAAAAAAAAAAAATAAAAAAACAGAATTTGAAGGGACTAGAACTCACACTTGCCAGTTTTCTTTTTGCAGACAATTTTGTCTTCTGTCTTGGTTTTAGTCCACAGTTCTCTGGCTTTCTGTGTTACGAATTCTGCAGTACTTCCTCTGATCTTTCCCTCTCATTCTGTTCACCTCTTCAGAGGTTTGATTGTGTGTCTGCTCTCAGCTGTTAGCAATTTTCTGGAATCTAGTGCACCAAGAACCTAGTGTTCATCAAGCTGTTGTGTAATACTGTTGAGTAACGTGTTATGTTTAGGAACCCTGAGCCAGGATCAGGGAGCAGATGTGAAGAGCAGAATCTCCCCTATTTGGCAGCTTCCTAGGCTGTCTCATCAAACACATCCCTGAAGGACAAAATGACAGATACCATACACTAGAGAATTCACACAACAGAGAGTTTTTTTAATGTCTCAAAAGAAAAATTTGGAACATTTCATTACTGGTCAGTTGTGGAGATGAGCCTGGAGAAGAGTAAGTTTCTGTAGTACTGTAGTAGTTCTGGTACTTAAGAAATTATTCTTCAGTAATCTGAGCAAATTCAGACTCCGTTGAACTAAAAAACATAGCTCTATACCAACTTTACCAGGAGAGTTGTACTTCATTGGTTAAAGCACACTGGTGAGTGGTCCCATATATAATATTGCACTGACTTTATCTGGCACCTTCAAGACTCATTTGACCTTGCTATATCTTTGTATTCTGTCTTTAAAATGGGGATAAGATTAATTTGTTTTCAGGAGCTAGTTGATAGTTTTACTTTACAGTTCAGATATCAATTTAGAGTATTCCTGCATTTTGTTCCTTATGTCTGTATGATAGTGTGCCATTCCCTGAGATGTGTCTGCACAGTTGTATATAAAACCACTTAGCCAGATTGAGGTACTGATTTTTTTCACAACTAATTTCCATACATAATTGAGATAAAATAGCTAGGAGGATGGCTGATTTTGACTATATATGAGCCTTACTTTTCCAGTTGCACTTCTAGGGAAAAGTTGAAACTTTAGTTTCAGTCTCCTGATTTAAAATTATTGTGAAACTTATTTAATTTTTGTTTCTATCGCAGCTTACTCTTCCCCAAAAAGAATTGAGTTTCCTGTTTCCTTGTCCTGTAAAGAAAGCAATGCAATGTATGTGCTATTGAATATAACCAATTATGTATTTCATCAAAATTCATGAAAAAAGATGGTCCTCAGTCTTATAACAGAATAAAGTCAGAAATAAAACTTTTTTTTTCCCTAATAGTGGAATTTCAGTCCGTCTTACAGGAACTAAGTATGGCTGTGGAGGAGGTGGCTGTGGTGCCTGCACGGTGATGATATCAACTTATGAGCCAGCTTCAAAGAAGATACTGTATCCTTAACAAGAAATCTGAAAAGCTCTGTGCTGTATTTTATGACTGTGGATGCAGTTTCCAGGTATAAACGTATGAAACTGTAAAAATACAGTTGTAAAATCTGCACTAATCAGTAAAGTACTCCAAAGGAAGAGTTAATTTAATCTGAAGAAGGTTACTGTAAAAAATTCTGTTAATTCAACTGTGCCATGTATTTGCTTGTATGTTACGCTGCAATGCTTTGTTTGCTAATATATGCTGATAGCTGCAGTGAGGAATTCTCTCTTTATGGGACATTAATTTAACATCTTTTGTACTTACCACTGGAACATTGCTTCTCTCAGCAGTTTTCTCTCATTACTGGTGTGAGGATAGGGTAGCCAAAAGTAGGAGGTGGGTCAACCCAGCCTTCTAATACTGCTCCCTCTCCTCTCCAAAAAAGGAGTTTGAGCCTTGCAGGGCTAATAGATTATGCCTGCTAGTTTTGTTGTTAAACTGAATGTGGGAATAAGTTACTTTTAAATTGGGAAAAGTTCAGTGAAATTGTTAAATGGTAACGTCATTGTGAATTGAATGTTTTTTGGGGGGAAGGGAGGAAAGATCAAAATGCGCTAGTTGTCCCTTTAGACAATTGCATTCCATCAGAATACAATAGAAATTAAATGTTTAATGTTATTATAAGAGTTGACATTAAAAGAACCAGAATGAGTCTACCAAAAATAAGCTTTTAAACTCTTGTAAAACAAAACATTTTATTGTTAGTGATGAGAAGCTTTCCAGAATTTTCATTTTGACACATTGTTCCTATTTAGAAAGATATATATATATGTATAAAAATAAAATAAAATATATATATATATATATTTTTTACACTAGAATTCCTTTGGATCAGAAATTTCAATTTCAGTTTATCAGCAGGGGACTTGCTTCCTGCAGATAACTACACCAACTTTCCCCACTTTCCTCTGCCAAAACACACTTGAAAGGTGCTTGTGGGTAAGATTGATGAAAGGACAATTAGAAAAAGACTGAAGTATTAAGGAAGATAAAAATTCTCCACAACTATCAATATTATGCCCCTTTTTATTCCGCCTGGGGACAAGAGATGCAGTTAGTAAGAAAACTCTTCTATAATGCCTCAGTCTCCTCTCTTTCCAAATGGCCTTGTAAGTATAAAATCTTGATTTACTGCAAAATAATATTCGTCTTTATTCACCTTAATGTTCCAAAGACACTACTCAGCAAATGCATGCTTGCTTCCCATTTGCTCCTTGTATGGTATGGCAGTCACCACAGTGGAAGGTGTTGGAAGTACAAGAACCAGAATTCATCCAGTTCAGGTGAGAATACAGTATCACTATGTAAGAAGAGTATTGATTTCTTTCTTTGTATAAGCCGTCTGTAGTGACAGTGTTTTTTGGGCATGGGAGTTTCATGTTTTGATTATTCTTCCTGCTAAATGATAACAGAAGGCAACACAAGTTTCTAATTGTTGGTTGGTTCATCAAGACTGATGATGTGTGGCTCGTGATAGCCCTTGTTGTAATACTGACATCCTGATCAAATAGTACTTAAGATCTGTGCCATTTGGGCTAATGGCGCATCTTGGACAATGCCCTTTCTATGATGTAAAAGAGACGGAAGACTACTGAAGGTTAGTTAATTTCCTTGGTAATATGTGCTGAGGCATCATACCCCAAATAATTATTTGACAATGTTTAAATTGTTTTCCTTAGTAGTTCACAATTAGTTTCAAGACAGCATTTAGTATGGCTTTCTTATTTATGAAAATTTGTTAGAAAGGCAAAGTACACTGTAAAAAGTGCTGTTCATGGTGTTTCATTTTAGGAAAGGCTTGCCAAGTGCCATGGCTCCCAGTGTGGTTTCTGTACCCCTGGAATGGTGATGTCCATATACACTTTGTTAAGAAATCACCCAGAACCAACTTATGAGCAGATGACTGCAGCTCTGGCTGGTAAGTATTGTCACTTTTAATTTGTGGTTATTTCATCAAACTGTTTTCTTCTGATGCTTTATGTATGTGAGTGCAAGTCTGTGTAAGCACAATGGATGTATGTACTCTAAATTGTGCTTCCCAACAGAATTACTGTTATTCCCTGTTGTTCTTTTCTCTTGAAAAATTGTGAAATTGTGGATTGTTTCAGGGACAGGTGTTAAAAATGTCCTCATTTGCATCTTTTGAAGTGTTTTAAATCTAATTTGCAAAATATAACAGCAGGTTGGATGTGTAGCTGTACCTGGAAGTTTTTGAGATCCTGTTGCATCTGGAGTTGAGTGTGTCATAAGCCTTATGGAAGGAGGGCCCCTTGTGGTAGGAATTAATCAGTCAAATGAGATAAAGTAGGCCATCCAAATTGCAAATTGAAACATTTTTTGCAGGTAAAATATCCTTTGTTATCTATTATACTATAAAGTCATAATGGAGACAAAGGCATTTCCTGTTACAATGAGATTAACTAGGTGGAGGCATAATGCTCAGCTCCTCCGCTATTAAGAACAGATTGAAGGGATGGAAAAACGTTTGGAGTGGGTGAGGAACCTTTTACATTCTCTAATCCCCAGAATACTAAGCTGTAGTCAGCATTCCCTCTAGTAAATCATAGAATGGGCTAGGTTGAAAAGGACCACAATGATCTTCTAGTTTCAACCCCCCTGCTCTGTGCAGGGTCACCAACCACCAGACCAGTCTGCCCAGAGCCACATCCACCCAGGCTTTGAATGCCTTCAGGGATGGGGCATCCACAACCTCCTTGGGCAATCTCTTCCAGTGCGTCACCACCATCTGTGTGAAGAAATTCCTCCTAATATCTAACTCCACTTTGAAACAAAAGCTTTTTTTTCTCAGGAGCTGCAAGATCTTAAGTCTAGTGATATTGTGATGTTTTTATGTCTTTCAGAGGGCTAACACTTTCCCTTGAGCTTCAAAAACACAAATCTAATGTAAAAAGCATTTTAAATCAGCGTACTTCAGAAACATCATTAAGATGTTTCTTAATGATTTCCTTTTTCCAGGGAACTTGTGCCGCTGTACTGGATACAGGCCCATCCTAGATGCCTGTAAAACCTTTTGTAAGGTAAGAACTAGTGATTATAGGAATACTTCCATCACTATGTTATGATTATTAGTACTCTCTAGTGTGTTAATAGATTATGCATATTAGTTCTGTTGCTATGTTTATAAACTAATATTTTTCCTGTTGAGATAGGTGTACGAGGAGCGTGAATTATTCTGAAATACAGTATCTATGCATACAAGTCATATACAAGTCATGAAGATTTTTATTAGTATCATATCTATCTTCTCTTAAGTGATTTAAGTCTGTGTAAGGTATCTAGTGGCCCAACCTGTTTAAAAATAAAGGGTTTTTTGGGATTGCCACAAACGAACTTGGTGTCCAGCCTGGATTTTGAAGGGTAATCCAAAGTAATTACCTGATGTGTTTTTTTTTTTTTTTTTACTGTTAGTCAGTAGTGGCAAAAATAACATGTCAAAGTGAAAGAAGGAGACTGAACTGACTGTGGATAAAGGAAATAATGCAGAATGTGTGCTCTCACAATTCCACCTTATTTGATATAGTATAAATTATTTTCTGCTAAGGACTTTGATATCATAGGATTTTAAGATATTATTGGATATTGTTTCTTTAACACACATGTACTTCCAATTTAATTTATTATTTTATTAAATGTCATCCAGAACTTCATTGAAATGTTAGGAGATACTCTTAAATGACATGTAATATAAAGAGAGAAGAATTTAAGCAAACTTTAAATCGCTGCCATTATGGGAAATATTTTAGTGATGGAATATTCCTACTTTAGGATTCTGTTTGTTGTCAAAGTAAAGCAAATGGAAAGTGTTGCTTGGATCAAGAAGAGGATTTGTTTGACAGAAAAGAGAAGGTAATATTTTAAGTATTGTAACTGTTCTGGTTGGATATAGAACTTAGAGAAAGTATTTTGCATTAGTTCTTGTTATTAAAGTATTCAAGATTTATACATACTCTACCATTTTGATCTACTTATTCCTTCCATAATATTACATTTTGTTATATGTGAAATCAGATATTTTATTATTCCTCACAATTAATTTAGAAATACTTATAAACATTAAGAATTATTTGTGTATTTTTATGTAGAGGAAATGATGTAGCAGGTATTCTCAGCTTTACTTATATTGTAATCATTGCGTTGTATGAGAAAGTTAAAAGAAGTTAAAACTTGTGGATTGTGATAAAGACAGTTTAATAGGATAGAAAAAGGGATAGTAATAATAATGATGATAAAAGAATACATAAAACAAGTGATGCACAACACAGTTGTTCACCCCTTGCTGACTGATGCCCAACCACACCACATAGCAAACAATGTCCAGCCTTTCCCATCGCAACCATCTCCCCCTGTTTGGGCAATTTAGCATTAAATCCAAAAAGTAGTAGAGTTACAGATTTTATATTGACCTCAGTGGAACCCTTTCAGTTTCTTTCTGGTTTTGTGTGAACTAATAAGGAGAAAAAATCTTGGTCTTGTTTTCTTTCTCTTTTAAGGAATCTGCCAGTCTGTTTTCACCAGATGAATTCCAGCCCTTAGATCCCACCCAAGAGTTTATATTTCCTCCAGAACTAATGGTAATTTTTGTGGCTTATAGTCTACTCTTAAGCTCTGTCTTTTCCTTTATGGTAGTCCATAGTTCAAGACTCATTTTTAATCCCTATTTTACAATGATTTATCAGAAGAAATGTCATATAATCTTAAATATAATTCTGAATTGATATTATTGTATTCCAGTTATCTCCTTGATTAATTACATTTTTAAAATATCATATTGGGAAACTGAAGATGCAGAATTAATCATTAGGTGAGAATGCTAAGAAGTAGTCTAAAGCAGGTGTTCAGAGCAGCACGTGAATGTACAAATGTTCCCAGCAATCTGAATAACAAACATTTTGTCATTTAATAGTTTTTTCTATTTTTTTCTGTCAAAGTGTCAGCCTCAGAAGGCCACTTAGGTGAGTGTTTAGCCTCAGTGGTTAAAGTGTGGCAAAGACACAGGCATCTGAAACAAGGGCACTAGAATGGAAAATGCTAATAATCCTTCATTACTGACAGCAGTATTTGCCCTGGAAAATACAAAAATTTATCGCTTTGCATTATTGTTAGATTCTAAGCCAAACTGTATATAACTAATTGTCTCCTTACAAAGAGAAGTTGTGAACAGGGAGATAGGCATTTCTGACTATGTATTTGTACCAATTCACAAGCTATATCCAAGCGATCAGTGCCAGTCCAGGCATCATGTGTATGTATAAAGGGATGCAGCTGCTGGTATCACTGGTAATTTCCAAACAAACTAAGTGTGCAATTACCTCCCTAAATATTTTAAATCACTTTTCTATTAATTTCACCAATTGCAGACCCTTTTTGTACATTTTTTGTTTGGGGGCTATTTCTTATATGTATTATTAATCTATTCAATTTGCACATTGGAATGAATTGATGGTGGTTCACTCATGAATTCTAAAAACTTACCACTGTGCAAATAATCAGCCTGGCAGTTCAATTTCTGTGCAGTTCTGGAGGATTGAGTAGAACTGCCATATTTTAAGATCTTTTTACTTCTGGTCTCATAAGTGTCTGTTAGACCCTGCCAACTATACGTATCATAGAATCATAGAATGGTTTGAGTTGGAAGATCATCTGGTTCCAACCCCCTGCTGTAGGCAGAGACACCTCCCACTAGACCAGGTTGCCCACAGCCCCATCCAGCCTGGCCTTGAATGCTTCCGCAAAGGGGACATTCACAGTCTCTCTGGGCAACCTGTTCCAGCATCTCTTCACCATCCAAGTAAAGAATTTCTTCCTAATATCTAGTCTAAATCTACCCTCTTCCAGTTTAAAACCGTTTCCACTCATCCTGTTGCTACCTGCCCTTATAAAAGTTATGTCCTCAGCTTTCTAGTAGGCCCTTCAGGTACTTGAAGGCTATGTTTAAGTGTGTAAATCTTCTGTGTTTCCACATCAGAGAATGGCTGAAAATCAACCGAAAAGGACTCTGGTTTTCCATGGGGAACGAATGATGTGGATTTCTCCTGTAACCTTAGATGAATTACAGGATCTGAAAGCTGCCCACCCCAAAGCACCTCTTGTTGTTGGAAACACTGGTGTGGGTACGTACAGTCAGAATGTCTTCTATTACCATATTTTCAGTGTGCATCCATGGAGTGGGACTAAACTTACAGTTTATTTTGCTTTTTCATCACTATGTTGGAATTGTGGTTATGGAATGTGTTTTTTTGTCTGAAGTGTCTTTCTGTTTGGTAGGACCTGATATGAAGTTTAAAGGCGTGTTCCATCCAATTGTCATTGCTCCTGCCAGGATCCCAGATCTGAATGTGGTGAAATGCATGAGTGATGGTCAGTAGACTTTTCTTTGTTGAGGCTTGAGAGATTCCTCAGCAAGAGATATTACTGTTTTCCATGGCTCTGAAGGTGTTAAATTGCTGTACAACAATCCTGGCTTTTCAGCCGTGCCAAAGCATGCTTGGTTATTTCGAGTATCAAAGTGGCTGTGGCTACTGTCCGTGATACAGACTTCTGTCTTCATAACACAGCAGAATACTGATGAGAAATATTTTATGTAGCAGTACAGGGGCAATTATCCTGGTAATACCAGTTCTGGTGCTAATTCATGCAATATTTGATTTTTAATCTCTGTACCACAATATGTTGTAGAACCACGGAGAGTTTAAGCAAAATTATGCAACTATGCATAATGTTTTATTTTCCTATATTAGGAAAAAAATGTTTCTTATGTGATTCAACATGAATGATAATATGCATTAACTAATCCTGATGTCAAACATAAGAGCATTAAATATTGCTAATCAATACTCTTGTACCTCAGTGTATGTATTTAAGATCAGTGCAGAGATTTTTTAAAAATTGAAGTAAAACTAGGTTTTAGTTTCGAAATAAGCTCTATTGAAATTTGAAATAGCAACTAGAAATAGATTTAAAAGTACAGTAATAACATAATTAAGTTTAAATTATGTTGTCCATGTTTTAAGGAAAATTAGGTTCTATATCTAATGGCAGTCACTTCCTAAATGCCTAAGGCAGCTTTCCTTGAAGTGGTAAAGTGTATTTGACATTTCCAGCATTGCATCTAGAGTGAGTATCTTTTCCAGTTCATTTTAGTCAGTTGGTTCAAGACGATGACTGATTTGTTCTTAGCTGAGAAGTGGCTGGAATTGGGAAAAGAAAATGTAGAGAGAATTTTTGCTGTATCTTTTATTCTGAAAAAAAAAAAATCTAGTTATGAGAGAGTGAGACTTACTGGTTCTAACATGATAGAGATGCAGCTTAGTTTGACAAGGAATGTTATTTTCTCTCTTTAACTAGATTTCAATGCAAAGGATGTTTTGATTAATTTTATTTTGTTTTAAATACACAGTATAGTTTTATTCAATTAATAAAAAGTCATTTTGAAATGATATGTCCTTTGATTTATATTTTTGATTGAACTCTAGTGCCCCTTCAGAATGTTCTCACTTTTCATAACTAATAATTGTGAATTTAAAAGGACTTTCTACTATTTTATAGTATTGAAAAAAAATTAAAAAGTATAATCTTGATATAATAATTTATCACTACTTAAGTGAATGTTTTTGGGTGAATCCTCACTCAAGCACTTATTTAGTCAAAGATGGTGAAAGGAAAGCAGGTAGAAGGAGAGAATAATATTCTCTTTTAGTATGTGTGTTGAATCTTTAGCTCAGTTTCATCATTTCATGAAACTCTACCCTCAGTCTCCTAAACTGGTCCCTCTAACGTGCAAAAACTCTTTGCCTTAAATCTAACCTACTGCATGTGAGCAGTCCAGGCTGTAGTTTGAACGTAGTTTAAAATGCTGGCAGTAAACCCATTACATTAGGCTTTCATAATATTTTGGTTACAGGATTAACTATAGGAGCTGCCTGCAGCCTCTCTCTAATGAAAGATGTCTTGAGAAATGCAATTTTGGAGTTACCTGAAGAGAAGACAAAGATTTTCTATGCGGTCTTGCAGCAGTTAAGAACACTGGGTGGAGAACAGATAAGAAATGTTGCTGTATGTTGTATGTTACTTTCAGTACCAGTTGCATGTGTGAAGCAGAAACTATGCAAAATTGCTTGTAAAACTTGCATTTTAAATTTTTTAGCTGTTATTTTTCTCTCACTGCATCTGTTAGAGTTTTTATTGCACCTAAACTTATGAGTGATCTTTTTGGTATATTGTTACAATGAAAATGTGAAGGTGATTAAGAGAAATAACTTTTTTTTTTTTTTTTCTCAAGTCATTAGGTGGAAACATTATAAGTCGAAAATCAACCTCAGACTTGAACCCCATTCTGGCAGCTGGCAATTGTATGCTTAATCTGGTTTCACAAGGTAAGAGATCCTTTCTCTGCGCTAGTGCCAGAAGTGCAGGATGACCTCGTAGAGCGTGCGAGGTTGGGTAATAAATGGATGTTGAGTGTTTGTTGAGGAATTGTTTTCATGTCTGTAAGAGAAGCAATTTACAAGCTAAGAACATTAGAGATTCTCATGTGAAGATAAACATTTGAACCAACTGGATCTTATGCTTTCTGTGGGCACTGAATTGCCAAAAGCATTCCTTAAACCTCATTATTTGAGTAGCCCACTCTACTGATAGTTTTCCCTGCAGTTGGTACTTTGTGCTAGCTTTAAAATTATCCCTTGGCCCTGACAGGAACTCCAGCTTTTTGTTCCTTACGTGAACTTTCAATACAGGAGTTTCTAGTCCAGTACTTTCCTTCCATGTCCTTTCATCATTTTTCTTCTATCACTGTATACTTCCCTCTGTTAGCTCATGTCCCTGTGTACTCCTTACCATTAAAAGACTGATGAAATTATTGGTAAGCATCAACTGTTTTGTGGCTTGAAACTGTATGCTCTCCTCTGCTCTCCTCCTTTCCATGTCTTGTCCTTTTTTTTTTTTTTTTATTCTGTGATTCTAATGCCTATTTTTGACCTTGATCTAGATTGAGCATATGCTGCCGTTTCAGACCATGTAATATTTCATTCAGTACCATGAAATAAATATTCTTTATGGTTTTGCTTCTGTGCCAGGGTTTCTTGGAACAGATGCACAAAAGAAATTATGCTATATGATTTCCATGACTTCTTTTTGCATAGTTTACCATTGGAAATCAGAATACCGTCAGAAGGTCTTCTGACAAGTGAAAGCACAAATATTTTCATCCCTTCGTTCAACAGCTCCAATGACATGTCTATTTGAGTGATGAATAGAATCACTGACAGATATCTCTTTCTGTTAGCCTGATAGAATTTTACTGCTGGGATAAATTTTCAGGCATTTTCACAGATTTTTAACATATTTCTTGACCAAGTGGTAGTCAGCGAAACCTAGGAAAAGTGAATTGCTCAGGAAAAAGAGATTGCAGAAACACTCTTTATTCTTATTTTTTACCTTGGTTTACAGTGTAGGAGAAAATGCATCTTCCCACATTCTGGCAGGCTCGAAGTGGAATTGGACAATATATCTATACAAATTTTATTCTATATGAAATTGCAAAGGCCAAAACCCTAAAAACACCAGTGCTGCTGTATTGACAGTGTTGCTTTTCAGATTCAAAACTCAAAAACCCCACCCTTCTGTACTAAAACTTACTGTTACAGTACTTGTGTTTTAGGAATGCAGTTTGAATGCTAGATGTTATTCTAGGATGAATAGGCTACTGTGTTGTCATCACATGACACTGGGAATGTGGAAACATGAGGAAAGTAGTCTTGCTGCAAAGCAACCAGTGTTGCAGTATCAGGCTTATTGAATATAAGAAGGGATACGTGAAACTCTTAAAAATGACACCAAAGATTATCTGGTTCTAGAAAGTCTTGAGATCGCTCAAATAGATAATAAAATGAAGTCAATTCTATATCTTTACAGCAGTTCTCTCTCGTTCAGTATTCTTACTCGCTTCCTTTAGTTTAGCAGAGAATGTACTGATGACCATAGCTATAGAGATTTGGTGGAACACATTGACAGGAGCAGGAGAAGAAAAGCAGTAGGACTGGTAGAGAAGATTACGGAACAGGGATAGTTCTCCATTTTTTTAGAACTCTGGTATTATGATTCTGTGGAATATTGAGCACTCATACATCATTTATAGAGTATAGCACTGGTAAGATGTTATGTAAACTCTAAAGTTTTTATTTACTTAAGAAATTTGCATGTTTATCTTGCCAACTAAAACTGTTTAATGTGTGTTCTTAGCACAGTTGTACAAAAGCTTCTGGGTTCATTTTTTTTTTTTAGGAGGAAAGAGATGGATTCCTTTGAGTGATATTTTTGCAAATGGAGTTGGTAACGATGCTATTATGCCAGAAGAGGTTTTAGTCTCTGTCCGTATTCCTTATTCTAGGAAGGTGAGTCACTAGTGTGTTTCGATTTGCTTCATGAAGATTTAGAGACTTACATAAACAGCAGGAGTGGGGCATAATGCCTATGTTTAAGGTAATACTATTACTGTTTAATTTCTGGATTCCTTACATTTCATCCTATTAGTGTCATACTAACTTCCAGTTTCAGTCAAAAACAGTAATTCAGCAAGTAGCTGGTGATATACTGAGCGTGATATTTAGGCAAAAATGATGAAGGCAATAACAACTGGTATTTAACTACAAGAACGGGTTCTTGGACAGGCTCTCGTAGACTTCATCAATACAGCCTGCTCAGCTGTGATATGGTTAGCACTAGGCAAAAAAGAATTGTTACCTGTTGAGGATTTTTTTCCTAAAATTAGTTAAGGCTGGACGTGTGTATGGTGCCTCTGTAAATGTTCCTGAACTGAACAATAATATTTAAATGATGTTGTTTGTAATGGTGGATATGAGATGTTTGAAGGGAATTAGGGATGATTTTACCTGAGTTAGCCAGTACGTTGAACCTTTTAAGATTTTGGTCCCATTCTCCTCCTCCTTCCCTCAACAAGATCCTTATGTTCCAACTATCATGAGAAAGTTTAGTCATCTGAACTGTGTAGGAAACAGAAAATCAAGAAGGGGCTGCTAGAAAATCAGAGAAGGATAAAGCTACCAGAAGTTCAACATAAGTAAGCATGTGGTACTGAATGCTCAGGGGGTTGAATTTCTGCTCTCTGTTTTTTATTTGCTTGCTTCTTGTAGTGCCAAAATATGTTTTGCTTCCCAATGCTTACATGTCTGCCAGTTATCCTCTTCTGTCTGATCTTGTTCAGGGAGAGTATATTTCTGCATTTAGACAAGCACCAAGAAGAGAAAATGCTCTCCCAATAATTAGTGCTGGAATGAGAGTCCTTTTTGAAGAAGGTACAGACAAAATTAAGGATTTGAGCGTTTTCTATGGAGGTGCTGCTTCAACAACAGTCTGTGCAAAGCAAACCTGTCAGACACTTATTGGAAGGTAAAATTCCTCACTGTTTTCTGTCTCAGAAGAAAGGGATTTTGATAGCTTTTTTGATGCTTTATGTGCTTAAATTTATTCTAATATATTTATACTCTAATATCTAGCATTGTATAACTATGCAGGATTATCTGTTTGAGATACTTCAAAGAAAGCCTTATCAGAAAATGTGGAACAATAATTGGACATTAATCAGATCCCTTAAAAGCATCTCTAGTTTGCAACAGTGTTGTCATTTTCTTTTCTCTAAATATGGGACAGTATCTCCAGAGTAATGATAGTCCATAAGTTTTAAACCAATTTTCTTCTGACATTGGGCTCCATTTCATTGACTTAAGATACCTCACTTCTGCGAGTGACATTGACCAACACTGTTTTAGAAAATGAAGGCTGTCATTAAAATGAATGTTTTGGTTTGATTGTAAGCAGAATGGTAGAAAGATATTACTGATATACATCCATATTTATTTAGTTATTTATCTTGAGCCTTAGTCTGATGATATCTGTATTATTCCTTCTGACAGATACTGGAATGAACAGATGTTGGATGAAGCTTCCAGGCTAGTCCTCAATGAAATAGTTCTCCCAGACTCAGCCTGGGATGGGAAAGTAGAATATAAAAAAATATTGATAGTTAGTTTCTTCTACAAATTTTTCCTGGAAGTATTACAGTCACTGAAGACAATGGTAAATTGATTCTCCATGTTTCCTTTTTTCTGGTCAAATGAAAGGCTTTTTCCTATGTCAAGTTTTGCGGTTTGTAGTGTGCTAAATATTTTCTGATAGGCTTTAGATCTACAGAGAAATGTAAGCACTTAAATCCCAAAGAGATTTATGGAGAGGTACCTGCTTAACTTTTAGATGCCTGAATATCTTTGCCTTGGATATTGGGCTATAAAACAAAAAAAATTAGCAAGGATAATGTGAAAGTACATCAGTATTAAGATCATCTTACTCCATCTGTCTACAATTCAAAAAAAAAAAAAAAAGTATGAAGGCTTTGGAAAGCAACTGTATGTGTTAAACCAGTGCTTCTTATATGAGCTGTTGAGTGGGAGAGATGGACTCCAGAATTTCACTGGCTTAATATATTTTAGCTGTGATTTATTTATTTTTGTCTATAATCTGTTCTGAGGAAAAACTTCTCTTTTGCATTTCTTTTCTGTATTACCTTAAGCTATTTCCTCCATTTCCATTACTTAGATATTACTCTAACCAGGAGTTATTCTATACCGGTTGTATGGAAACTGCTGAATCATGGCCTGAACCTCTGATTGATCACCTGAGGCGAGCAATGAGTCAGCCACGGGAGCACAGGTGAAGGCAGTTCACCTGTGCTGCCGGAAGGGGTGGAGCCTGGCTCTACCTCTCCTAGACCCTTTTAAGAGCTGACTACCAGTAGGAAAGGATCTCTTCTGGAGATCCCTCCTCTGGAGTTTTGCAGCAAGCCCAGGATGCGGGTAAGCATTCTATCTATTCTCTTTTTATTACTATAACCTGCTTAGCCTAACTCTCTTGTTTATTTCATAATTATAACATCTTTCTATTCATTGATATACACTGGTTTTCGTCAGATCTCAGAACAAATCTTACTGTCTCTACATTATGTTGCTTACTTGAAACACACATATAAATATCATTTAGTGAAATCTTAAAGCTCTAAATTCTTTTCACATTGTCACTTTAGAGCCTAAACTTGGGGAATCTTGAAATAATTTTCTGTATAAAGAGCTTGAATTGGGTGATCTCTGTTGTTAGCTTTACTAATGTGAACTTTAATAATAATTTTAGTAATTTACTTCCTTTTCAGGACCCTTGTCGCTATCCTGGCATACCCATGGAATATGAGAGTGTTCTAGAAAACTTCCAAACCAAAATGCCCCAGAGTATCCAAATATACCAGGCAGGTGATTTCATTCTAAGATTGTTTTGTGCTTTGTGACACTTGGTTAGAAGTAAAGGTTCAAGCAAGGACTGAGAGCAACGGGCACGGAGTGCTTGGTTTTAAGTGTATCTAAATTATAAAAATCTTGCCTTCTGGATATACTGTATTATAAACAGCTCATCAAAGTTCAATATTCCAAATAAGCCCTATTGTCAGCCTGCTTAAAGCTGTTACATGACTGCACTCAACCTAATTTGAGAAATCTTAGACAAAAATAAAAAACATTGACAAGACCAAGGATACGGTAATAGTCTTGTCTCAAGTTGCACTTTTCTTAGGCTTTTTATGAGGGTTCTTAATGTAGATTCTTAATGTAGTTCTTAATGTAGATTTAGGAAACAAGTTTGTGATAGCTATCTGCTTAGGCTGTTAAATGAGAAGTCAGCAGTAGATGGCAGCAAAGAATGCATCTTAGATTTTCTGAGCTCTTTGAGTCTTAGTGGCTAGATCTGGATGGGAAATCCAGCAAGCAAAGGATTTTGATCTCATCATGTCATTAATAAGAATGCAGTTTATAAAAATCAAGTTGTTAGGAAACTAAAGAAAATTCGAATGAAATCTTGGAAAATGAAAGATCTTGGATTTTTGTTTCAATTTTACTTATTCTTTAGAATAACTTATTAGCTTTAAGTGCTTCAAATTTAAGTCATTATCTACAGCTTCTGCAGACTTACCTTAAAAGTAATAGCAGTACAAAATTAACAAAAGATCCAGGGTTAAGGAAATTAGTTTTCTGTGTTTTTTTCTGCAATTTATTCCTGAGCTGCCACAGAGAGTGACTTAACAACAGAAATGGACACTGTTGATTTTTCTTATCAGCCAGCACTGAGAAACACAGAAGATACAGAAACCCAGCCTGTTTCATCACTTTAAATTTCTGACTTTTGCCAGTTCTTATCTTCTACCTGGAATATTTCATATGAACCTGTTATTTATCTATTTTTGAAGTAGGGAAGAAAAGAAAACATATCTTTCAAGATAAATGTGAGATAAAGTTTAGATGGACTTGCTGAGTAACTTTAGTCAGTCAAGTGAAAAATGTCTTTGGTCTAATAGCAGAGAATGTACCAGAAAGTGCAAGAGAGAGAAATGCATAGTGAGAACACTTGTGGGCTGGAGGCCGTAGGAGGAAAAAAAAAAAAACTTTGAGACCTGGGCAAATCACTAGCTCTAAATGCAGGAAGTGAAAAAGCATGATCACTGTCCCAAAGACTAGAAAACTGGTTTGGAAGTGAACATCAACTAGTTGGTTTGGCAGAATTATCTAGCAACACTAAATTAACTTTCAGGAAAACCTAGAAAAATAAGGTTAGTAAGACATGACATTCATACACTGTTGTAAGGGAATAAAATTGAGAAGGAAATATTTTAACATTTTATGTCTGATTTACGCTGATCGCAGTCTTTCCTGAGGAAGATAAATCCTACAAGCCATTGCAAATTGTTAAAACTAGAGTATTTGCAGACGGGCAGAATAGAGAACAGAAAAATGTGAGAGTAATTCAGAAAATTACCAGTCTCATTCATGATGCCAATCAGTAAGTGGGAAAACTGGCCTTCTGAAAAATAGCTGCTCTTTGTATGACTTTGATGTGATTATGGAAAATGTACATTTAGGTGAACCTGCACAAGATTCTTGGAGGACTCCCTGGGAGAAGTGATTGGAGAAAACCTCAGGAGTAGCAGTCTAGTTCTGCATCTGCTTTTAGTATAGAACCAGAAGATGATAATAAAGACGGTTAATCTTTATGTGATTTTTTTAATTAATGTAATATAGCATTATTTTTTTTAACTTTCTGAGTTTTTTTTGTTTGTTTGTTTTTTGGTTTTTTTTTTTGATGATACAGAATGTAGAGCTGAGTCAGTCTCCCCAGGATCCTGTGGGACGGCCTATTATGCACCAGTCTGGAATTAAGCATGCCACTGGTGAAGCAGTTTACATTGATGATATTCCTTCTGTGGACGGAGAGCTCTTCCTGGCTGTTGTCACTAGTTCCAGAGCTCATGCTAAGATTGTGTAAGTGTTCCAAGAGTATTTGAAGAAAGTGTTACTTTGAAGTCTGTTGCTTTTAGAACAGACTAATGAAGTTGGATTATGTGTATACAGAACAACACATCTGATACCTACAATGGCTCAGGTATTCGAAGCAATATTATCATAGAATCACTGAATGGTTTGAGTTGAAAGGGACCTTTTAAGATCATCTGAATCCAACCCCCTCAAACCATTCAGTGATGGCCCCATGCAGGCTGGCCTTGAATGCTTCCACAAAGGGGGCATTTACAACCTCTCTCTGGGCAACCTATTCTAGCGTCTCCCCACCTTCACTGTGAACAATTTCCTTCTAGCATTTAGTCTAAGTCTACCCTCTTCCAGTTTAAAACCATTTCCCCTCATCCTGTTGCTACCTGCCCTTATAAAAATTCTCCCCCCAGCTTTCCAATAGGCCCTCTATTGTCACTCTAGTAGAAGGCTCTGACTGAATTTACATATATAGCTTCATATTACTGTCCTACGGAGGTTGAACTATTTCTGTTCAGTAAGCTAGGGTACTGAAACCCAACCTAGATACTTACACATAGTGCTGAGCTGTGCAATGCAGAGAGGCACCTAAACATCCATGAACATGAACATAGTTTTGAAATCTCAACTCCATTATGAAAAAAGAGAATTGTTTAAAATGTAGGAAATAACATTGCCACATTGCAGCAAGGCAGTGAAACTCATGTGAGGCCTTGTAAGAGAGGAAAGTTTGAAGATGATCTTACTTTGAAAGGAAACTATTTTCACCTGTGCTTTAGTACTGATATATGAACAGTTTTTCCATTATTAAGGTACAAAAATACACAAGTTGTATGCCCAGCATTCAAGCATCAAGACATATATCCATGTGCTCTGGTTGAGGTTACTTGTGAAGACAAAGAACTGGAGTTGTTAGCTATAGAGTCTTTGTCATACATCCTGACTTATTCTCAAGTTGGCAATAGCATGCTGGATTTGGATGTGTTCTTTTTGGTACCATCTAGGAGCTGACTTCCCATTTACCCCCTAAATTTGCAGGAGTCGGTAGGATTTATTCACTACTTTTTGTCTTCTGATTTCAGTATCCAGGAAGGGTGTTTGTAGATATGCTGGAATCTTGATGACTTACTAAAATAGATGCTGTAAATATGCTGTTCTTACAGGCAATTCTTTCTGGTCTTTCCACACATGTGTTCTCATTCAGTCTCCATTCATACCAGTCTTGCTAATTCTGTCATAATTCTTCACACAAACTCTCAATTTGTAGGAAGTTTATTTGTATAGTTGATATCTGTGTAAGCTGTAAAGTGTTAATGAGTTGCAATTATGCAGATTTTTATGAAATCAATGCAGTTTAGCAGCCTAATGAGCAGATAATTTCCCTGTCATGTTGAGAGCATTTTATAGAATCACAGCAAGTTACTAGAATTTTTAATTCCCTTTGATCATTTATTTGCATACCAGAGATAGAAGAAAGATGTATCTGATTCTGGCAGTATGTGCAGATTCTGTCTGTACAAGAAACATACCTCTGATTGTGTTCGCTCCCTATGTGCAACTATAAAACTAATGAATTACACTTCTGTCTTTCCATATACCAATTAGATCTGTAGATGCCTCAGAGGCTCTGAAGGAACCAGGTGTGTTTGACATCATAACAGCTAATGATGTACCAGCTACAAATGAGTTTCACTACTCTGATGATCCAGAGATTATATTTGCAAGAAACAAGGTTTGAAAACAATCTTTTTTTTAATTTTTTTAAATTATTTTCTTAATTTCTACCATTTTTTTCTTGACGTCTTTATAATAGAATTTTGCCTGCTGACTCTTGTATTTCTGTATAGTGTGTATGTCAGGGAATCATGTTAAGCATATGACACAGGTTCAAAGAATGTCTGGAGTTAGAAGGGAGCCATCAAGCCCGTAGCTCTGTGTAAGATTACCTAAAAATTAAATCATATAGCTGAAGGTGTTGTCCAAATGTTTCCTGAACTTGAGCAGGCTTGGTGCTGTGACCACAGCCCTGGGGAGCCTGTTCCAGAACCCAAATGCCCACTTGCTGCAGAACATTTTCCTAAGACCCAGCCTAAACCTTCCCTCATGCAGTTCCTTGCCCTTCCTTTGGGTTCTGTTGCTGTCACCAGAGAAGTGCCTGCCCCTGTGTTACCCGTCATGAAGAAGCTGTAGGTCATGACAAGGTCTCCCCTCATTCTCATCTTCTCTAAGCTGAAGAAACCAAGTGACCTCGACTGTTCTTCATCTGTTTTCCCATCTAGACCTTTCACCATCTTATTTGCCCTCCTTTGGACATAGTCTAATAGTTTTGTCCTATAAGTTGTGTCATGCAAAGTTGTATAGTGTATTCAAGGTGAGGCTGCAACCGTGGGTAGAGAAGAATGGCACCAGTATGACGCATCCTTATATTTTCTCACTCCTTTTTTTGACTCTTAAAACAGCTGATGTATGTTATAGTCTGCCAAGAGAAATATCAGAAATATCTGCCAAGTATCAATCAGAGGAAGACACGTTAAATCTCACAGAATCATCTGAGTTGTTGGGAGGGTGTATTTGATTTAGACTACCGAATCACTTGCAGATTTTTGAAAACCTTTTTTGGTTCCCCAACAATACAAGTCTTCCTTGTGATTTGTTAGCTTCACAGATGATCTAAAAAGTGAAAACAAAATTCAAAAAAAGGAAACATTGGTAATTATTATGTGAAAGAGGAATTTCAGGAACGTGTACAGGAGTAATTTAATCCACTGTACTAGTATATGATATGTATTTCACAGGTAATTTGTGTGGGTCAGATTGTATGTGCTGTAGCTGCAGATTCATATGCTCATGCCAAACAAGCTGCTGCAAAAGTGAAGATAGAGTATGAAGCGCTGGAACCTGTGATCTTGACAATTGAGGTACTAATTCTTCTTTTCTCTTGCTTTTTCACTCTTTTATCTATTTAGGTAATGGAAGCAGCAGTCTGTGCTTCTCACTTGCTTTTTTTAACGTGTTTTTCTAAGCAAAGACAGTAAAACTGAATATCCAATTATCTAGTTTGTCAGTAACTCTATAAATAACTTTTGACTAATTTTGATCACTTGTAATATATAGATGATAGTCTCAAAAGTATTAAGGTCTCACAAGTTTTGTAATAATAAACATGAGAGTAGGAACAAAGAATTTTTCTTGTTGTTCCTAGGGAGTAAAAAAGCAGTGAGCACTCTGGTTATTTCTAGTTCTTTTCGTAGCTATAAACTTGCAACCAGCATATTAATAAATTATATATTATTGGCTGAACAATCTTGTTGACTAGTAGTTAGTTACTTGTTGACTAGTTAAAAGCTGACAAAGTTAGGCTGGAGATCTAGGAACTGTTAGAGGAATGTGTGGGAGAATATATTAGGGATATGGAACATCTTGGAAATGTGATGTGGAACTCACAGGGATAGGTGGAAATAAGGAGCAAAGGACATTCGCAGGGAGCTAAAATTAGTTCTGTCAATCACTTGTTTACATAATGCGTATGGAGTATAACAGAATACTCATTCTGATATAAAAATTGAAGTAATTTCTTTTGAAAGGCTGGCACATAATCGTATCTCTGAAGACAACGATATTCTTCCTGAGATAAAATGCCATGATAAGCTGTAAGCCTTCAAAATACACTAAAAAGCTGTTTCTGTTTTTCTCTACTGCAGGATGCTATAAAGCACAACTCATTCTTTGAGCCAAAAAGAAAATTAGAACATGGAGATGTTGATAAGGCATTTGAAACTGTTGATCGTATACTTGAAGGTACATTTCAGAATATATTTGATAAGAAGTTGTCAGTATTTGGTCTTCCCTGTTTGTTCCTGAAGTGTCATTTGGCCTTTTTTTCAGTGATGTCATGTGGCCATAAAGCCTGAGAAAGCTTTTGTCTGGAATAAAAGCGTGATAAAACCTAGTAGATCTGAGGTCCTGTTTCATTCAAGTTTTGTGTCCTCTGCCCTTGAGATAGAATAACAGGATAATTTAGGTTGAAAGGGAGTTGTCCAGTCCAACCTTATCCTCAAACAGTTCCAGTTAGAGCAGGATACCCAGGGCGACATCCAACCAAATTCTAAAAATCTTCCAGGATGGGGATTCTAGAACTTCTGCACATTTCAATACTTGACATTCTTCATGGTGATTTTTTTTCCCTTTATCAAGTTGCAGTTTGTTATGTACATTGACCCTCATCCTTCCAGCTCACACTTCTGAGAACAATCTGGATCTGTCTTCTCTATACCCTCTCATTAGGTAGTCATAGGCAACAGTAAAATTTGTTCTTAACCTTTTTCTTCTTATGCCTGAGTAAATTCAGTTTTTTCAGTCTCTTGTTATACATTCTGTTCTGTAATGCTGTCACCTTCTTGATGGCCTTCAGTATGTCTATGCTTTGCTTAATTAATCTGTGTTTTATTTAATTTTGCCTATTTGTAGGCAATATTAGTATGCTATTAACCAAGTTCTGTTGATGTCACTGGAACAAGACCAATTTAAATCTGTGAAAAGTTTGACTTATTTTATTTTAAATGTTGCTCCTTTTGTACAGGATGCATCAGAAGATTTGACATCGACTACCGTGATTTGCATGATGACGAGCATTATTGTTTTCCTGGTTCACATTTTCCTGTCCTTTTCCTTCAGTAATAGTTGTGTTTTTTAATTTGGAACAGGGGAGATTCGCATTGGAGGGCAGGAACACTTTTATATGGAGACTCAGAGTGTGCTTGCTGTTCCAAAAGGAGAGGATAAAGAAATGGATGTGTTTGTTTCAACACAACATCCAGCATTTATCCAGGTAATACAGAGGATTCTCAGAATGTGATTGAACCTGTGACGATAGGGCTCCTTAAGTGTGGTTTGCAAATCCATCTTAGCAATTTAGAAACATTGGGAATGTGAATTTTCACATCTGGATTATTCATTGGGATCTGCTTTGTAATACTGCTGTATCCTGATGTACCACCCTGCTCTGAGAGTAAGGAGGAAGAAAATGTCTCTTATTCCACTTTGAAGAAAGTATATCTTGCCCCACTATTGTGTTTGTGAGAAAATCCCTGTGGAGTTTCTCCATTAGCTTCTGTTGAGGTGAGGAGCAGTCAGCATTTTGCAGTTGTGCTGACAGATGGAGCTATTCTTATTAGCTGTAGGGGAGACTGCTGCTCCATGTCATAATGGTAAAGCAAACTCTGATGCAACATATTGTCTGTATAGCAATGGCTATGGTACATGAAACTGATACTATTTCACAACAAACGCTTGCATTTTGTGTTCAACACCCAGTTCAGCTGGGCTTTTCAGTTTCCATTACCTTATTGGCAAGAGCCAAGAAGCATGAGGAACTTTGAGAAAATGATAAATATTAGAGATTTGAAGCAAGGGTATACCTGGTATTAACAAGGCTTTAGATTATTTTTTTTTAAAAAGTACATTTTAATTAAAAGTTAAAATAATACAAATGCTTTAATTATTAGAATACAGAATACATTTTTATTAATTTTTGTTATACATGAAGTTTCTCAGTTTTTCATGCATAAATTATGTACTTTTTGATATATATATATATATTCTTCTCTTCATGACCCTTTCACAGTCTCCATGACGGACATATTGAATGAAAGCACTGCTGAGTGTTTCTTGTTCTCTTTTGCTTGCTCTTAAAGTTGAGGTAAAAGAAAAAAATCTTGTAAGCTGATTTAACAACAAATGTATGAACAGAACATCTTTATAGCCATTCTCTACAAAAGGTTCTTAATTAAAATGCTAACTTTAGAGCTAAAAGCAGGCCCTGATACTGCTGTAAAACTGTTTCTACAGGAGATGGTAGCTGCAAGCCTAGGTGTTCCAGCAAACAGGATCATGTGCCATGTTAAACGAGTTGGTGGAGCTTTTGGTGGGAAACTCCTGAAAGCTGGTTTACTGGCATCAGTTGCTTCAGTGGCAGCAAACAAGTAAGCGTGATGTGTGTATACTGGGATATGAAGAGAAAAGTGAGTGAACAATCTTGGTGAAATTGTCTTTTCCTTTCTGAAGGTTGCTAGCCAAAATGTCATAAAATCTTGTCTGTATACATTTGGTAAGATTTTTCAATGCGTTTCTTTGTTCACTTTGTTAGACTGCTTAAGTTGTATTAAGCAGCTTCACCTCATCTGAATTGAAGGGATTTGAAAAAATTGTGAGTAGTATAAGTTTGAAGTAGTCTTGAAATGATTGACCATTTCAAAAAGACCAGTCCCTAAACACTGAAACTTTGTATATGCATTCAAACCATGATGTTGGTCGTCCAGAATTGAACTGGATCCTGCTGTGTCAGTGGATGAGTTCGTGAGTGGAACTGCTCTTAGCACAGTTAATGCAGTTCAGTCTTAAAATTGAAATTTTCATTAACTTTCAAGTGGTGAAATTAGAAATTCTGACTTGATTGTAACTGCAAAAGAAAATGAACTCTGGATATAGCTTTATGCACGTATTTAAGCCTATTAAAATCCAATTTTGTACTAAAGCTCAGTGCATGCTATTATACATTGCTAGATCTGGATTCCTAATTAATAGAATACGCTAATACTGTTAACGATATCTCTTAGTTTATCTGAAATTCTTACTTTTCTTTTGCTGATTTAGAACCAACAGAGCAGTCCGTCTTATTCTGAGCCGGGGAGATGATATGTTAATCACTGGTGGACGGCATCCTTTTATTGGCAAATATAAAGTGAGTACCATGAGAATTTAGTGAAAAAACATCTGCTCATAGTCCTTGAATAAGGAGTTCAGTGTCACTGGTTAATACTTGTTCTATTCATTAGAGTAATAATAATCAGATTAAAAACAAACTACTTTCCTGGAAACAAAGAGGTAAAGTTGCTTTACAACCTGCTTCTGTCTCTACCTCTGCAGAGTTTTTTGTTTTGTTTTCTAGTTGATTGCTGTCCTTCTCCTTTTATATCTCTTTCTGTCTTTCTTCCTGGGACCTGGAAGGCAGGCTAGCTCTGATTTGTGCAGGTGTTTTTAAACCCTAGATACAGTTAAGTTCACACAAAGGAGGTGCTGTTTTTTTTCTCAGAAACAACGTGTTGCATGAAAAGGCACTTTCTGGAGGAAACTTCTAGCTTTCTTGTTCATGCATTGTCATTACTTGTAACAGTTTATTAGGGAAAATTCTGTCTACATTTCAATATCGAATACATAGATAAAGCAGAAGGAATTGTCTAAGATGTATCCCTGAAGAAGAAAAATATTTGTTGCTCATGTTGAGAGCTCAGCAACTATCTTTAATGGCAACAGGTGAAAGGAGATGCAAGATAAACATAGCATTTCTTAATAAATACAAGCAAATGTCATACTGCATCTGCCATCTGTTCTTACAGTTAGGAAGGAATTTGGCTCTGCATGCTGTGGGCATTCCTAGATGACATTTAAGCCATCTGTTAGGCAATGCACAAAAAACCACCGGGCTTCCCTGTTTCTTCCTTTATCAATAAGTTTCTTGTTTCCTGTATCTATACTTTTTTTTATTCTCTCTTGTCCTTTTTACAGTTTCAGTAATGCTGCTCAGGAATTAACAGTGCAGTATGACCCTTGTGTGGCTTACATTCATTTGCAAAATATACAAAACAGCAAAGAAATAAATGAATGTCAAAAATCTAAGGTAATTGGTGATTCATTGTAGGTTGGCTTCATGAATGATGGTAGAATCAGAGCTGTGGATGTCAAATACTACATTAATGGAGGATGCACCCCTGATGAATCTGTCCTGGTAAGGATTCTATAAGCTGACAAATCTTATGGAGAAATTATTAGCTGGAAAATGATTATGTCAAACTTACTTGCACAGGTATTAGTCGTATAATCATGCAGTGAGGACTGTGTTGTTATTGAAAAATCTACACCTAGCAGTTTACCTTTCCTTATTTAGTTATGTCAGCTTCTTGATGTTTTCCTTACACATTTGCTTCATATGTGGGCTCTCAGGCTTGTTTTCCTGTTACAAACATGTCAACAGTGTGTTCATTTAAAAATACATAGTATCTATGTTTGTACCTGCATAAAGCTTTGTGTCTGCAAAGCTGAGCAGATCTTCCGTAGCTTTCAGAATGTAAACGTAGTGATAATTGTTCTGTTACCACCTCTGTGCATTTCTGTCCCAGGTCTGCACTTATTGTGCTGTGTACACTTCCTTGCTTATAGGTCTACAAAGTACAAAATGTCGCTAGCTCTTTGCACTTGTATAGGTTATTCTAACTGTAAGTGAAATATTTTTTTGAGGTTACTGTCTTTATGGGTTACTATCCTGCCTGAAGGTATTTTCTGTGCACTGAAATCTGTCAGTGCAATTGTCCATACTATTGTTATTTCTAAAAATTGACCTGGCTTAGCAAAATAATCCACGTTTAAAGCATCAAGATTAAAACAAACATTTGTAGGAAGAAACTTGAGCATAACTCAGCATTGTAATATAACTATGTTATATTCACTCTGGCTTATCAATAACCCTCTTAAGACTGTTGAGCTTCCAATACACATTTTCTCTGAAGTCCATAAAAGTTATGATTGTAACAAGAAAAATATGTCCTGTTTTTATTCTACTAATAACATTTCAACTTACATTTCCTAAGTGGAAAGGTAGCTTTATATGATGTTTTCCATATACATAATTATTACAGCAGTACTCTTCAATTGTCTCTATACAGAAATGTTTTGAAGTTTATTGTTTAAAGCACATTAGAAATTGTAGGTATTTAAGGTTAGATTTATTGTTCTGAGAAATCTACTTAACACCAAAGAGAGCTAATGGCCTGACCGTGAGACATAAAAAAAAAAAAAATTATTTATTTTGATATTGAGTCCCAAAGTCTTAACTAGAGATACCTTCTGTGGGATTTTCCTTTTCTTGTGTTTTTATGTCAGGTGAAACCTCTAAGAAACAAACATCCCAGCAACAACAAAAGTCACATAAGAACCAGAAGAGAGCAGTACATAGGTTTTCTACAGGAACCAAACCTTAACTGTGAATTTTGATAGGACGTGATAATTCAGAATTCTTTCATCAGTTCCTTTCACAGCTTCTGTTGCTTTCAATCTGTTCCACCTTCTTTTAGTTCTCTATGGCTTTTGAAATTGAAGCAGGAGCAAAACCAATCTTAAAATGAGTAATCAGTTATATCTTTATCTAATGACTGAGCTACTAGTAACATCATCTGTTTTCTGTGAGTATCTGGTGAAAAGAACTGAAATCTAATGTGTTGCTTGAGAAATGACTGAAAATATTTGTATGTGTGCTTAATGATTGTCAAAAACCTGAAGGTCTTTCTATGAGATGAGAAAGATTTAAATGTGAATCTGAAAGAATTACTGTTTTGAAATCTAACTCTCCTTGTTTGTTCCCTTCTTCAGGTAGCGGAAGTATCCTTATTAAAAATGGACAATGCGTATAATATTCCCAACTTGAGATGCTTAGCTTGTGCTTGCAAAACAAATTTGCCATCAAACACAGCATTTCGAGGATTTGGTTTTCCTCAGTCAGGACTGGTAACAGAAACTTGGATAACAGAAGTTGCAGAGAAAACAGGTTTATCGCCAGAAAAGGTGAGAATAAAAAGTCATCTCTTCTGAAATGAAATCTATGAAGTTAAAATTATTTGGATTAGCTCAAATGTTTGAACAAATCTTTTTAAAGTCAAACATGATTTGTACTATAATTGTTTCTTTTTAACAGTGTCTGATTATTGAAGAATAGCACGTTCTTTACAACCAAACCAAACTTGTAATTGTTAAAAAAAAAAAAAACGAAAACACCATAATAAATTAGACTGGTTGTCTACTAGTTCTCCCATATGGTCAGTCTACCTTTAATGTGATTGTGGTGTCTGCTAATTTTATTATTTCAGGTTAGGGAAATAAATATGTATAAGGAGGATGAGCAAACACACTTCAAACAAAAGCTTGATCCACAAAACTTAATACGTTGTTGGAATGAATGTATGGAGAAATCTGCATACTACAGTAGGAAAACAGCTATCAAGGAATTTAACAAACAAAATTACTGGAAGAAAAAAGGGATTGCCATTGTTCCAATGAAGTTTCCATTTGGACTAGGCTCACGGTACCTTTCTCAGGTTAGTTTTTTTTTTTAAGAATAAACAAGCTGAACTTTTCATTTGTAGGCAATTACAGTTACCTTATAATAATAAAGAAAAAGTCATCTTTCAACTTCTAGAAAGTTATCATTCTTCTAACAGTTGTTGCTGGGAGACTGTACTAGCTTCCAGCTATCTGCAAGTTGAGATCACAGTTGTTTTATCTTCAGGACCCAGGCAGCTTAGACTATGCCTATTTAGAAGTCAGCTTTGTCTCTTAGGATGTGATATAGAAAAGGGAGTAGTTAAGAGTATTTTAGGAATGATTGCAAAGTGTAATTGGATAAGTTCTCAATTTTAGAAATAGTCTTGGACTTGCTCTTTCTGACTATGGGTTAATATGGGAGGCTTTTCTTAGATTTCTTAGATTCTTAGACTTCTCTTTGAAGTCATCAGAGTAAATTTAAGGATGAAAAGGAGAACAGCAGTATTTTTAGTCAGTATGTTTGTTTAATATTGGTGTTCAATAATTTGAAGAATGAATAGTACTATCAGTTGAAAATTAGTCATTTGACTTCACTGAATCAGATAAAATTGGCCTGTCTCTATACAGAACATTTGTAGACCACAGCACCTACTTCCCACTGAGTCTATGCGGAAAATCTCATTCAGAGCCTTCCTACTGTCAGCCTTTCAGAACTCATGTGTTCAAAAGGCACTCAGATATCAGTTAGAACCACTAATGATAGAGTTCTTACAGCTTTTTTTGAAACTATTGAGAGTCTATTGCTAAGTCTGGCTATATTTCAGGATCTAGCAACAGCAAAAAGCAGACCTCCAAGGATTTGTATCATTTTCTTTTGAAGCTTGTTAAGGGACTAGAATTCAAAATGTCACTTTCTGTTCAAAAACATTAGGCAGAAAACTCCTTTTGTTTTTTTGATCCATCACCATACATAAAAATTTCTCACTTGAATAATCTTTATTTATTTATTCATTTACTTTTCTTTTAGGCTGCTGCTCTGGTTCATATTTATACGGATGGATCTGTGCTTTTGACACACGGTGGAATTGAATTGGGACAGGGTATTCATACAAAAATGATCCAGGTAACAAATGATCCAAATATTAACTTATGCTTTGCCTGTTATACAGATAAACAATGGGAATTTTTTCTTCTTGCTTATTCAGTGTACCAGATAAACAGTTTTTTCGTTATCATTGTTCTTGCTGCTTTGCATTGATAAAGCAAAGGTGATAGGGACAGCAAAAAGAGAGAAAATGTGTATTATTTTTCCAGTGATATGTGAGGAGATTCATTAGAAATAAGATCTTTTGATCTTTAAGAGAGAGTTCTATAATCCCTATTCTATTACAAAAAAGTCAATAATCACATAAGTGTACTGTCCAAAGAGATGATATTGCCATCATCTTTGTTTACTGGATAATTGGAATAACTGAGACATGATCTCTAAAGATAATTAGTGAGCTTATGAAAGCTTGGGACCTGGACATGCGTAATTTGTCCTCTCTCGTAATCAGCAAAATCAGGATCTGAATGTTGGACTTCAGAACCTCAATCCAGAGTTTCAGTGCAGCTAAAACATTATTCATCTGTGCTGTCTCTTTGTACTGACAAACTCAGCAGAATGACTATATCTGGTGGTTAGAGAAGGACTTGCTAAAACAGTATCTTTCCTAGTAGTACCAGCTTCTAGCAAATACTGGGGAACAGTTGGAATGTTTCTGAAATGAAGAATATGTTCTGCTTCCTGAAACAGGTTGCTAGTCGGGAATTAAACATTCCAATGTCATATATTCACTTCTGTGAAACAAGCACAACAACTGTTCCTAATGCGTGTGCTTCAGTAGGATCTGCAGGGACAGATGTCAACGGCATGGCTGTGAAGGTAAAGTGTTTAGCTTAACAAAACACACCGTTCCTAATGGTATTTAATATCTGCCAAACTTTTAGGTATTGTGACTCCATGGAAATAATTTGAGGTTATTAGTAACACCACTAAAGATTGCCAAGAAAAAAATATTAATTGTTGGTATTTCAGAATATGATCTGAGCTTTCCTTTAGAACGCTTACGTTTGACCAAACCCTTGCCTCTTCAGACAGAAGCAAACTAGTCCTATACAAATTCTATGTTTTATTCCTGTTTTTAATCTACTAATTAGTAATGATTCCTGCCCTTGTAACTCAAGCCTTTATAAGGTTTGTGCTTATGCAGTTAACTCCTTCCATGTTTTTTCTAAATTACAATAAAGGATATATTAACTGAGCACTAACTAGAATGTATTTTGAGTAGTACTTTATTTGCCAAATTTATGTTTGTTAATCTTGCATTGCTTTCTTCTGATTTCTTCCGTAACCAGGATGCTTGCCAAACTCTTCTGAAACGCCTGCAGCCTATCATTAACGAGAACCCAAAAGGCAACTGGAATGATTGGGTAAGAGATGTGAAACCAGTAAATGTGTTTGTGTGCTTGCAGAACCTGTGACACGTGTTGTCATCTGTTAGTCTTCTAAGCCTGATAATCTTAAAAGCTTTGAAGCACGTTGATTCACAGAATATTTAGAACGTAGTTGCTTTGGATGCATGCAAAATAATGCCTAGATCATATCTAGGTTGAAAAGGAAGGAAAGCTATCTGTGGAGTCGCGTTTGGAGTTTCTTGAGTTTTTTATGCAGATAAAATGTTAGCTTGTGCAGTAGTGTGACCGTCCTCAACTTACTCTTAAACAGGCTGTTGCAAGAAGATTTTCAAGGTATATGTGTACAGTGCCTGTTTTCTTACAAGACTGTTCTTTATTTTTCACTAATCACAAATTTACAAATAAATGGAAACTTTGTCAACCTCATACTCCTATCTGCTATGTGTGGTGTGTTGCAGAACTGCAAAAAAAATGAGCAGGAATGCTTGCTTCCATTGCTCTGATATGTAATTCATTATAATATTAGTTACATTTGCTGTAAGTTAGTACAGAATTAATGCTAAAGCTATTCATATTAATGGCCTGTATCTGGAGTCCACTTGAAGTAATAACAGAATTTTAGGCAAGGCATTGTCTTAACTAAATTTATTCTGCTACATTAGCTATTTCCATGAAGGTATGTCTGTGAACCTGGCTGTATTGTTATGTTAAAGGAAAGCATGTTATTTCTGATGACCCAATATTACTTGTTATCTACAGCCCTATGAAAATGACAATCCCTACACTGAGAGATTTAGAGATCAGTACACTAGGGTGTTTCTTTTTGTGGGATTAAATACTGTAGTAACTACAAAAAATAAAAATATTTTCTGGCAACAGCAATTAACAGTAGGATACATGTGGTAACTTGATAACTGACAGCTATCTATACAAAAAAATAAAATCTAATGCCAAATCTAGGTGCCAAATAAGTGTGGATAATTCAGACACACCTAAAGCAGTAGCAACAATAGCTAACCTAATAAATAATGTTAAACCATGCGGAGAGACAATTTTATTATTGCAGAGTAAGTAAATTTAATATATTAAAAAACCCAAAACTTCTGACTTGTGAATCACATAAATCTGACGTGAATGTCACTGAAAGGAAATGAAATATAAGCTGTTGTATCCATTTTTACGCCACTGGCAGAAGAACAGTGAAAGGAGCTTTTCTCTTGTTAACTGTCATTTTTATGCTGATTTGTCATGCAGATCTTTTGTCTCAGTGATTTATGAACCAGATCTGTTCAGCTGACAAGAAGGACCCATTTCTATTGAATCTGAACAGGAAAGTCAAGCAGGACCCTTTCTGACTCTGGTGTTACCAGCAATAAAGATTTTTTTTTTTAAGAACACTGCTGTTGCAGGTCCATCCCATATTGTATTATCAAGAGTTCAGGTTACTCCTTTAAATGTGGTGAAATACTAAGGCACCATGTGCAGCTAAACATGCTTACAGTTTCTTTTTAAGTAAATGAATGCATGCTGTGTTCCTTTCTTACTGGTTCCTTGGCTTACAACGAAACTTGCTGTATTTTACAGATTAAAGAAGCCTTTGAACAAAGTGTGAGTCTTTCAGCTACTGGCTACTTTAGGTGAAGTATTTTTGTTCCTTTAAAATGCATGGTCGTAAACACCAGGACTGATTTCTGACAATGCCAATTCAGTGGGTGTGAGACCCTGTCCAAGTGTTCTTAATGACTCAGCTTATATTTTATGCAAGTCTTTGATATGTGGGGAGGTTGGAGTATAGTGTTCAAGTGTTAATTTGTAGCTAGCTCTGGGCAGATTCTCTAGAAACCATGAGGAGAATATTTCAACTCATATTTGCTCCATAAAGCTTCCATTAGAAAATCAGGAAGCACTGAGAAAGTGACTGCTGCCCATAATGGCAAATACACGAAGCAGGATATAGCTTATTTACTGGAAGCTATATTACCATATACTGTAAGTTGTGCTATATTTTCTTTGTTTTTCACCTTAAACATGATTACACTGCATTTTACAAAAGGAAAAAAAATATGGCAGCTCTAGAAAACACATCTGGAATTGACAACCCCAAGTGCACTTGTTAGATTTCACTTCAAGTGTTTTCAAACTTTTGTGTGCTTGTATGCTTTGTCATGATACAAACACTGATTATTCGTTGTGGACTTTGTTTCTTCCATCAGAGGTTATGATGCAAATATGGACTGGGAGAAAGGGGAAGGACAGCCATTCACATACTTTCTTTATGGAACTGCTTGTTCAGAGGTTGAAATTAACTGTTTAACAGGAGATCACAAGGTAATAACTGAACATCATGTTAGGTTTGTAAATAATGTGGATGATCTTCCTCTAGATTTTTTTTTGTGTCACTCAACATTCCAACAGCTATTCGGGCTTTGCATGAATAAATCACCTGTTTTCACATGATAATAAGTATATTCGTAGAGTGAACGCAAATTGGAAGAGCGCAGGATGATACCTGTGCAATCTTTACTGGCTTCTGGCACATCTGTATCAATGCCATACCAGTTTGCTTTTGGATTATGGCAGACATGTGACATATTCTCTGCCTGTCCTCTCCCTGTTAGTCAGCAAACAAACTACAGCAAAATTAAATATACTATTTCCAGTTTTTTTTACCTTTTAGACAGGTAGGTGTCGTAGTCTACTGATCATACACCCACTATATGTACGTACTTCCTTGTGTAAATGGAAAAGATCTGTGATGGCTAGTTCTGGCTAAAATTCCATTAGAGCTGAGACAAGCTCATTTTACTTGTAATGAGATATGGAAAATTACTTTGAAATTGTGTATGTGCGGAAGAACATGCATTTTAGCATGTATTGTTCCACTGAATACCAGCTCTAACCCATATTATGTTCTTATGCCTATCCATCTCTATCAGTGATGTGACACTGGGTTTTATTCACAGAACCTCAGAACAGACATAGTTATGGACATTGGATGCAGCATAAATCCAGCTGTGGATATAGGACAGGTATGTTCAAAGAATTTCCTGCTGTCTGATTTCTATTAAACTGATAGTCTTATCTGAAGTGAATATTTCTTTATTAATTCAGAAAACATTAATATGTCATATATGATATTAGTAAGTTCTTTACTTGCAGTCTTCTCCCATTTGTGTCAGTGAGGCCTGGATTTTACCCATGATCTTTAATGTCAACCTGTAGTACTTCCTTCATGTATATGTGCTCACTATCTGCCAGACTTAAATCTTGTTTGTGATCTGCATTCTCTTGATTTCTCATGTTGTTTTATCTGCCTTCCTACCTGTTAGCAGGGAAACATCTTTCTTCATTGCAGGCTGGTCCACAGACTTCATCATTCACCATGAATGCACTTGTCTCTGGTGTGAGAGAAGAGTATGAAAGCTTTTCCCGTCATGGTAGCCACAAAATGTTGAAAAATCCCCTTAGGCAAACAGGAAATAAATTGATCTTCTAAGAGCCAGTGATACAAATCAGTTCTTGCCACAGTTTTACCCATCTTAACAAACATGAGTACGTAAATGTTATGTCTTTTCTTATTTTAAGATTGAAGGTGCCTTTGTTCAAGGCATTGGACTTTACACAATGGAAGAATTACAGTACTCTTCAGAAGGAGTCCTACGTACTCGGGGTCCAGATCAGTATAAGATCCCTGCTGTTTGTGACATTCCAGAACAGTTTAATGTTTCCCTGCTGTCATCTTCCCAAAATCCGTATGCCATCTATTCATCCAAGGTAAGCAAACCATCACAGGACTTCAGTCTTAGATCTCAGGACAATCAGAGAAATAAATACAGAAAAGGATATTTATATATGCAAGATATGAGGCTGGATGACGTGCCTTCCAGGATCATAAGAGAGCTGGCTCATGTGATTGCCCAGCCTCTCTCCATCATACTTGAAAAGTCATAGCTGTTAGATGGAGTTCCTGATGACTAGAAAACAAGAAACAGTCACTCCCAATTATAAGAAAGGGAGGAAGGAGAACTCAGGGAACTACAGGCTGGTGAGTTTTACTCTGTGCCTGGGAAGATCATGCAACAGATCCTCCTGGAAGATATGTTGAAGCACATGAGGAACAAGTCAGGTGATCTGAGACAGCCAAGATTACCAGCAGAAGGTCGTTCTTGACCAATGTAGTGATCTTCTATGATGGAGTGATGGCATTGGTGGAAAAAGGGAATGCAACTGATGCCATCTACCTAGACTTCTGCAACGTGTTTGATATGGTTCTCCCATGATGTCCTTATCTATAAATTGGAGAGATACTGATTTGAAGGGTGGATTGTTTATTGGATAAAGAATTGGTTGGCAAATTGCAGCCAGAACTTTTCTCAGCATAGCTTATTGGCTTACAAGTAGTAATTATAGGGTTTTGTTAACAAGCTATTCATAGAAGTTGCAATGTAAATTTAAAATTTTTAAATCAGTGATAGACTGATGGGTTAGAATGAAAATAATCAAGAAATTGATAGAGAAAGGATAATGACTGTGAGAGTATGTGCATGTGTTAAGCAGTAAGAAATAGGAATGTGTGTGTGTATTTATGTATGAGATAAGCTCAAGTATTCAGCTGGTAGAATCATTGCTTCAATTTACACCAGTAAATATTCTTGTCAGTTGCAAGTAGTAACAATGAATCAAGATCAAGGCAATTGTGCAAAATTTCAACTGTTTCAGATATTAGTTATGCTTTTAGAATTCAGTGAAATAGCATGACGGGAGGAAGAAACATGGTTTTTAAGGTAAAAGTTATTAAAGAACAAATAAGTCCTTTAAAATTATTTAAAGCTGTCTTTGTGACACATAATTAGATTTATTTTTTTAATATTGTCTATGTTATGTTGTTACATAGTTGATTCTATAAAATTGATGCTAGTATCCCTCTTCGTAGTTTTTACCCTTTTCTGTGAACATCTATAATTGTCCTCAGAATTCACTGTCTTAAGGAAGCATAATTCTGTCTTCATGCAGCGTGTTTGGGGAAGACGTTTGTTTCTCAAATTGTAGCAAGCAGATTGCAATTGCAATATCTCAGTCAAACTCAGATTAAGATATTCAGTATTTCAGCAGAAAGTATCCAGAGGAAGCGTAGATTTTACATACTTTTGAGATAAGGAACAAATCTGAATCTAATGTCTGAATTAGTAAGAGAATGTAAAGACCACTGAGGTGTTTCCTTGTCTGTGGTGAATTAATGTGAGTTCTAACTTTTTTCTTAGCTGTTCCTGCTCCTGAATTGAGATTGTTTTAATTTATACTGTCACTTATAAATTTCAGTTCAGCAAGAAGGCAAAAAGATTTTAAAATCAGAAGCCAGTATCTGAAGCCAACCTTTTTAGGTCCCTGGAAGCATCCAGCAGCAGCAGACTTGATGTCACTTAAGTCTGCTTCTGCTAAATTCAAGAAAAGCGTACTAAAGAATGAAGTGCTTTGAGTCACCGTCATCTTAGCTTTACAGTTGGTATTGTTATGACATGTATTTCTCATTTGCTCAACCTTTTTTTTCTTTTTTTCCACAGGGGTTAGGTGAGGCAGGACTTTTCTTGGGATGCTCTGTGTTCTTCGCATTGAGGGATGCAATAACTTGTGTGAGGAATGAAAGAGGACTAAAAAAGACCTTTGCACTGAACAGCCCTCTGACTGCTGAACAAATACGAGCAGCCTGCACAGATGACTTTACTAAGATGGTAATAGGAAGGTGGGGGATTGATCTGTTTAATTATGTCTGAGTAAATATAACAAAATAAGCTTTTGGCATTCCTGAGTGGTGAAGTGCCTAATGATGTTCCAGCTGGGAATGCTTTATATAGAGCAATATCATACAGCCCTTTCCACTGAAGGCTCCTTCAAAACTGAAATATCTGATAACAGCTCTCACACAACTAAGTTATTCCTGTGGATTCCTTTCAAGCATTGTTTTGGAATTATCTGATTTTGCATAAACTTTCTTTCCTTTTAAAACATTTTTTTCAATCCCTTCTCTCCTGAAGCCTCCTTTTTTCTTCTATATGGCAAATTCCATAACCATTCTATAAATAACTTGTATTACCAATGTGTGCTAGATAATAGATCAGTCTCTGTGCAGTTTCATCATCCTTCAAAGTTTCCCACTAACTTCCGCTCTGTCACTGAGAGCTAACAAAAGAATACAGAAGAAAAATGAATGAAGTGATACACTTTCAATAATTCTAACCCTTCAGATTCACTGTTTTCAGCAACTGTTCACTGTTGTGTTATTCCCATTGTTATGGCCATTCTTTTTCTACTTGAATTTAGATTTAATCTATAAAATTTGTGAAGCAAAGTTCTGGCCAGTCTGTGCATCCAGGCTGTGCCCCAAACCTTTGTGGCTTTTGCACAGAAACTTCTGAGCTTTCACTTAGAAATTACTTTTCTTTGCTTGTGGTAGATCTCACTGACCCCAAAACCAATAGGTTTCTGGACTTGGTTTCATTAAAAGAATTTGCAGGAGGTGAGGTCCTTAAATGCAGAAACTATGCTTCTGTTTCATCCTGAGCCCAGTTTTACCTTCCTTCTAGATATCATCTGTAGGTATCTTCTGTGGTACACCTACTGGGCAACTTAGAGGCACCTGATAAGGACAATATTCAGAGTTTGTCAGTCAAATAATATTAATCTGTAATTCTTTTCATATCTTGTTTGTTTTCTTAGATGACAAATGATGAATCTGCTTCCTCCACTCCTTGGGCCAGAGTGCATCAGACCTGAACAGAATTCTAACTATTGATTGCCTGCTCCAAAACACACTAATCAACTCACATAAAATAAAGTATTTTCTCATTTTCAGAATAGAAACATATATACATTACTCTTCTATCAGTCTTCATTTTCTGTCTGGTATACTTACTAAACTTACAACTACTCAAGTTACAGCATTCAATTATTAGAAATGTATCTCCAAACATACTTATTCCACAAGAAGGGTCGTCTGAATGGTTCTGTTGCACGGCATCCACAGAAAGATCAGTTAATATATGCTGCAGGAGAAGAAAGTTAGGATGTATTATAAAGGTATGTTAGATTCCTTACTATCATTTATTACATAAAAGTACTTCATATGATGTGATTTTTGAGAACCTTCAGCTAATATTCCTGAGATTTAAATCATGCAGTGCAGGTCTTCGCAGAAATCTTTGTTGAAAAATTGGAACTTTGTTTATTAAATTGAATATCTTTTTGATAGCAAGTGATGCTCTGATTTCTAATAAAGTCAGTTTAGGTTTTCCTTGGTACAGACATCTTTGTGTTAAGAACATACGGGGAACTAGTGTTATGATTTTCTTCTGCTATGCCAGGCAAATTGGTATGTCCTATACAGATAGGAGATTAATTTTATCTTCAAAGCTGGAAGAGTCACTTAAATGTAGTTTCCCATTAAGGCTCTTTTTGTCATGGAGCAGTTCAAAAACCTCTGAACTTAGTGAGAAAATCCACATGGAGTTCAGTATACTTTTAAATAGAGGCCCGGATGAACCTGTGTCTGGGAAAGGATTCTTAAACAGTGCTTAATCCTGTTCTCTGCACTGTACTGAGTCATGAGAGCAGAGTTAAGAGCTTTTCTTTCACTCTTGAGCATTACTGTGATAAAAAACAAAATAACAGAAAACAATTTAAAAACAAAAAATATCAATCATCTGATACTGCCTAGGCAGAAGACGAGTAGTAGCAACTGGAGACAGGAAAATATAAAGCAGCACTGTTTAGAATGGTAACAAATTCTGGTGATATTAAATTTGAAGAATGTATTTATTTGTAATATAAGACAAGTTCAAGAAATTACATAGAAAAAATTGAAATGAACATATTATGGAAGCTCCAGTCACAGTTTTCTGATTTCAATGTTAGAATCCATAGAACTAAGTTCATGGAAAACTTCAGCTTTTCCTCTTACCAAAGTGCAAAGTTGAAATCTCAATTCTGAATGTGCTCACACATACCCAGAGATATGCAAAAGTCTCTGGCGTTTGGATTTGGGGCTTCGATGTAAGATGCATCTTAGCACAGAGAAATCATCATTTTTTCCAGTGTATGTATGTATGTTTCAGAAAGTAACACTTGAAAAAATTGTAGTAGATTCATAGAATCATAGAATCACCAAGGTTGGAAAAGACCCACACAATAACCCAGTCCAACCATGTACCCATGACCAATAGTTCTCGCTAAACCATGTCCCTCAACACATTCTTTCATGAAGTCAAACAGTCACATGCTGAACATGTGATTTTGGTGAACCTCTGCATCATCTGTTCCTTACTGCTGTTTATAATGAAAATCAATGGCTCTAATTATTTCACACATTGGTCTGTGGTCTCTCATTTCACTTCTTAGTTTACCACCAACTGTTTTCTTTCCTTTTATGAGCTGGTATTGTATTTGTGAGGGAAACCAAGTTAACTTCTTTTGTTTTGGCTATTAAAATATAAATATTGTTGCAGTTTGTGACTCTGTGATCTTTGAGTGGGTGAAATTCATCTGCTTAAACCTGGGGATTGAGTGCCATTTTAGACATGATAAGATAGACATAGTAGAGCCCACAGTTAGAAGATACGACATTGTAACTGGAGACCAAAATGCTTATAGTAGGTCATCTAAAAGGACACTAGAAGTGTGGGTTAGGCTGCTGAAGCCTTCTTAGTTTTAACTTCTTTTTCTTCATTTTCATTGTATTGCTTTGGGTCTTATATATGTTAAGAAAAGTCAAAAATAAATGCGTGTGCTGCTGATGTTATTAGTCTTTCTGATTAGAGATATCTTTTGCTGTGTGAGCTTGTTAGTGATAATTTGCAACCCCGTGTGTCAGTAATAGCTCCAAACTAAGGGTAAATCTCAGGATATGCTGAAACAGGGAACGTATGAAATTAATGAATTGTGGAAAGGGCATTGTCTGTGGCTCTCCTATGTACCTATTTATCACAATGCATGCTGGTAAATTCCAGGTAGGTGAATTATTGTATGCATTGTGGCCCAGCTCTTACATGCAATGATATCACCCTACCTGCTATGCTGAGCTGTTTATACACCTGGGATTCATTGTGTTCTAGTCCTGTGCTTTGTTATCTGCAGTACAGATCACATCTGCTTATTAGTATTTCTCAGCTACTATTAGCAAAGATTCCTTCCTGCCTCTTTACAAAGTGACACCATTTTCTATTTGTCTCAGTGAAATCTAGCTATATGCTAAACACGTTTTTGTGGGGTTTTTTTTTCTTAATGAAAAGATATGAATCTCCTGGCTTTAAGATTTTGAAAAACTGTGTGAAAGCTAGAAATATCAGCTATTAAACATACTTCTATTGACGCTATACCTATGAGGGAAATTGTGAAATCAATTTTCTTGGAATAGAGAAGTGTTAAGGAGGTGGGTATTTTTTGTGTTTTTGTTGTTATGTTTTTAGTATTAAAGATTTGCAGACTGGAGGAGCTGCACAAGCAAAGTGTTAGGTCTCCAAAGGCATGGTGCGTTGGGTGGCTATCGACACATTAATATATATTGTGCAGAAACACCCAAACTGGAAATGGCTGGTGGAAACTTTTTTCTTGTTTTTGTGGTAAATAATTATTTCTATAAATATCTACCTTCATTCACTCCCAAACTATGGCTGGAGAATCTTAAACACCTAACACAGAGGTACTAATTTGATTTGGAGTCTGTTGCTCTAAAAGGTAGATATTGGGTAGCCAAAGTCCAGTATTAGATATGTTTATTTCTCTTCTTGTCTTTTAATCCTGCATATTGTATGTGCAACACTTAAGGAATACCATAGTAGTGCTGTAGTTAGCAGACTTCAATAGGGCTTTTGCCTGCAGTACCTTATGACTTCAGTTTTTCATTGTTCATAATTCTCATTGCGTACTTGAGGGGCTAAAACACAAAAGAATAAGCACGTAGCTCTTCTGAGAATAATTTCCTTCTAATGGGAAAAAAGGTGGGGAACTGACTACTTTGTCTTAAAATACTAAACTGTTTCTAAATGAAAGACGCTTTTGCTGTATAATATAAAAAAGTGATGTGCATTTAAAAAAAAAAAAAGACTTTGAAAGTTGTGCACATAAATTCTCAATTTAAAAAAAAAAAAAAAAAAGAAAGCTAGCTGTAGTAAAGCATTTTGAGATTAATAACCTAGTTTACTAAATGTGAATTTACAGTAAATAGATAAGATACTAGAATACCAGATCAGGGTTTGGAGTATCTTTCTCTATAAATTTAGCGCATATGGTATATCGTATAGGGTATGATCAACTCATAATGTTAACTGCAGCAGTCAGGCTATTGAGCTGGAGTGGCATAGAGATAATCAGTAGGAAATTTTGAAGTTTACGCAGTAATAATCCAGACTCAACATGTTGAAACCTGGTTACAGGAAAACACTAGCTATGACACGCCCATCAGTGATATACTAAATGAGAAGCACAGGTTTTAGCTTTAGGCATTCCTACCTATTCTACAGTTCACAGCATTAAAAAGAGGCCTCAGAGTTGTAGTTCAGACCCAGGAATCCCCTCCGACAAATAGCTTATCACTTAGGTTACAAAGTTAGAGTTAGAGGGGATCTTATTCTTTTCAAATTATTGCAGCTCATCAGAGAAGAGTTACTGTGCAGAGTGCAAGTAGAAAGTCTGGTGAGCCAGCACCTTAAAATGCATTAGTTGCTGTGAAAGTGCGTACCTTACACTGACTCCTCCCTATCTACTTGATTTGATGCTCAGTCTGAAAATAAATTCTGCGGGACACAGAGCAAATTTAGTCCACTTGAGTCAGAGTCATATGACCTAGGCGAGGAGCATGTAGCATTTCTCACTGTATGTAAAACTTAATTTTTCAGATATTAATGCAGCAGCATGGCTTGCCATGACAAACAACCAAATGACCTTGTCTTTTTTGTGAATGGCAAGAAGGTAAGTTTTTAAGTGCTGTTTTTTCCCTTTGGAAAATTGCTTTAATATTTACTGTTTATTTTATACTGCAAAGCTGTTATTCTGGAGTAATATTTCATTCATAGGTAAACTTCTTGTGGATTTGATCTTCCTTACAGCATCCTGTTTTCTCCTGAAGGAAGTTGTGGGCTCTTCCTGACTTTATTCTTTGTTTTTACTGTGAACTGGGTTGTTGGATTTCTTTATGGTTTCAATTCAAAACTGAGAATTTTTAAATTGGCATTGTAAGGAAATAAACTTAAGCAGTAAGTTATCTGAGAGAAGTTTTAAGATCTCATCTCTGTAACTGTTATTTTTGGCTTACATTAGCTCAGTATTTTCTGTGCACTCTTAAAAATTAGGCAGTCTATTTGTTATATTAGCAACTTTATACTTCATTACCTGGAATTTTTAGAATTATAACTAGTTACTATTTACTAAAACCTTACAGTAACATACTCCTAATGTTGATGTAATTGGAGTGAACACTACTAGTTCACTGCACTGTTTGCTAATATAATTTCAGAAATTTACAAAAACAAAGTAAGAGGTTGCTTTTTCTGTTCTTAATGTCAAAAGCTCACATTTCATTTTCTAATATATTGTCACCTTTTCTGATTTTCCAGTTTAATAAAAAATGAGTTCCTATTAATGATATCACCCAGCACATATTAAAAGTTGAAATAAAAGGATTTGGCTATTTTGGTTTTTTTGTTGTTGTTTTGTTTTGTTTTGTTTTAGGTTGCCATGTATTTTTCTTTTGTTTGGTCAGTATTTTTATATTCTTGAGCAAGAGTACTGGCATAAAAAAAAAATAAGAATAAAAATGGTTTCAGGCAGATAGTGGAAAAGTGGTTCAAATTTTTGTCTTCTTTTTAATCTGTATGTGCCAACTATGCTTAAATGCATTCTCTTGGAGGAAGAAAAGCTGAATTGTTGTGCTCTTTTATATTTTCTATAGAAGTTTCACATATTACTTGTTGCTATTTAACAAGTTGAAAAATATATGATCCTAAATAGCCTATGTTATTACATCCCTTCATCTTAGGTGAAAATATTTTTGAAGCTCAAAACGTTTCCTTTTCCTATGCTGGTTGTTCCCTTATTTGGTGAAGGTGAGAGATTACTGTAGTGCTTTTAGTAATTTCTGAATTCCACTGAACAGTGTTCCTGAACTAGCTGAAGCTGATAAGCTGGAGCATGCTGCTGATATAGGAAAACTGTTGAGAGAAGCCTGAAGTGAGATCTCTCTTCATTCTTCATTGATAGGTCCTAAAATATGTTTTCATGCTTTCTGGGTTAGTACTGACTTCAAAGAGGTAAAAATACACAGCAAATACACATTCATGGCTTTAAAATTAAGGGATTTCTGATTTATGCTGATATGAGTCAACAAAGGGTCTAGTAAAAACATGGAGTCTATTGTTTTCCATCCAGTGTTTACTTAGCCTTTTTCCTTCTCACTTTTCTGAATCAACCATGATTATTTCTAATACTTTAAAAGTACATATTTCACCAGTATTACCTGACACGTTCTTGATATATCTGTAGATTGTGATCAAGTGTCAGGATCCTGTTGCTGAACAAACAGACCTCCTTAATTCACAATCACAGCATTTCAGTGTCACAGTTAATCCTTGTAAGAAGGTTATGTCCACTCCCTAACACATAATCACTATTTTTTTTCCCCATGATGCAGGTAATTGAGAGGCAGGCAGATCCTGAAGAATTACTCCTGTATTATCTAAGAAAGGAACGTATCCTTTTGTTTGAGCTCTGCCTTTGAATTGTGCAATTCTCTGAACTGCTATAATTGAGGATTTGTTTGACTTTGGGAAAAGAACAATAAGTAGAAATAAGACATCTCATGTTGCATTTGTTCTTGGCAGTGCAATCCAGTGCTTTATGTGCATTATTTGTTTGGTTACAAGTGTTTAACATCACATATTCTGAGTGAACTCTTCTAGGTCCTACCCAAATGCTTCTTTACAGCTTCTCAAACAACAGAAAAACTTTCAGTTCATTTGCCATTAAAATTATAACTAAAGAAATAAACACAACTTATTTTCTAATAAACCATTTATTTAGGCCCCAGTCCCTTAAAGAATTCTGTATAAGCATATTTTCTTACTATCTTCTTATCTTTATTTTTTGTTAGTTGGGAATTTTCAGGTTCCTAAACTGGTGTCAAGGCTTTATTGACTTCAGTGACAGTTATTCTAAATAAAAAGATGCCATGCATGTTGCAAAATTAAGCATCTGTATTTAGCATTTGAGATCCTTCCATGGTGGAAACAAAACAACACTAATGTAAGGAGTAAATGGAGAAGGGCAGTGGTGGAAAATACTTTATAAGCTGTAGCTTTTTTATTAACTTGCATTGTTCAGGCATTCAGTGGAATAATTAGCATCTTTTTAACAGTCAAGTACAGTATGATTACTATTATGATTACTAGTATGATTACATAATGATTGCTAGTAGGAATGCATAGGAGTACAAAAATTGCACTGAGCGCAGGGACATCTGAAAACATGATGAAATTAGTTTGTAAACATGATCTAGTACAATAAGCAAAATAGGTGAAAATGTACTTACCCAGTGGGAAGAGTAATACAATTACCTATGATTCTGATGAATGGAGGAGTTAAGATGAAATGAGTTAGTAGATTCCATGGTCTGCATGGCACCATGACAACAGAGGAGTAGACTGTGAATTGGATAGAAAAAAAAAGTGGAACTTCTATACTGCACATAATGGACAAAGTCCTTTCTTACAGAACTTAGTCTTGTGCATGGGTACTGTACTCCTTTCATGTTCATGAAGCAGCAGTGGAGACATACTGAAATCTGTTGTGACTATTTTGGAAATGGATGATGCAGATAACTATGTATACAGCTTAAGAAAGTGTTACAAATAAGGCTTGTCAGAGAACCTATTGCTGTATTTCTTCAACATGTTCCAATCACAGGGTGCTGATTTTCAGTATTTTGGGGCTTCACCAGGTATTGACTATCAATGAAAACCTCTCTGTTAGATGTTTGCCTTGCCCTCATTTCTCTCCATTCTTACCCTTTTTATCTCTTTGTTTTATTTTCATCTACCTTGTACACTTACTTGTGAGTGTCTGAAGCTATCTTGTTCAAAGATCCCTCCAGTTTTGCTCATGTACATAAAACAAGGGAAACTCAGCAGAATGAAAAGAAAAGAGGACTACTTCATCTTATAATTTATTTCTTTAACAGTCTCCTTTTGCAGTCCGTCTCTCAGGAACAAAATATGGCTGTGGAGTAGGAGGCTGTGGTGCATGCACTGTGATGTTATCTACATATGACCCAGTTGCCAAGAAAATACGGTATCCTCACACTGATATTTGAGAAAACTCATGTTCACTTGGAAAAATACTTGGTTTCTTTTCATCTAGACAGATCTTGGGGAATTCTGGTACATATTTAAAAGCTTTACCTATAGCCTTTCTCCACAAAAGCGATTCCAGAGTTGGTCCCACTATGATGCAATAACAGACTGAGAATCCCGTATCTCAAATCTTTGCAAAAAAAAATAAAAAAAAAAATAAAAAAAAGCCAACAACAACAAAAAAAACACAGCCAAACAAACAAGAAATAACCCACCACCACCAATAAAAAGCAGAACAAAACAAACAAAAACCTCCATCCCAACTTTCTAGAGAACTGATATTTTAAAATCGTGTTCTTTATGATTTCAGATTTCTGCAGCCCTTTATTATTTGCTTCTCCCGACTCTTTTGTCTTATTTGAATATGTATCATTGTCAGTGAGTCTTTAGTAGACAACACAAAGAAATGTCTTTACTAGATGTTTCCCATAATCATTGCTAAAATCTCTGTGGGCTTCAGCAATGAACACGTTCTATTGTAATTATACAGTTTTGTCTACAGCAAAGTTAGATGTTTTAATTTCTTTCTCTCCCTGGCTCTTGAAACTTAAATTTAGAAATGTTGTGTCTGACTTTCTCACATCCTACTCTCCTCCTCAGGTTTTAATAAAGCATGTTTGTTGTTTTTTTTTTTTTTTTCATGTAACCTTTCTCTTTTTTAATTAAGAAAGCTTATTGCTTTGTGTGTAGAAAGAAATCCAACCAGTAGAAACAATGTGCATGCTCTCACAGTCCATGTGAAGGATTTTGTTTTCTTGTATATTCTTTCCACAGTGTCTTTTTATAGCCTAGTAGCTGAAGTATATATACCCTTTATTTCTTCCTCCATAACCCATATGACAAGGCTGTTTAACACCGCAATTCTCCTTTACACCTCAAAGACACCATCCTGCCAACTCCTGCCTGCTCCCCATATGCTCACTGCATGGTGCTGCTGTTACTACTGTGGAAGGGGTTGGAAGCTTAAAAAACAGGATTAATCCAATTCAGGTGAGAACACACTGGACTGTGTAGTACATACAGAAAGATAATGAGATTTTTTTTGTCTTATGCCTGTAATGGAGATGGGAGTTGTGAAAAGGTACTGTGAGTTTGTACAACACAGAATCTCTGAAAGAATTCTAGAAACTCTGAGTGTTGTCTGATCTTTTTAGATGAACAGGAGTTATTGGAAATTCAGGTAATAATTGCTGTGTTGTTGTTGGTATGGTGTACAGGAAATGAAATAAGGAGCATGGAAGGAGTCTTCCCTAATGTACTGTCATGCAGGGATTATATCACAGTCTCCACAACATAGGCCTGTCCATTCCTGTGTTTTGTAGCGTGGCAATTTTCAGCAAGGATTAGGAAGAACAAAGAGCACTGCTCAGTTTCAGTTATTACACCAGTATGGCAACTAGCCAGTTTACTGGGGACAACATGCTGCTTATGTTGCAATGCGTGAGGAGTTACCCCAGGTGGCAATTAAATTGAGCAGTATTAAGTAGATGCATCTTCCCTGTGTGCCAGAGATTTCCCTTGGATTAGATCAGCTCTGTACTTCCTTCAATCTACCTCATCCCTGAAAAGCATGGTCTGACCTCATTGATTTAAGAATGTTTTCTGTACTTTTTTTCTCAGTATCATTTTCTAAGGATATTGTCTCTGGGATTGGTCTGCAATGAAGCTTTGACTGATGATTTGTTATGTTCTGGCCTTCATGACTGTGGTGGATATTTAAACTGAAAGTCTTGCGTTCTCATTCCGATCTCTTATCAAGGAATTAAGGTCATGAGTGTCAAAGTATAATACTGCAAGACAGTATTATTTTTTAACAAGATGTTTGCTCTGAGAATTTTCTCATGAATGATCGTGGTGGGATAGAAAAAAAAGCTGCTACTAGTTTAATGTTTGTTGATGACAAACTTGAAAATGGTTATTCGGAAAGCCAGTGAAGCCATATGTTTTGTCCTAGGAAAGACTTGCCAAATGCCATGGCTCCCAGTGTGGCTTCTGCACCCCTGGAATGGTGATGTCCATGTATGCTTTACTAAGAAACCATGTGAAACCTTCCATGGAACAGATAATTTCTGCTCTGGATGGTATGTCTCAGACTGTAAATTTTAAAAAGTAAAATGAGACAATAAGTATTAACTGGGATAGCAAGTATGATTTGACACAAAAGCAGTAGATGATGTTTTAAAGTGTGTTTTGTTGTAACTACTGTAGTCTTAAGGACATCTTAAAATTCATTGAGCCCTGACTATGTATTTCTGAAAATCATTTAGAACAGTCTGTTTTTATAGCACTCCTACATCAGCAGCCTCAATATAATGCAATATTGTTTCAGTGTTATGATCTATATAATCAAAGATAGATTCTTTTTTGTCTCCAGTGTAAGTACTTCACCTACCAATAACATAAAATACCTATTAAAAATTTTAACAGACAATTGCAGGGAAGATAAAAGACATGACATTGTATGTTGACTCTTCAAATTTACTATAATAGATGAAGCAACTTGAGCTCACATTCTAATCCCAAGTTTGTTAACAATCCCATAGTTCCCAAAAATATTTGACCTCTCCCATTAAACAGTTTTAACTTCATGAGAGAAGCACCAGAAATTCCAGCAGAGATTTTCCAGCTGCTGTTAGCTGTATGTGAAAATGATGATAGTGGCCAATGGCAGTAGATTTTTGATTGGATTATAAAACCAAAAGATTGTAGTGATAGTAGTAGCAATAGTAGTAGAGCAATAGTAGTATTAACTCTTGGGTGCTTTTTGTCATATATTTTTGACATACATTTATAAAAAGTATTTCATTTATTATTAGAAATGATTTCTAAAATAAGGAATTTCAATCATATATCATAATCGCTATTAAAGTAATATTTCTTATTTTTGCAGATATGGTTTTTCCCGTTAGGGAGTTAGGGACATAATTTTCAACATTTCATATCCACAGATTTCATCCCAGACCATTCCAAATTCTGTCAGTGCTTCCAAACATTATTACAATTACATATGTTTCATTATGTGGTTTATTTCAGGTAATTTATGCCGTTGCACAGGATACAGGCCAATTATAGACAGCTATGCATCTTTTGCTAAGGTAGGTCAATGTTTGTGAATGTGTTTATTATTTTGAGACCGTTGGTGGGATCTGAAAAATCTGAGGCTTCCTGAAGAACTTGCCTGAAATCTAGCTTAATTTGGAAATTCTTTTTGGTTGAGCCTTTGAAAAATCTGACACTTTGTTTTCAAATGTGCTAAGTACTTACAGTTGCTGCTGACTTTAACTTTGCATGTACTCTTGCAATGAACTTAAGAATCCTTTACATCAGCTTCAGCTGCTTTGATCCAGGCGCCATTGAAACAATTGTGAGCTTTTTTCTATTTGTCTTATGGGTAAAGACACTCAGGTACCCAAAAGGAACTCACTCCTAGGGGCCCCAAGATTAAAGAGATCTCCTGGACTAACTTATCACCTGAATACATAAGTCTGCTTTGGAACAGGAAAAATCAAGATGGAAATTTACAGATAAATCATGAAGTTGCTTTGTTGGTTTTATAGAACAGCATATGATTTCTTTAGGAGCAAACATGCTGCCAGCTGAGAGGAACTGGACAATGTTGCTTGGATCAGGAAGAACTTGGGTGCTCATCTTCTGCAGGAGTTCGGGTAAGATACATTGAATGTTTTTTTGTTTGTTTGTTTGTTTTCATTAGCTCCTATGGGCTATCTTTTCTGTCCTTCAACCCAGACTGAATTTCATGCTTTCGCTGCTGGAGAATAGTAGCATAAACATATCTGCATTTCTGCATTATCAGAATGAAGATTACAGTGCAAAGTGGCATGACTTATTTAGTGACTTTTTTTTAGTGATTGTGGATCTCACTATTGCACATTTAAGTCTACTGAGTTCTGTGGAGAAGATAACTTTTGAAGAGAGACGCTCTCCTTAAAAAAGCTGGTTTTAACATGAAGTTGGATTACTGTAACAGAAGTTCTGCAACCATCAGCATGGCTTGTGTGTTCTTGAAACACCAACTCTGAGGAAACAAAGCTATCCCTGCACAATATAAGTTTGTGCTTCTGAAGATTTTCGTAAATCCTACTGTGTTAGTAGGTGCAAGATCCTTAAGGAGGATGTGTCTTCTACATTCTACTGTAATTGATACATTGGAATTGCTTGAAAATAGCAAGAAAGAAGAAAAATATATTGTTTTATTCTTACTCTGTAAATGGCGCACTTTAAAAATCACCCATGATTCTTCTGGTAAAAGTCCAAAGGATCGGTAAAAGTACAGACAGGAACTCCAGTAGACTATGGCAATTCTTTGTGTGCATATCAGAATTTGTTGTGTTTATCCACCTGCAAGAAGAGACCACAGTGCCCTAATATAACACTTTCTTGTTTCGTGATGGGAAGTTGGATTCCACAGATGTAATTATCCTGGCTGAAAAACTTTAAGGAATTCTAAAGTAACTCTCTAAAATAAAATGTCATAAGTATTTTGTCAGTGAAAAACCTTAGGTAAACAGTCTGCATGTTGTTTGTGCAGCTAAATGTATTATCTGCCTGTGTAAGTACTTAAATTGTTGGCCAGCTTCTGCCACAGTTGTTTGAAGCACAAATCTAGCAATCTGGTAGCTGCTGGTTATAAAACAGCACTTATTTTTTTTGTCCCTTACTTGGCTTTCACCAATTTCTATTCCTTTTGATTGCTTTCATTCAAATTAAAAAGCTGTTGCTTAATTATTATGAAGGAAGATCTGGAATTTTTTTGCCATTTGATCAGTGGAGTTGGTCAGACTAGACTATGTCATTCAGAGGCAGGTCTTGTAGTTACTGTGGTCATGATTTGTTCAGAGTGACAAGAGGTAATGACTGCCTGGGGAAAGGATAAGACTAAAATATGTCAATCTCTTCCTTGATATGCTTGAGAGCTGTTGCTTCCTAATCTGACAAGATTTTTAATTCTGAAGATAAATCAGTGAGGCAGAAAATCCTAAACAGTGCTGGTATCAGTCTCTTTCCATGTAAATTACTGAAAGCTCAGAGAATGCATAGCCTCGTGAGTGGCCTCAGCAGAAAAGAGGTATCTGTAAAGAAGTAGAGAAAGATCTGTTTTTTCTGATGTGCTGCCAGAAATTCAATTAGGTAGAGAGACTTCAGCAGAAAGTCAGCTCCGATGGACTGCTGTGTTGTTTGTTGTCATCTCAGACTCTGTCATCTCATTCAAAGTCACAGTCTGTGAAAAGAACCTAGTTATAGCATCCAGTACTGCATTCTCCCAAAGTAGATATTTTACCCATTCTTGCTGCATATTTGCTGTGGCTGGTTTCAGGAAATACTGTAAGATCTTTTTCGACTCTTGATGTAATTTAAGCAAAGGCTTGAGAATCCTTATTCTGATAGTCTCCTGTCTTACAGTAGTTTGTGAACAAGTGTAACTTAACATTAAAAATCAATTTGTCTATCTCAAATTTTTGAACGGGATTCAACCTGTGAAGTGTCAAAACTCAATGTCACATCAGCAAAAAAATCTCATGTTTTGGCAAAGACTTTCAGCTTACTCTGAAAATATTCACTCATCATTTTTACTCCAATGTCTTTGCAGATTCGCTCTGGTCTTTGCAACCCAGCAGAATTCCTCCCTGTGGATCCAACACAAGAATTTATATTTCCTCCTGAACTAATGGTAAAAGTACTCATCTTTCATTTTTTACTTTTGTTGTAATGCAAGTGTGACTGCTTTCCTGCAAATACTGTGGTCATGATGACTCTATCCTCAGATAAACAGAAAAAAAAACACATTTTTCATCAGACGTACTGAGGAATTTTTATGTGGACAATTTGTATGTCGCCATTGTTCTAAATTGCTTATATTTTCAAGAAAGAAAGGGTTTGCTTCTCCATAACAAAAATGTTGTTTCCAGTGTTTTCCTGAAACATCTCCTTACTGAGAACTGTTTAATTTCAGACCTTTTTATATGCAGCATTTTGTTGGAAAGTTCCCAGATGAACTGCTCAGTCTTTTCAATCTTGTCATTCTCTGTTGGATTCGAATGACTACAGGACCCATTGTTTCCTTCCAGCTGGCAAATCGAGGCTGGACTGATGCATAAGAAAGGATGGAGAGGGAAAAGAGCGTTTATGGCAGCAGTTACTAGAAAGTCACAGAAGGACGGATGAAAACTTGAAAGGAGAATGTGTGAAGTGCTGCATGGTCTGTGGCAAGAGAAAAGAGCTGTGAAAATGGTAGAATAGGGTGTTACCAGACCAGATCAAGTAGAGTCCAAATAGGCAGGCTCAGGCTGATTTTATTTGATTCTCATGTTTCAAAAGCTTCTTGTGAAATTCCTTATTTGTACTCTTGTTGCAAATATTACTGTGTACTTCTCACTGCTATTGTGCAACTACCTCAGGGACTGGAAAGTTCATTTGTGTCCTGGGAAGCCAAGGCCTAATTCTTTGATTTGTAACAGTGTTACAGAGTGTTACTTAATGGCAGTTAACTTTGTAAACACTTCAGTTTAAGAGCACAAGTTCTATTTTTAACGATTGTCTCTCAGTGCTGAACATGCGTACTAAGGTATAAGCTTCTTTATGTTTTCCTGAAGTTGAAGGCAAATTTACCTTTCTGCTACTTGACTTGCCATTGTCAGACTCATGCTGTAAGAATGCAGGCATTAAATGGATATTTTGCAACTTCTGTACTTGGATTAAACATCTTTTCTAAACTGCTCTTAACTCAAAAGGCTGTTCATCAAGAAAGGAGATACTGTCATCTGTTGTACATGTTCACATTAAGCTGCCAGGAGGAGTGATCTGTCTCTTCGGGCTGTGTGAGGTTTACAGCATGACTAAGAATGATCATGCTGAGTTTGTTGAAGTCTGTTGCAAGCTCTCAGCCAATTTAAGTAGGTTGGTCATAAGCTCTATGTGAAATCAAGTCTACTTGATGAATTGGAGCCCTGGGCAATCTGATCTATTGCCTGATTCAGTGGATGGCAACTCTGCCCATGGCAGGGGGGGTTGAAACTAGAAGATCTGCAAGGTCCTTTTCAACCCAAGCCATTCTGTGATTCTATAATACGCATTGAAAGCCTGGATACTGGAAAAAGCATGTAAAATACAGCTACAAAGATGTGGAGAACAATACTAGTGACAGATTCTTGTCAGGCAAAGGAGTGCCCAACTGCTAATTATAACTGAGTCCACATGCTCCTACTTACATGGGTTTCAGGCTAGTATTTTACATAGAAAACCAGTTCATAATTGCTGTTGTTCTTCCATTTGCTGACTGGTCTATGTGTTCGTTACTTTGTTTGCAAAAAAGATGTTTCTCAGTGGTCCTTTTTGTATATTTTGAAGGCATGATTCCACAAGGTACTTGCTGAGTATGGTAAGAGCATACATGGCATTCTCAGTGGAGTAAAGGGAATTAGCCTTGTAAGACAAGAGGTGCCTTAGGAACCCTTTAAATTAGAAATAATAAATTGCAAATACTGATGAACCAACCCAAGGAGACTGTATTTCCAAACAAATTAGTTCTTGCAGATAAATGAAGAAGTAGCTACTTTCATTTTTAAAAGTTAATAAATTCTATATCATAGAAACTAATCAGGGTCTAGCAAGGCAAACAGGAGACATCTGGCAGATGGTGATACAGTGATTCTCCTTGACTGACAGAATACACTCCTTGTCTTCTCTCACATATGCAGTGAGCTTTTGGCTTCCTGATTGCCTTCAAAATCAGATCACGTTGCACTCTTATTTGTTACATTGTATACAAAGAGAAACTTTCAGAGCAAGATAAAGGAAAACAGAAGACTAATTTACCACTAGTCTAGTGTCTCTTGCATAGTTGTCTAGATGGCCTTTAGCAATAACATAGTTATAAAAACTCGGCATTGTACAGCACTATATAAGCACAAGATGAAGAACTCCATTTGCGTCTCATCATTTATCATGACAGTGTCCTAGGTAGTAATAAAATTGTTTATATTGACATTTCTCAAAACCTACAAATCTTTATCATTTCCACCACAGAGAATGGCTCAAGAACAGCAAAGAAAGACTCTTATTTTCTGCAGTAAGAGAACAACATGGATTTCTCCCTCTACCCTGAAGGAGCTTCTGGAGCTGAAAGCCAAGTATCCAAAGGCACCTGTGGTTGTGGGGAACACCAGCTTAGGTATGGAATGGCAAAAGACGTTTTGACACAGGGATTATGCTATCCAGTGGGCATTTTGTCTTCTTGGAATCCTGAAAGCATTCTTTCACCTTTGTGACTGTGCTTCTATAGTTAGGCCATGGTCATTTTCACTATTTTTTTACAGCATATGAAAACTAAATTAGAACTAGTACCACCATAACTGAGCACAGGGTTTACACTAACTTCTCCTAGTAACCTCAGAGAGAAAATTGTGTGAATAAGGAAGGAATCGCCCAAGTTGAAGGGTCAAACATTTCCCATCCACATTGGCCTGAGTGTAACAAAGGAAAAGAGCGCAGTAACCCCATATTTCATGATATCTAGGCACTAGCTGGTTTCTGCATAGTATAGACAGGCTTGAGAGTTTGTAGGGTTGTGGTTTTTTGTTTTTGTTGTTGTTTGCTGGGGTTTTTTCTTTGTTTGTTTGTTTTGTTGTTTTTGTTTTGTTTTTTTGAGGGAATAATCAACCAGGGGGCATTTCTCATTGTAGATAGAGACATAAGTCAATTCTCAGCTATAGTTGCATTACAAACGTAATTGTAGCATTTTTCTAATAAAGCTTCTCTCCCACCATGTAATACTTCACATAACACCAGAATGGTAAATCTCTTCAGTCTAAAAAATTTAAGTTTCTTCACATTAAGAGAAAGTTCCCTTTCGTCATTGGATAAGGCTCTGACAGCTACTGCAGAGCAAGTAGGACTCTACACAAAGCATGAGGTTTACAACAGAGAGAGACCATGGGGTAATCTAATCACTACATACATACGCACACAATTTTGGGAATATACATATATATTAAAGGTGTTGCATTACGAGAAAACAAGAGAAGCACAAAAATGATGTAGCTCATATATAAATGTAGAATTGTATACAACTCTGAGGTGAGAGGTAAAATCTAATGTGATAAAGGAAATGGCCAGAAACCAGTTTAGAGGAACATGGAGCAAAAGTCAGAAAAGAACATATTGGACTTCGGACTTCAGACCAGCCTTCAAACTAATCTGAAAAGGCTGTATGAGAAGGAGTAAGTACAATGGGGGTCAGATGAAGTGGACCAAGGAAAAACAGTAAAATATGGCATTCAAGATACTACACAATAAAATTCACAAGACTTTGCAACTACTTAATTACAATGCTTTTGAGCTTTGCAGTCTCTGCATCAAAGAATATATTTAACTTTTTAAACAGGTCTCTAACTACAGTATTGTACTTTCCCTCACAGGACTCAACAAAAATGACTGTGATGACTATCATCCAGTCATTCTCCATCCTTTGAGGATTCCAGAAATGCAAGTTTTTAGTATCACAGATGATGGTAAGTCTCCAAGTTAGCTCTACTAATGGTACAAACAGTGATGACTAAACTGAATTTTGTATTTTGACACCAGAAGGAATAAGAACCATTACCTCTTATTTCTGCTGAATGTTTTGGATTTTTTTTTTCTTTTTTTTTTGTTTCCTCTCCTATAGCAGTCATTTTACTAAGCCTTTTAGCCAATACGTCAGCTTACGTATGGTCTGGAGATGATGATGGATGGGGCAATTCATGAGACTGTTCTGCAAAACATATTTGTTCAAATCTCAAATTTCTGCAAACAGCAAACATAGGGGAAGGCCCTATGTCAGTCTTATTTCTTTGTTTTGACTGGTATTTTACCTTTCAGTCACAGCCATTTGTCTGATAAAGTTTGTAGAACTTTAATTAGGCTAGAATTAGATTTTAAACATGATAGATTTCCAACCCAAAACAGAAGAATATTTTCTTTGGAGTGGTTGGGCTTGATTCTCAGCTAGTAGAAGGAATCATAAGTGCACTGATGTGAAAAGAACTGAGTTAAGAATCCAATGCAGTAGGCACATCATGCTACTGAATGAAGAAATTACATCTGCAGCAAAATATGAAATACAGCATCTTCTTTCTCCATGGGAAATCTTACTATTAAAATTAGAGGAATTAATCTGTTTAGATAATTGCCTCTTTATCTCCTTATGTTTTCTGCAACTACTGAATTACAAATACAACTCTACATTTAAGCCTACTTTCCATTATTAATAAAAAGCTTTTCACAACATTTGAAGACTTCTGTGTACATCAGAGTTCAATGAAACACATGGTAGTGGCTTCTCTGATACCAGTGGAAATGTGATCAAGTGTTTGGTTCCAATAGATTTGTCATCATTCATCCTGATTGAACAACTAATATTTGTATGTGTCTTTGGGGATACAGTGCATAAAAACATGATGTGCATTTATGTGTGCAAACACAGAATGTAGTATTTTTCAGATATATGTATAGTGGTAAAATTTTCTGAATAAGCAAACAGTATTTGCAGTTCTTGTTGCTTATAATATGAAATTTATCTTACTGTTATTTTTCTGTTTTTCTGCTGACAAAAGCTGCCTACGATAGCAAGTCTTTAGAGGCCTTACTAGCTGTATAGGTATTGCATGTAGTGTGGAGTTATGATTTCACTATCTAAACTCATTTGGTTTCAGGGATAGTAGTAGGAGCTGCCTGTTGCCTTGCCCAGCTCCGAGATATTCTCATGGAGACTATCCCAAAACTCCCAGAGGAGAAAACAAAAATCTACCAAGCTCTCTTGCAGCAGCTGAGAACTCTAGCTGGAGAACAGATCAGGAGCATGGCGGTATGTATTTAGCTGTGGCAGGAAATGAGTCACCAATACAGACGTATTACGAAGATGATCAGGGGACTGGAGCACCTCCCCGATGAGGACAGGCTGAGGGAGCTGGGCTTTTCAGCCTGGAGAAAAGAAGGCTGCGGGGTGACCTCATTCAGCCTTTCAGTACCTAAAGGGAGCCTACAAACAGGAGGGGAGTTTATATTTGAGGCATCTCTGATATTTTTCCTAATTAGAGAATTCCCTTAGCTTAATACCTTGCATTTATGCCTCTAATTAAGAAATTGGCCATCGCTTATTTTATTGGGCAAAAAAGTAAACATGGTCTTTCTCAACAGAGATGATGATGAGACAGAACTTTCAAAGGGAACAATAAATTAAATCACCTGGAAAATTATGAATATAGAACTTCAGTTAAGATTAAACAAAACAAATAGGAGATATTCCAACAGGCCTGTTAAATGAATGAAATGGGTTTATGATGCAGATCACTGTTACACATGAAAGAACAAGCCTAAAAATAACCTAATTGTTTGTTCAAGTCTTTAGGAGGACACATTGTAAGCAGGGGATCAGCCTGGGACTTGAACCCAATCTTATCTGCTGGCAAATCTGTTCTCAACTTGGCATCAGATGGTAAGCTTTGAACTTCCTCCCAGATATCTTTGCCGTATGGACAGAACAATGCAAGAGAGAATATAACTATAGTCATTCATTTTCAAATGAAACACTACTGCACAACCCCTAATGAATTAGATTGGTATTTTTGCCGAATGGAAGACAACATTGTACTGGCTTTTGCCTCTCGTTATAACTATCAAGAAATGTCTACAAGCAGAAGATGCTGTCTATGAGTTTCACAAGACAAAAGGAAACATCTATTGATTTCATGAAAGAAGAACAGTCAGGTGTGACAGGTCTCTGGATGCGCTGCTCCATTTATCAGACAGATGTTTGCTTTTGTTGCTTGTGTCTTTCTTATTTTAAGAAAAACTGGTTCATTCTCATGATCTCTTAGCACCTACAAACTTCTATTGAAGTCAGTGGTACTTGTGTGTGTGCATGTGCAAATGTTTGAATAACACATACAGTAATCAAGCCTGAGCAAATTCCATCCTTGTCGCATAAAATCTTTGGAAAATCTTGGCAATTATTTCTAACTCTGAGCTATGTGTGGAGCTCATTCTCTCATTGCAGTGCTTTAATTATTTAATGGTCTAAGAGTTTTTGAAAGAGAGCAGAAAGATAATAGCTGTACTTAAACCCAAACTGCTGATTTTCTGATTATTATTATTATTAGCTTTTGTAGGATGTCAGTTTTCCAGAAAATTTTCCAGAAAAAAACTTGATATTTTTGATGGTGGACTATAACATTCACATAGGGAAAAAAATGCACTTAACCTATATGATAAAGATTAAACTTTCCACTTGAAGGACTTTGAAAGTCTAAGGCCAGTTCCTGAGTGAAAGTAGCTGTGGAGAAGGACCTGGGGGTCTTGATAGACGAAAAACTTAACATGAGCCAGCAGTGTGCCCTTGCGGC